AGGATATCAGTTTTCTATTACTAACATAGATTTGTTTACATTAACTCAGTTCATTGATTTCAAAATGCATTCATTATCACTCTTTTATCATACTATCTCGATTAAAAGGTTGGTATTTCGCTATAATGACCAAATATCGATTCTTATTTGTCAATATCACTTCAAGTACTGGCTATCGTTGTGAAATGAATTGTTTAACAAATGAATATTCTATTTAATAACTGATTCATGATTGTTTGTTGTTCCAAAGTATGCAAGTCCAAATTTCAAATCAATTTGATTTCTAGAGAAATGATATGTGGATTCTGCCAATTTGTCAACACAGTGTGGTGTCGTTATGGCATAGTTTTTACTTCCTATGACTACCAATCAGCAAATGCTAAGTATCTTCTTTAATGCCTAGTTGATTGTTCTCCGAATATATGTGTATTTACTAGTTTTATTTTATGGTCGAAAAGTATTATGGTCATTTCCATGTTCGTTTCAGTGCCCTTGCCCCAAATAACAGCAGAAGGGTTTCTTCAACAGATTTCAATTGGTTTGTTCAAAAAATCCCTCATGATTCTTTATCTAAGTGCATTTTAAAGATGTTGACAAATTATGATACCTTCAGTTATTCTCACCATTAGTTGATTCCTTTCATCATCATTTGCTTTTTTACACAAATATCCTTGATTTCTGCCCTTTTGACACACAACTATAATACTTACAATCTATATAACTATGAATCTATTTCTATGCATACCCATTTCTGTAAAAAGTATTAAGGTTTTTTTGTGATTCACAATTCAGTCTTCCTAGTGTTTTACAATAGAATACTCTGTGACGCTTCTTTATTACGTGACCTATTGTGTTACGAAAACAGATATATGGGTGAATACTACTATGGCTGACAGAGTAAAATGTCATCATCCTGTTACTTAGTCGCAAAAAAACACAGAAAACCATATACTATACTTGCTAAACTGCGCACACAGCAAGTTAATTAATAAATGGAATAGTTGCCCTATTTTTCTAGAAAATAGTCCATTACCATAATAGCCAATATCTAATGAATGATTTGTTTGTAGAAGTGTTCTCATTCCCTTTCCTATGATCCTTGATTATTTACCTTGAACAATCACATTCTACCTCTAATATCGATATTCGTAGGATCCTATCGTATACTCTCATTCTACCTTTGAAAACTGTATTTATCTTCAATCCACCAAGAGTCATATGATATTCATGATTACAGTACTATCCACTAACATCGATTACAAGCCTATCAAGATTATCTTAGCATTGATTAAAGCATGTGATTATCGTCCCTTCGATCTCCAGTATTTGGGATTCTTCTATGAAATACATGCCAATGTATTATTTATTCTGTCCGTATTTTTGGTTTTCATATCAATCCTTGAATTGACAGACTGAGGAGTGAAATGAAAACTCTATGTGAATATTCTCAAATTCTCATACAAATGAATGACCTTTCGAGTATTTCTGACTGATTTCTCCAAAAGCATCTATTCTCACTATCAATTCGTGAAAAAATGTATTTTTATTGTGAATTATCGCATTCCACAACATTTTGAATCTGCTTTTAGATAAAGGTGTCTATGATTGACTTCCAAACACTCTACTCTTATCCACAATACGATATTCCATTGCTTATAGTGTAAATAAACAAGAATTACTTATGAGCATGACAAAGTGCATTTCCTCTTTTGATGGATATTCGCACTAATTCCTACACACAATCGATATAGCTATCGATACTCATACTTGAATCATAAATTAAAACCTTGTCTCAGTTAGATTTGTATAGTGCCTGAAATACCACGTAGAGGGTATTGAATTGTGCCTTCAGATAATTGCAAGTGGTTGTGATAAAATATCATCCATATCTACCTTTCAGAATCATGCTCTCTTTTCTGAACGCTCAAGCCTCGCAGGCACATCTACACTTCTTGGCAACGCTTCCCCATCCACATCTTATACGATTCTCAACGGATTTGTCAACAAACAGCACAATAAGGGGAATCCTTATTATTCAGATAATTTTTTTATTTTAGGTCAAATATAATGGTTGGAGAATGTACTATCTTGATCCCGTGCTAATGAATAGCAACGTTGACCGAAATTAACGGAGCTGAGTATTTACTTGATAGATATACTACGCTTGGCGATCCAGAAACCTTGGTAAAGAGGGGAATACAATACAGTGTTCAGCGATTCCAGGGAGAACACAAAAATGAATATCTTTTGCGTTCTGTTACAGGCTCTGTTAATTTGTATGAAAATAACGTATTGAAACAACAATGGAAAGAAACTAAACAAGGAGTAAAATTGGATGAGTTCATTGCTTATAAGAATGGACGAGTTGAGTTCCGTCAACGATTTCGAGATATCACCGAGCAAACCAACTTTTATAAGATTGTTAACCACAGGAAAGGACTTCGAATGGAAATCTGGTCAGCCACAACAGGACATTTGATGTATCACGGAGAATGCAATAATAAGTTCCAAAGAGAAGGTTGGGGCATAGAGTATAACGAAAATGAAGGTAGCATGGTCGTAGAAGGTATTTGGAGCAAAGGATTGTTGAAAGAAGTAATTCGACTCTTTAAGGGAGACACGATGACAGAATTGAAGCGAAACGGAGCAGACAGTTTAGATCCAACCAAACGAATTCCGATCTATATGGGTGGCTTTCGTTATGATGAAGACAATGAACGATTTGTTCGTGAAGGGAAAGGATGTCTGATTGATGAAGAGACTGGAATCGCTACTCGAGAATGTGAATGGAAAGATGGAGAAGAAGTGAGTGGCGTGAATCTGTACGGTGGATGGTATAGCCAGCAGGAAATGCAGGAGCTATTTTATGTTCCTGATAATACGATAACAATCAAGGAAACAGAGGATTTGAGGAATCTGAGTATTCAAGTGACCGATTTGAAGATCTCACCGCATTGCTGTAACGATCTGAATGAACTAAATTTGAATCGATTCGCGTGGTTACGATCGATCGAAATCGGCAATGACTGTTTTGAATCCGTGCAAAGATTCAAAATCGATGGACTGAATCGATTGAAAACGATCAAAATCGGCAAGAATTCATTTACTCAGAAAAGGAATGGAAATGGAAATGATGAATCGAAATCATTCCACCTATTGAATTGTGAATCATTGGAATCCATTCAAATTGGTGAATATAGTTTCAGTGATTTTGCTGGAGACTTTGAATTGAAGAATCTACCACAACTGCAATCCATTCAGATTGGTAGCAAGCAGAACAATTCGAAGAATTTTGCTTATAGCTCCCTTGTACTCCGAGGTACATAGTACTTTTAAAGCTCAATATGCAGATCTTCCTAGCCTTGTATCTATCGTTTTAGGCCGTAATTCGTTTAGTACATCAAAGTCAGATGTATTCGAAAGTATGGAATTAACTCGATGCGATGATTGGAATAGATCTTCCTTCTCTACAGTCTATTGAACTCTATGTTCATGCTCTTAATGGTAGATCTGGAGATCCAGACTGCTCTCTGACAATGCGAAGTAGATATTAGTGAACAGAGAGATTGATATTAGATCTTCCCAAATTAACTCGCCTTTTCTCTTTTGGAGGTAGTTTCATACATTACAAAAAAGTAGTCCTAGAAAGTACTCAATACATAAATCGTAATATAGCTTAGATATACCAAGTCTTGAATCGGTTTCTCTTCCTAAAGATACATATGATAATGATCCGTTTTGGAATGTTCAATCACAGACTATTTCCAGTAGTTTTGTTTCCAGTATTATAAATAGATGTCTCTCGAACTCTCACTGATTTGTTCTCTGTTGCACGACAAGCCATTGTCTCCGATCTGAGCCAACTAGATAGACTGCAAGACAATATTACTGCATTATCCATTTCTTCAAATACGTATAATAATAATGACATACTCGATTTGAATCGATTTGGCTCGCTGACCACTATTATCATTGGAAACAATTGTTGTAGTTCAGTGCAAAGATTCAAGATCGATGGATTGAATCGATTGAAAACGATCAAAATCGGCAGTAACTCGTTCACTCAAAGCCGAGATGGGAATCAGAAAAATAGATGGAAATCATTCCACATTCTGAATTGTAAACAACTAAAATCACTAGAGATTGGTGATAACAGTTTTAGTGATTTTGCTGGGGATTTCCAGTTGAGTTGTCTTTTGTCGCTGCAATCCATTAAAATAGGCTTTGCAAATGCATTTTCTTACTGTTTCTACGGTAGCACCTTTATTGTCCGAGGTTTGCTTAGGGGTTGAAATGATGACTCTGCAGATCTTCCAAATCTCGAATCGATTGAACTAGGCGGTCAAACATTCCGTGAATCTTTGTCAACGGTCATAGAAAGTATCGAATCGAAAGGGATGAGATAATTGAAATAGATCTTCCCAAATTGCGATTCATTGCACTTGGTAAATGGGCGCTTTGCGGACAAAGGGATGAATCCTGTTCGTTGATAATGCGAAGTATGGGAGAAATGGTGTGAAGTGATTGAATGTAGATCTCTGGAATCTAATTTCAATAACCGCTGTTTGGGGCAGTTTCTATTTTGCTTGTGATGTGCATCTTGAAAGTTCGTTCTTTCTGGTTATTGATGATGATTTAGATATTCCAAGACTTGAGAACATTATGTTGCCAGATTCGTTCAATAGAGTCAGACTTAGAAACGTGCACAGTTCATTGCTACTGTTGCTTGTTATTTTGTAGATATTACTGCCCAACTTGTCCGTCTTGTGGACAAACATTAACCTTACATCGTTCCGTCAGGGTCCAATTGCTCTGCTTTGTGTTGCTATCGATGTTCTTGCTTGTTTGTTTCATTCCTTGAAAGAAAATGCTTCCTTCTCTTTTGATTCACCCACACAAACCAATCCATTTCTCAACTTCCTTGATACAACAAACAACAAGACATGGAAAAACTCTTCATAAAAATGCAACGTATTCAATTCAATTCAATTCAATTCAATTCAATTCAGTACAGTCGGAGCGGGTCCTCCTCTCTTCAATCTCTTAATGATCTCTGCAAACGAAGGTCTTGCATCCGGATCCTGATCCCAACAATCCCGAATGAGCGTCGCATACCACTCAGGACACGTATCTGGAATTGGCAATCGCTTCTTATGTGTATGCACCATCATCGCGACCTATCCTTCATCCTCTTTCGATTGCTTTACCTGCATCGGCTGCATGCCATCGTACGGGATTTTCCGAGTGAGCAACTCCCACAGATTGATTCCGTACGAGTACACATCGGCCTTTTCTGTGTAAATGTGTCCGCCGATCACTTCCGGAGCCATCCATTGATACGTTCCGCACTGCCCAGTCATCATTCCGTGGGCTGCAGCCGACTAAAAAGAATGAAAAGAGCAAAACATCGAGTACCTTGAAGCGAGAAAGGCCGAAATCGCTGACCTTCGCGGTCCATTTCTCATCCACGAGGATGTTGAGCGATTTCAAATCGCGATGAATGATGATCGGCGTGGAGGTGTGAAGGAAGTTCATTCCGCGCGCCACGTCCAGCGCGATCCGAACACGACGCTGCCAGGGAATCTGCACCGCGTAGTGCTCCTCGTTCTCGTCGACCGTGTCGTGCAGCAGATCGAACAGATTGCCGTTGTGGCAGTATTCGGTGACCAAACACACCGGATCCATCACCAGCCCCATAAAAATCACGATGTTCGGGTGCCGCAGCGCGCGCATCAGCACCACTTCCGAGTGGAAATCGCGGATCGCCTTCGCAGACATTCTGCTAACGCGCAGCTTCTTCACGGCCACTTCGCACCCGCGATACATTCCATGGTACACGATCGCGAAGCCTCCCACGCCGATTCGCTCGTCCACTTCGATCTCCGACCATCGAATCTGGATCCCCGTCAGCTGCAAATCGCTCAACGCCGACTGCAGCGCCGTCATCACTTTCCGCTTCAGCGCTTCGTCCGCCTGGCTCTCCGATTTCTCGATTCGCGACTCGTAGTCCACTTCGTCTTCGCTCGAATCGTCCTCCACCAGGCCTGCGTTCCGCACCACCGACGACAAGCCGCGACGATGCGTCGGCGTCGGCGTCGGCGTCGGCGGCTCGCATGCTGGCGCTGGAGGCTCGCGCGCCGGATTCATCAGCGGAACGATGGTCGTCTTCGAGGCTTCAGCGGGCTTTCCGAGGAGGCTGGGCAGCTGGGCGGGGCGGGAAGGCAGCAGAGAAGGCGCGGGAGGAGGAACGGTCGGCTGGGCAAAGGGCTGTGCGAAGGGCTGAGCGGAAGGCTGGGGAGGAGAGAAGGGCTCTTGGGGGTTGGGGGAGAACATGTAGTCGACGGAGAAGGTGGAGGAGGGACGGGCAGGATTCATCGCGCGGTAGGAGGGACCGTTGAAGAGACTCACTGCTTCGGGAGCGGGGGAAGCGAAGCCCGCGTTGAATTGGGAGGATTGGGAGGGCTGCGAGGGCTGTAAGGGTTGCAGGGGTTGGGAAGGCTGCGGAGAATGGAAGGGAGGCGAGGACTGGCCTTGAAGCGCCTGCATGGGTTGCATGGGTTGAATGAGTTGGAGAGGCTGCATTGGTTGGATTGGCTGCATTGGTTGCATGGGTTGAAGAGGTTGCATGGGCTGCATGTTTTGAATGGGTTGCATGGGCTGGATTTGATGAAGTGATGAAACTGGCTGCAAGGGTTGGGGAGCATTCTGAAGAGAGTGAATTGATGAAACTGGCTGCAACGCCTGCATGGTTGGCTGCATGGTTGGCTGCATGGTTGGCTGCATGGTTGGCTGCATGGTTGGCTGCATGGTTGGCTGCCTTCCCTGCATCGGCATTAGTGGTTGCTGCGGCTGGGGAGGCGAGGCGAATCCTCCGGGGATCGGCGTAATGGACTGATTCAAACGCACCGGAGCCAGCATGGGTCCTCGCTTATCGAACACATAGTTCCCTTCGTTATGATTCAGACTCGGCCGCATGCTCCACCCCACATCCTGCTGCACCGCCGCCGGACCGAGTCCCGAATAGTCCAAATCCAGCAGATCCTCCTCCACGTCGGAGGGCTTGGCTTCCTCCTGCTTCGACTTCGACCTACGCTCGCAATCCCTGCTCCCGCTCCTACTTCACCACCACCGGAATCCACAGTCGCTGGATGTATTTCTGCTTCAAAAACGACGCCCACGCTGCGCATCACATCGCTCCCGCGTCCCTACCGCTCGGCGACGCGTCCAGCGCCGGTCGCTTCTCCTCCGGCAGCCGATTCTCCCAGAACGCCTTCGCTTTCTTGTTCCCAATCTCCGCAGCCGCCGCCACCCACTCCGGCCGAAGCACTTTCGCCGTCGTGCTGTGCACCTCGCTGATGCTTTCCTACGCGGAACGCGCCCCGACCGCTCCTACGCCCAGCTGCTGATGGATCTTCTGGCAGATCGCGCAGAGAAACACGCCCAGATTCACCGAGAAATACTTGACCGGCGCGCGGCCGCACTCCACGCACACCTTGTTCTCTTTCCGGATCAGCACCTTCTTCATCGCCTGCCGCGTGTTCTCCTCCGCGCGCTGCGTTCCCACCGTGCCGATGAGCGGGACGATCGCTCCCTTCGCGGTGACCTTGTACAGCGAGCCCAGAAGGTGCACGTTCTCCTCGTTGTCCGACGACCCGCTGTCTTCATCGTCCAGATCCGCTTCTTCCAGCATGTCGTTGTCCCCCACCGACATAAAGCTGTCCAGGATCTTCCGCGCCGCTGCACGCGCGCGCCGCGGATGCTTCTCCAGCGGGCTCTTCGCGGGAATGCTCGGAATCTACGCGTCAAACCCCGATCACGCGCGCACGTCGTCGAAGAGATTGAGTTCCTGGATGTTCTTCGCGCGCATGATGATCTCGCGGAGCGCCAGCCGCTCTTCCTCGTAGCGCGCCAGCGTGGACTGCACGATGTCGGGCTCGTCGTTCTTGCTGAGCAGATCGGCCATCACCACGGTGAGCGAGAGATAGATCGAGTGAGCCTCTTCGATCATCGGGCGGATCGCTCCATTAATCACCGGGTCCGTGTTGGCGAGCGCCCAGCGCAGCGCCAGGTTGAGATTGGCGAGGAGCGTGGAGAGGCGCGCGGGGACGTTGACTTGGTCCTCGACGTCGAGCTCGGCGCCCTCGACGAGCGCGTAGTTCATTCCGAACTCCGTGTATTTGTTCAGGAAGTACACCTTGTTCGTCAGAATGTTCGCGAAGCGCGAGATAAACGGCGCCCAGTTCATGTCTTTCCGCTTGTCCTCGCTCTCCTACGCCTCGCGCCCTCGCCGTTTCCCCACTTCCACGATTTTCCAGCGCGTCGAGATCTCTTTGAGCAGCGACACGTGCTTGAACGATTGGTACACGACCTCCTGCGTGCTCAGCTGGAACACGCACAGCGTCGTGGTCAGCGCCTTCACGGCGACGATTTCGCTCGCGAACAGCGGCCGTCTATCCGTCAGCCCTCTCTCTGCGCGCCCACTTCGACAAGAGCGAGAAATAGAAGTCGATCGAGTGGTTCTCGTACGCGGCGATCGCGATCTTCTTCATCGATCGGCGCGGCGGCGGCTCGGGAACGCGCGACGTGCACTTCAGCACCCACCGCGTGTGGTTCTTCTTCCCTCCGAAGTACTGCAGCATCGACGTGCGGATCCGGTCCGTCATCTCGCCTGCCTCGCGCTTCTGCTGCACCAAATCATCCACGTCGCTGCTCGACGACAGATCCGAGTCGCTCAGCTCCAGCGACGTCGAGTATTTCCCAGAAGACGTGCTCTTTCCGGAGCTGCCGCGCTGCGCCGGCTTCGTGACTTGCAGTTTGTTCGATCGCTCGCGCGGAACCGACGTCGATTTCGGCCTCGTCAGCGTCGCTTTCTTGCTTTGAGGCTTCGGCTGCACAGGCTTTCGACGCTGCTGCTGCGCGTAGTCCAGCACGGCCGAGGCCTCCTGCGTCATCCGCCAGCGCGTGAACCCCGAGGCCTTCACCACCACGTCGACAATCGACGGCCGTCTGCGAGTGAGGCGAAGCGAGGAGACTCACTTGTTCACGTCGGCGGTGAGCAGGCGACGGATGATCTCGAGAAACTCCGCGGAGTATTTCTTGGCCTCGTTGGCGGGGAAGGTGAAGCGGCCCGCGATGAGCGATCGCGTATCGATCTTTCCGTCGACGGATTCGAAGGGTGTCGAGAAGAAGGCCAGATAGTACATGAGAATGCCCAGTTCCCACACGTCCACCTTCTCCGAAATCTTGCGGTGCTTCGAGTTCGAGGTGCTGCACGTTACGGGAGATAAAGCTACGATACAGATCGCAAAATTCGGGGGGAAAATAGGCGGGATCCGCCACCAACTCGAGCTGTTGCTCCACGATGCGAGATTCTTCCATGGTGTGGGGAGTCTGCACATTCAGAGTCGGAAACGCAAATACGATCATGTTGGATGTCATAGAACGCGCAGCTTCCAGTTTGCAACGACCACTCGCATGGACATAAATGTAATTGGGCTAGGTCGTCAAAACGATTGGGTGGATCGCGTACATTGACGTTGCGATAGCTGACGGGAGGGTCTTCCGTGTGGAGAACAAACAGAGCGCAGGCTACGTCACGCAAAATGGCGAGTAGCATCTTTTCAGAAAACGTCTGCGGATAGGTCTGTGTTACGACATCCGAGAGAAGACCACCATCACAATGCTCCGTGATTATGACGCCTCGGACCAAATTTTCTTCATTATATATCTCGGAGTCGTAGTAGCGAACAAGATTTCCATGGATTGGCATGTGTTTCTACAAAGTAAGCAACGCCTCTGGATTTCAACCCATTGAAAGATTTCTTGTTTTAGCCGGTTTAGGCTCTTCATATCTCCTTGATCAAAAGTCGCTACTCGCACATCATAAACTTGGTTTGTTTCAATATCATGAGCTAGATAGATTTTCCAGTAGCTATCTATCCAATTAAACAAATGCAGTCAACGATCTCACCTTCATAGAGAATGTCCTTGATACGAACAGTCAACTTGGATGTACTGATTTCCTTCCCTTGAGAATTTCCCATCGTCCGCTTTTACAACTAGACTAGAGTAAGCGCTCGTAATTCTCAAGAAATATGAAAGTCTTGATTCCCGTGAAACAATGATTTTTGGAATTCACGTTTGGAAGGGGCGTATCTTTTGGCGGACGTCCGCTTTTTAAATATTGCGAAGTAGTACCTCACCCAAGCCAGGTTTTGTTAAGTTCGTGATGGGTTTAAAGCTGAAAACTCTTCTTGATCTTACAAATCGCTATGGCAGCGTGTTTGTAGTGCATTGAATGATCATTTCAGCGAGGGACGTACATTTGTAAGAATACGATTCTGTGGGATCCCCTATTCTGCTACTTGTGCTTTTTCCAAATTCGCAAAATGTCGCTTCTACTGCGTGTTGGGAGATGCTTCACGGCTCCGTGTTCTGTTGTACCCCAAGGCAAGTTGTAATGACCTTCGCATGACCTTCTAGTGTTTTGTCGATTTGCGCATAATCAGTCGGGAGGAAAGACGTTGAACGGGCGTGATTCCAATCCAAAATATCTGGGTTTGAAGAAATTCGGAGGGTACGCGTATTTTTGAGTGTCGATAATGAGTTAGAGAGAAAGTCATTCCGGGAAACATTATTATGCGTCAGCGGGGAACCAAATTCCATCCTGGTGAGTTTCGCAGACTTTTTGCCTTATTTGTAGGGCAAGGTGTTGGCATGGGTCGTGATCACACTTTGTATGCGCTGACGGAGGGGTATGTGCATTTCACTTGGAATCCTTTCAACAAGAAGCAGGTTGGGTGTGTGAGTGGTGTTCTGACACTAGACAATCGACATTACAGAGAAGCCGATGCCTACAACGCGTATCACGGATCCTCGTAGTGTTCCAAGACGTATTTGGGGTTAAGTCAGCAATTCAGTTCTTCCAATTCTTCAGGTTCATTCGTTCGTTCGTTCGTTTGTTCGTTTGTTTAGTTCCTTGTTTTCCACAAACACTCCAAAATCCAATCATCACTCCCATCATCATCATCATCATTACTACTCTTCATCCGAATACGAATAGCCCGAATAATCCGAATACTCCGAATACTCCGAATACTCCGATTCCGATTCCGATTCCGACTCCGATTCCTCCTTGCTCAGCGTCTGCGTCTCCATCGCCTCCACTTCGCTCTCCGGCACGCGATACACTCGAATGAATCCCTTCAGCGGATCCTTCATCAGAATGTAGTGTCCGTTCTCCTCCTTGCTCAGCAGCTTCACGAAATACTCCACGACGGCCCACATGTTCTGCTCGTTCAGCATGATTTGCTTCTTAAACGTCTCCAGCGAGAAGTTCTGCACGCCCAGAATCACATGTCCGCTGTTTCTACCGCTCATCGCCCTCCCTCTCTCCCTTACATATCGTCCATCTTCCGACGACTCACATACCCGATCTTCACCAAATCCACGCCGGCCAGCACCGCCTGCACGCCCCACTTCGACAGCCGATAGTTATTGTTCTTCATGTCCTCCGTCAGCGCGTAGCCCGGCTACTCTCGACCCCCTCGCTCATCCCTACGCTCGCCGCCAGCTTGCTTCGCCAGCGATTCGTCAGCGGCGTCCGATTACACCACTCGTTCACCGCGTACGCGTTCAGCAGCTGCGGCTTCTCGCGGTTCGTCTGCACGCCGTGGACCTCCGTGCGCACCAGCAGCACCTGCCCGTCCGACAGCGTGAACTTCCGGTACCGATACATGCGGTTGATCTTCTCGGGGTTCTACGCCTCACCCGCAGAATTCGAGCGAACATCGTCGGGGAACGGCGACGGGAACTCGCAGGCCGTCACCTCGGACGTCATGATCTGCTTGGCGAAGTCGCGGTTGATGTCGGTCACCTCCTTCCTGCCGATCACCCCTCCCTTCCACGCCTACCACAAGCAGTTGTTCTTGTTCTCCTCCTCCGTCGGCAGATCCGCGGACGTCTCGTTCACCGAGTACTGGTCGAACACGCCGTCGCGGTGCGAGATGAACAGGCCGTTTTCGTTCTTGATCACCTCCAGATCCCTTCCCGTTACGCGGTTTCCACGGTTCCCTACCAGCTCAGCTGCGAGCGGATCGCCACCATCAGCTGGGACAGCGCCACGTCGGTGGTGTAGATCTGCGCGGCCTTGGAGTTCACCAGCTGCGCGATGAACGGGTCCTTCATCACGGAAGTGACCTTCAGATCGCCGCTCGCTGCGTGGTCCTCCAGAGCCGCGGTTTTCTTGAGGTTGACCGAGTCATAGAGCGGGTTGTAGGTGTTGTAGCTACCGCACGAAGCACTAGATGGGAGAGAAGGGGTAGGGAAACAATTCGGAGACGGCGGGGAGGGTTTTGAGAGTGAGTTGCGCGAGATCGCGGAAATCCACTTGGAACAGGCTCGGCCATGTACTTTTGATCTAGATTACAACCGCGAAATGCAGCTACCGTGATCGAGGGCAGATGCAGGAAGTCATAGTTACGACGCTGGTACTGCGAAGCGCCCTTCTTCTGCGAACTGCGACCCTTGCCTCCAGACGCCGCCTGGTTTGCGTTGTTCGCATTGTAGCTGGCCTTTGTCTTTGTGTGCAGCACTATTCCTCAGAGAGAGACCAAGAATCCCACATTTGCTCTTGTGAGACACGGGCGTGTGCATTTTGTCCACTTTGACGAAGTCGCCATCGTTCTGTTCCACATCTATGTGTGAGCATGCCACAAAAAAGCACAAGTACTACTTTGCAGTCTCTGCATACCGGAAAGCATATTAATATCGATAATCATTCCCAACTTATCATCTCGACTAAAAGACTCAAGGGGCAAGTCCTGAAATTGCTCCGGAATGGAACATGGACCCCAACCATTCGAATTAAAAGCAAAATCGGGAATTCCATAAACGCTCTGCTCGGGAGTTTGCTCGGCCATTGAATTGGAAAATAGTAAGTGGAGTTTACAGGGAAAACAATTGAGATAGGAAAAATGGAGGAAATTTGGAATAATGAGTGTGTGTAGTTTTTGGTGTATTTACGAGCTATATCTCAAGAAGGAGGATGCTTTTATTCTGTATGCGTTATGATGCACTTTTACCTAGATGTGGCAACTCTTCTTGTCATCTGTTATACACGAGCCGAAGAATTATGCGATGTTGGTAATTTAGACACAACATGCGAAATATATACAATCCATGATTTTACAGTATCTTTAGGAAAGGATAATGACGTGTAGAAGCATGCGAATAATACTTTTGTGTTTTCTGGGAAAGGAGGCATTATGATAGGATGTAACGAGAAGGGTTGCGGATCGTTGGTGTGTAAGAGTGTTGAATGCAGCTTTGCTTTTCGAATGAACGGTTCCTTTGTAATAGCAAATGATGCCACAATCTATGTACACATTTGGGACCTGTTTGAAGTAGGCATCGACTGTCAACATATTCGCATACCAGATATCCATCCGGGAACACGCTTCGATTGATGTGTCCAATGCTGGAAGCGATTCCGGTCCTGGAAAGGGAAGTGACATCAATGGTGCTAGCTATGGAGGTTCAGGCGGTCGAGACGTGGATGACTATTTCACCTACGCATACGACGTTGCTCAAATCGTCGGTAATCCTCTCAATGAGTATGGGATCTTCATTTCCTCCTTCCTTTAGAATGGATAGCTATCTTCTCGGTTCCGGAACCGGTCGCCGTGGAGGCGGCCGAATCTGGCTCGAGTCAAAGAAGATCGAAGTCATGGGCTCTCTCAAAGCGAACGGCGAAGACGGAAACACCTACGGAGCCGGCGGAAGCGGCGGCACGATCGTTCTCCGCGCCCCCATGATCGTCATTGATCGTACCTCTCTCTCTCTCCCGTTTGCTTACTCTCAGAAAACGCAGCCATCTGGGCGAACGGCGGCATGGGGAACCCGGTTTTGCTCGGCAAGAACAGCTGGAAGTTCGGCGGCGGCGGCGGCGGGCGGATTTTTCTCCGTTACTCCGTTTTGGAATGTGGAAACCTCGACGTGATCGTCGCGTAGAAACGTGGAAACGGGGTAATGCGAAGCCGAGGCGGTCCGTCGAGCGGGTTTCGGCGCGGAATGATCGGCGGAGGCGGGACGATCACGCATTTTCTGCACACGGAGAACACCACAATGAGCGACGATTCCCCGCGGGAATCGCAGAGCATTTTCATCACCGTGGATAACCAGGATTTGAAGTCGACCGCGGGAACGCCGCTGAACTTGCCGCCGCACACGATTTCGGGTCTGACGGTGCAGCGAACCGCGGTTTTGTTCTCGAAAACGATCAGCATCCGGGACGACGAGGGAGGCGGCGTGCTGAACCGCGGTTTTACGCTGCGAAACAGCCACCTGGAGCCGTTTGACAGCGGGAATGGGATCGAAATCCACGCGTCGGACATCAGCATTCTTCAGAATTCGGTGCTGAGCTCGAAGACGAAGGTGGCGTTCGACACAAACGAGTTCAAAATGAGCCAGTCGACGATCAAGTTCGGAGGGAACTTGGTGCTGAACTGCAGCGGCATGGTGAATCTGGACGGGACGATCGCGGAGGAATACACGTCTTCGGAGTAGAGAATGACGGGTGTGTGGACGGTAGCTCGCACGTGGCGATCCAGGCGGCCAAGGAAATCACGATTATCGGAAGCGTGAATTCGCAGTTTATCCATCTGCGATCCAACGTGTCGATCAACGTCGTGGGGAGCTTGAAATCGCAGCGGATCGACTGCATCGCCGACGAAGTCTTCTACGAATCGGTACGCAGCGATTGATCGGGTTTTGATCGTCAGTACGACTACATCACGCAGAACTGGCCTCTCATCCAATCCCGTCTCCAGCAACACTACATCTTCCTGTATCTCCTCCTCCTCTCCTCCTCATCTCCAGCATCGCTCCTCTTCTCGGCATCGAAAGCAAGGCCTCCATCGAGGGCGGCAGCGTCTTCCTCGCCGGTCGCTCCACGCTCATCAACGGCCGCATCGACGCCAACGGCAGCGTTCGCTTCTCCTCCTCCCTTCCTCACGCACAGGGCTGTCCCAGCGGCCGCGGGCTCTCTCCGGGCCACGCCTCCAAGTCTCCTCACGGCTGCGCGGGCGGCGGGGGCTACGGAGGCCGCGGCGGCTCGGGCGGACTCGACGAGACGGGCGGCGAAGGCGGCGGGACGTACGGGAACCGGAGCTTCCCGCTGCTGATGGGGAGCGGAGGCGGGAGCATGAGCCAGAGCGGCGGGACGGGCGGTGGCGTGATCGTGATTTACTCGGGCGTGACGCGGATTCTGTACGAAGGAGGTGCGATTGGAGGGCGGCTGGGACGTAGTGGTGTCGGCGGATGGCAGCACGGCGTCCGCGGAGACCAGTGGCGGCGGCTCGGGGGGCAGCGTGTTCTTCATCAGCGACGAGATGGATTTCCACGGGGAAGTCCACGCGGACGGCGGGCAGGTGGGCGACGGGCGGGAGATTGAGGGGCAGGGCGGCGAAATGGGCGGCGGCGGAGGCGGCGGCGGGCGGATCATGTTCCAATTCAACGCGTCGACGCACACGACCTCGCAGGAGCGCTTCGACGGGCGCTACCACGCGCTGGGAGGGAAGCAAGGCGGGCAGATGGACGGCGCGCACAACCGAACGCACGACGGCGCGGACGGAACCGTCTGGACGTCGCTGGCGCCGTGCAGGCCGGGCTGGGGCTCGGTGTTCTGCACGGAGTGTCCGCAGGGCAGCTACAAGAACACGACGGACGTGTCGCTGTGCGTGCCGTGCGAGAACGCGCCGGAGCACGCGAACTACACGCAGCGCGGGTACGTCGATGCGAACTGCCCCTACGAATGCAATGAGGGCTTCCGCGGGAAGGACTGCCTGACGCCGTTCGAGGAGTTTCTGCGGCAGCTGGGCGGTCCGGTGGTGCTGATCGTGGCGTTCTTGCTGGTGGTGGTGGTGGTGGCGATTATCACGCTCGTGATCGTGCAGTATAACAGTAGGAGCGGCCGGGAACTGCCAGGTAGAAATCCAGGTGCGGCAGTATAAGCAGCTCGAGCAGACGGTGCCTTCCGCGTGGTATTCGCAGGACATCAACCGAATTCGGCAGAAGGAAAAGCTGAACTCGCATTATCTCACGATGAGCACGCTGTCGGAGCACGTGGGGCGGCTCTATTTGGACGGGAAAAACACCTTCTCCAGTCCGTGGAGACTTCCGGAACGGCCGCCAGACTCGCTCTTCCCGCTCATTTTCCTCCCTGAATACGAAAGCTTCCGCGATGAAGTCAACAAGCAACTGGCATACCACGCGTTCTGGAATTGGATTCTGTTCGATTTCGCTTCCTCTCTGACCGTCTAGCCTCGTTCTGGTCTGCCTCGTGTTCCCTCCCATCGCTTTCTATGTGCATTATCGGCTTCGCCGCAGCCGCGCGTTGGCCTTCGAGAACTACATCGCCTGCGGCAATCACTCCTTCCTGCGCGGTCCTCGCGCGCAGGCGCTTCTGGAATCGGTGAAATGCGGGTACGACGATAAATACTCGGTCGCGTACATCGATCTGCTCTATCTGGAAACGACGTCGCCTCCTGAAGGACTGACTGTGGGTAGGGAGAGAGAGGAAGAGTCGGGTGACGGGCAGGATCACCGCATTTACCGCTGATGCTGCTGCTGAGCGGGGACGGAACGGTGCTGAATCCGTACACGATCGATCTGAGCGATGTGCTGGTGATCTCGATTCCGAACTGCAAAGATCTCCAGAAGTTTATCGATCGCGAGTTTAAGCTGTTCTTGCTCGACCTGAATCGACTGCTGCGCGCTGTGGATCCGATCCAAGCGTCGCAGCGAGAAGACGTGATCGCTGTGCGAGTGGGAATGAAACGTGAACGTGAGTCGTAGGAGCAGAACAAAGAGATCATGAATCTCTTCCACGCCAACAATCATCGCTATCAGTCCCTTCTCTCCGCTGGCGTCAAAGTATCCCTCTGTTCCTTCTCTCTTTGCTAGCTCGACCTCGCCATCGCCTGGCCCAACCAGCCTTCCTTCGCGTCCAGCCAGTCGGCAGTGCCCGGAAGGTTCGCTCTGATGGTCTCCGCCAACTCGACTTCGCCCGTCGTCGTTTCGAGACGTCGCAATCTCTCTCTGAAGAAGCAGCCAGCGCAGGGCATTCGCGAGCGCGCGCTCTACGCGTCGTACCGAAAAGGTGCATCCGAAAGGAGCGAGTAACGCGCAGAATCGATGAACAAGGAGGTTTACAGCTCGTCGGACAGCACGTTCTCGCTACCCATATCCGAGAAAAGCTCCATTCGCGAAGAAGCGCTCTCCAAATTCGATTCGGACAAGGCTCTCGAGTCGTCCTTCTCGGCTACGTCCTCCAAGCGAGCGTCCAGCCAACTCTACGACACCACCAATCCGTGCCGAGCGATTTACATCACCCAGCCGTTCGCGGAAAACCAATACCAAATCGCCAAGTCTTTCACCAACATCGCGTATCGATTCTTCATGCGACGGCCTATCGCTCCTCGCCGAATGACCACTCGTCTTTACATCAAATTCATCCTCATCCTCGTCTCCATCATCGATCTTCTCTGTTTCCACTTTTCGATCCACTCAACTCCAGGCGTTCTCACGCTCGATATCAACATGTACTGCACCGATTTCCAAAGAACATCCACGTGTTCCCCCATCGCAGTCGTCGTCTCGATGCTCCTGTTTCTCCGTTTCTCCGTTTGACTCACGTCTAGGTTCCCCTTTTCGATTATTTTAGCTCCGCTCATCACTTTTGTCACTTCGATCACGAACTTTTACAAAGCAGCGTGTTTGTCGCTGTTCTTGCAGTGGATGTCGGTTCCCGCGGTTTTGTCCATGCTTTTCTTCGTGGCGTGGACGCCTTTTGTTGGGAGAACCGTGGTTTTGATTTTGTTTTTGCTGGGTTTGAAGTTTGTGGAGTATAGAGTGGGGCGAATTGGTAGGGGTGTGATGTAGTTATTGCAATGTTTAATTGCGATTTTGGAAACGAGAGAGAAGATCCGAATGGAGAAGAAGGAAGATCATGAATTGCGAAGAGCATTCTCTATGTCGGACGGTGGAACGTAGGGATAGATGGGGTAGGTTGAAGAGTAGGGGGCGAGTCCCGTCCTCAGGTTCCCTTGGAATGGTAATTCGTCCCAAGTACTTAGACCCCACCGTTAACTCCTTTGATTAATCGCTTTCCCTTTGTGTTGAGATAGCATCTCTGTTGGTGTAGTAATTTGCTTATTCTGTCAAAATGTTTTTTCACACTCACAATTCCATTATTGAATGTGACCAGACGCATGCCTCGTGTGAATCCAACTTATTTCTATATCGATATAATAAAGGAAAGCAACGTTTCAAAAAACGATATGAGCTACGCTTTTCTCCACTTCGTATTTGATTCTGTGTTTCACGTTATGAATAGAAGCAGAATATTCTATCGTTTCGATAAAAGAATTAGAAGTGAAGCCTTTTGGAGAGTATCGACGTTTTTTATTATAATGATTGTATAGAACGTGCATTTTCTGTCTTATCCATGTTGATTCTCTTTCTCGCTATGAACTCTATCAATTAGAGTTTGAAACAAGCAAGTTTATGTTTATGCTCTCATTCACATTCAACGGATCAGTTGAAAGTATAGGAACATAAATGGATTCTATGGATTAGAGCTGTTCCTTGTTGATGGTCCTCAAATTGCTTCTGAAGACGGCGATATCTCTATTCTACAGATCGATCCTGCGTTTAGTGAAAGACAGATGGTCCAATCGGAGCCTACGGCAGTTATTGTCACTTCCCCTTCGTACATTCTTTTATTTTTTGAATGTTGATGTTTCAGTGGTTCCTCCAATTCGACTCTATCCGTTGTATATGCAAACAATACATTTTCCATTCCACTTTCTTCCTGCCCTCTCTCTCCCCCGTTTTCCACAGAAATCGTCAGCACATCTGATAACTTTTTCTACTGCGTTCTTCACTCTCCCTCCACGGTCCTCATCGGTGTGTTCGTCGAGTCTCTCTTCGTTTCGCTCCTCAACGAAACAGCCGAGTTCCGATCCATCGAAAAAGTCCGATATTTTGGAAATCAAGCCGTCATCGTTCAGCTCAACTCCTCAGCAGTGATTCTGCGCAATGGAAGGATTGAATCGCGGTTTCGAGGCGAGCAAGTCTTTGTGGACGATTTCTGCAATTCCGGATTTCCGGCTTATTTCTGCCTGGAGAACGAGAAAACAACGGAGTATTCGTTGCTGATGGCCGATCACGCTGTGTTGGTGCGTTCGTTTCTTCGCATTCACTCCCAAAAGCGAGACAAATGTCGGATGGAGCCGCAGACGTCGCTTCAGCCACGCGAAGGGCAGTCAAAACTAAACGAAACTGGGCGTTCTTTGTTTTTCTTTGGGCTTCGCAATCGGATGCAGGTTTTGGAGAAAGAGCTGAAAAAGATTCGCATCCAGGAAGAGGTTTTGGTGTCCATCGAGCGACGTGAGAAGCAGAATGTGCGTTGGAACCGATTTGTGGAGGGGAGAACAGCGATTCGATCGAAGGCAATGGAGATGGCTGCGATTCCGATTGGCGTGGAACGAATTCAAAGCTGGAAAATCGGGAAATCGATCAGAGTCGAACTCGAAGGAGTTTGGAAGGAATCGACTTGCAAAGCGTTTTTTTGGTGTTATGCTTTGTGTCAGAATTGCTCGATTCGTTCAAAGAGAAATCAAATCGCAAACGGAAGGTTCCGCGCTGTTTTCTTCGTCGAAGGGGTCAAACTGCTATCAAAGGACCCGTCCTTTTATTTGTTTGTCAACTGGGATGGGGTGAATCGCTTCCTAGGCGAGTATAGCTTTGCATTGAAGCCGCAAGATTCGTCCGATTACGCTTTGATTTATAAGGAACATCTTGAAAGCTCAAAAGTCATTCATTACCTCAAGCAAATCCCGGGCGTTCGCTTTTCCTTCGTTACTTCCTCGATGAAATGTGCGCATGTTTCCACAGATTTTGACACGATGCTGCTTTTAGAAAAAACGATTCGCAGGATCGATCCGCACTCTTCTGTTTTGGTGGATCGCCTTCCCTTGCAGAAAACGTGTGAATTGATTGAGTCAATATGCGAATGTCTTTTGAATGAGTTACGACTTATAAAAGAGGAGAATTGCGTACTGCGTTGTGAGACCCAGCGATAACGTGTAGAAAACGGAGCCTACCAATTATCAAATACACAAAAGGTTACTGAGGTTACGAATTGAAACGGATGCCTTTTGTTTGAAGCTGTTTTCTTTCATTGAGGGAGACAAGACCCTGCAAATGTGGAAATTGTTACCATAGCAGTTTGTTTGTTTCTTTATGGATTGATTGATTGTTAATGCTTGCGATGAATAGCAGGAAGGGAGAAACATTTTGGATAAACATCTATTTGTATAAAAGTTGGGTGGGGTTACAAGATAATAATTTTCAAACAAACAAAAATGCTATCATATTACACATTTAGTATTTACTTCTTCAAATTCACCAAGAACTTCGAGATTCCTGCATTGTTAGGAACGAAAGTTTTATCACCTTCGTGCCAGTTCGCAGGACAGACTTCTCCGTGTACATCACTGAACTGAAGTCCCTTGATCACACGGATCGTTTCATCCACACTACGACCAACTCCATTATCATTTATATAAATATGACGGATTTTCTGATTCGGATCGATCAAGAACAATCCTCGGAAAGCTTGAGCATAATCCAAACCCGATTTATCTTCATTGTATACTCCATAGTTCTTCATCGTCTCACGAGTCACATCCGAAAGCAACGGAATATTGATAAGACCACCCAGTCCACCCTCAGAACGGGATGCCTTCAACCAACTCAAATGAGTATAAGGAGAATCTCCAGAAATTCCAAGCACCACAGTGTTCACTGCAGCCAACTTGTCCGCAGCATCATTATAAGCGAATATTTCGGTGGGACAAACGAAAGTCCAATCCATGGGGTAGAACAACAGAATTACCCACTTTCCCTTGTAGTTATCAAGCGAAATATTGGAAATTGTTTCAGTTCCTTGAGCTCCATTCAAACAAAAGTTGGGAGCAGTTTGACGAATCGTGACGGGCATTTCTTAACTTAAGTAAATATAGATAAACAAATAAATAAATAATGAATATTAATGTAGAAAGTGAGCTCATTTTTGCTCAAAGAAAAGGTTGGGAACAAATGAATGAAACTCCCTTCTTTTCTCAAAGATTCTAAAAATAGGATTTTCAAACAAACAAACAACTAATAAATGACTATATTGAACACAGAACATCGAATACATAATGGAAGACTTTGGGAGCATAGGATTTCACCTTCTCAACATGAGCAACAGAGCAGTGCAAATTCTTTCCTTTCTGCTGTGCTATAATTTCCAATTCTTTAGTTAGATTCGAAACAAAAGAATCAAACTCATTATCGTGCACATTTTCATGAACATGCAACATGCCTCCCTATTCCTCAATAAATAACATCAATTATACCGTTGGCTTTAGAATCTGCATAGCAAGAGGCCATCCCTCTCTTGAAGAGGGTAATAACCCAAGCAACACTCGATCAGCTAAATCCTTGTATTGTCTCGTTGTTATTCTGTTATCTCCCAATATAACCTACAAATCAACCAGCACACAGGCAATCCTACTTCACATCGATCCGCAACTCCGTTCTGATCAATATTCCGTTTCAATGCTTCCACGCTGTCCGAATTGATTTCAAAACAAAGAACGTGCTTTGCTCCTGATCGCACAGCGATCGGGATCGTGAAGTACCCGATTCCCTGGACATCAAAAGCAAAAAATCAACGCAAACGGCGTAAAGATCAACAACAAATTCGTCGTTTCCACGGATTTCCCCCATTCGCTTTCGTTCCGTGTTGTTCCCGCTAGCAAACATCACTTTCTCGAATGGCCAGGAATACAGAATTCCGTTCTAGACATGATGATGATCATGATGATGATGCCCACCTGGCGAAGCGTTACCCAACCGTCCTCCGCCTCCACTTCGCTATAGATAATGCGAGAGTGGCTCTGCCGCTTGGGACCGCAATCAATTTCATGATGGATTCCAACTCGACCACACTTCGTTATTTCAAGTAATTGATGAAAGAAGGAACTCCACTCCGAAGAGAGCGGGCGTTTCGACAACACACTGGGCATTTCCGTCAATTCATTCCAAAAATCGGCCGATTTTTCGCCCGAAAACGAGACTCTGCTGAACACCAAAATGTTTCCAACGATTTCACTGCGGCGATACGCCACGCTTTTGGAATTCCAATTTTCGCCACGATTTTTACAGAACGATTCGATCAGAACCCGAATTCGGTCCGGCAGAGAATTCGACGGCTTCACGGAAGAAATAATCGCGGGACCGGAGGACAAAATGGGCTGGATCGATTCGGGGGCGTTTTCTGTCAGTTGCCGGAAATCGGGGGTATTTTTGACGGGCACGCCGAAGGACTGATCTTCGAAGCGCGTGATTCTTCGCGTCTTGTCGTAGAGTTGCTTCTCCTCCAAGAACGTTTTGACCTGTTTGACCTTCGATTGACAAAACGCCCACAACGCAAACCAGTTTCGAATCCGTCACGTGGAGCATCCACTGACTCGCCTCCTGCGGAGTTTCTCTCTTCATCTGTAACTCCCGGTGCGGGTGTGAAACTCCCTTTCGAAGAATACACGCACTGGGCGGGAATGCTAAGCAGGCCGGCGCTCTGCAGGAGCAGGACGCGTTGAAATGGGGCATCCAATAGAACACGCCGCCGCCTCCAATGAGCACAACTCGCTCGGCTACGACGTGGATTGTGTATCCCGCGAGAACGGACGGAGTGGGCGGGAAGCAAGACGTGATGTCTGTGATTCGGACCTGCAGGCCGGAGCCTGCGCTGAGCTCGTTGGGTTGGTCGACTTCGATTAATTTCCATGCTGGTTGGAGGCGAGCTGGCTCCATTCCGAGGAGAAGGAATTGATTGGCTGCGAGTTTTTCGCTCTAGGGAGCAAGGAGAGGCGCAAAGTACGCGGCAGTTTTGCAAGGCGAAGCGGACGGAGGGGACGGTGCTCCACTGCCGTTTCGAGAGTTTGAAATGAAAGAGAGAGGAGGTGGGCGGGAGGGAAGAGGTCCCGCCCAAAACGAGAAAAGAATCGTGGGTGGAGTGGGGGAGCGAAGTTGGGGGACAGAGCGGAAGCAAACAGGCGCGGAACAAGGGGCCTGGGGAGGGCTCTGCGTTGTAGATGCTATTCGTGTTGTCGTAGAGACAAAACCATGTGGCGGTGCGCGTTTCTTTCGCGAAGTGAAGGCTCCAGCAATCGCCAAACTCCGAAGAGGAATCACGACCCCCAAAGAGAACCGCTACACGGTCGCCCATGCTTTGAAAGCTAGTGCTCCAGCGAGGAGACGGCCATGCAGACAGAGATTTGTCTGCTTTGGATGTCAGATCGTACCAAGTACGACTATCAAGATCAAAATACCACAAATCACCTAAGGGTGTCGATGGGTTCGTTCGACCTCCAAAAAGAAGGATTCCATTATCGATCCAGCATACAGAAGAGGCAATTCGGCTCGAGGGTCCGTTTTCTTGCGTAGAAGCGACTAACTCGAGATTATTCGTCAAGGCATCCAATAAATATAAGGAGTTCAAACGGGAAGCCATCTTTGAATCTGGCATCGTTCCATAGCCCCCAAAAATCGCAATATAGTTTGTACCCGGTACTATCAATCAAAAGCAATCCCTAAAATAGCACTTCGACAACTGCTGTGCTGAAATCGCTCCAATTTCTCTGAGCATGGTAGTGACTTCCATTGCATAGTCTCATCTTGGCTTTTCTCTATCTGAAAATCGATGTTTGTTGCCATCTCTACAAATGTCGTGATCTATGAAATAAGAAGCATTTCGTACAAAATACACAAGCCAGAATCAAATTCCTGTAGAATACAACAAGGCTGTCGAAATATGGAATTCCAAATTACGTTCATCCACGATAGAATCGATCAGGTTTAAATTCTAGGTTTGTTGTTCATTTCCGATTCTGGGGTGTATTTTGGTTTTGTTTTCAATTCTGAGTCTATACAATGGTTACTTGTGCACATCACAGAAACTGTATGTAGTATCACCGGTATTGAATGTTTTTAAGCTGAGCGGATGTTTGGCTAAAATCTGTCTTGTTGCTTTTGAATTATTCCATTCTAATCTATTTCTAGACCGTCTTACTTTCAGCACTCCTCGTCGCCCCTTCGAGCGCGAGCGTTTGGACCAGGAGCTCCGTATTTGCGGAGAGTTCGGTCTGCGCTGCAAGCGTGAGATCTGGCGTGTGCAGCTGGTGCTCGCCAAGATCCGCAAGGTATTATTTCGTGCATATTTCTAATGCGAAGGCTGCTCGTGAATTGCTGACTCTTCCTGAGGATGATCCTCGCAGAATCTTCCAGGGAGCTGCCATCATTCGCCGCATGGCTCGTCTGGGACTCGTCTCTGAGGAGGAGATGAAGCTCGATATGATTCTGGAGCTGTCGACTTCCAAGCTGATGGACCGCAGACTGCAGACCCGTGTGTTCAAGCTGGGCCTTGCCAAGTCGATCCACCACGCTCGTGTGCTGATCAAGCAGCGCCACATCCGTGTTGGCCAGCAGGTGGTGAACGCTCCTTCGTTCATGGTTCATGTGGATTCGGAGAAGCACATCCAGTTCGCTGAGAACTCTCCTTATGGAGGCGGTCGTCCTGTAAGAAGCTTTGTGTGAGGGCGAATTGCTAATGTGTAGGGACGTGTGGCCAGAAAGCACCACAAGAACGATAAGGCGGAGGCTGAGGAATAAAAGTCTTTGTGATAACCTGCACTCAGATGCACTGTTTGTAACAAACACGTCCAATGATGATATGGTGACCTAATGATTGAATGAATGAATGAATGAATGGATGGATGAATGAATGAAGCGATTAATAATTGAATTTGGGGATTCTCATATACACGGGAGGCTTGAAATGGAGATCCCTGGCGACTTCCAGCATGTCCAAGTAAGTCTCTCCGATCGTCTTTGGAGGGGGCGACGTTACCGTCGTGGAATCCATCGAAGCGAATCGTGGGCTCGTCGGCTTGGCCAACGTGCTGCCTTTGCGGGGCGAAGTGGGAGGCGAAAGAGGCTTCTTTGCTCCCGTTGTCTCCGCTGAATTCCTGGAAGCATACGTCGGATGCAGCTCCGATCTCTGTATCCACGCATCGGGATCGCTCTGCGGCGCCTCCGTTCTCGCAGGATCCATATTAGGCAGGCCGGCGGGTTGAAAGCGCTCGGTAGGACAGTCGGTTCCTTTCTGCCCCAACACGGCCAAATAGGCGCTGTAATAATCGGAGTCCTTGAAGATCTTGTTCGACCCCATCGACCACACCGCGTCGTACCGAATGTTCGTCTGATTGATGCTCTCCAGCCAGTCCGCGTCGGCCTCGCCCTCCCTCTTCATTCTACGCTCCACACTCCTCCTCTCTCCTACTCCTCCAGCCACTCCTTGCACTGCTTCACGCTCTCCTGATACGAACTCGTCAGTCCCTTCCGCTTCTCCGTCTCCTCGTTCACCTCCACCCACTCCTTGTCTCCCTCTTTTCTCAACTTCTCCGCCTCTCCGCTCATATCGAACGTGTCCCACGCCGCCATCTCCACGCCGTCCACCTCCACCCATCGATTCCGCATCACCGGGATCGCCTTCACGCCCGGGTTCTCCGTCGTTCGCAGGAATCCCCAGTAGCACAGCCCGCGCGCCACCGTTTCGTCCGCCTGCACCACTTCCGAGAACCGACCGCGGTTCTGCGCGAATTCTTTGTACATCCGCAGCACTGCCGGCACGCGGCTCGACGACCCGCAGAAGCAGAACTTCGTGATGGGGCGATTCCCCGCGGTTTTGAAGAGCAAATCGCGGAGATGAGCGACCAAATCGGTGGTTCTCTTGGCGTACTCGCGGTAGTCGAGCGTGATGGGATCGCACTCCAGGCCGGGGAGTTTGTCCACCTCGACGAGCAAATCGTGGATATCGCCGCACAGATTGTGCTTTGTTTTCTTCATGAAGGCGATCAGCGCGTAGAGCAGCCGGTTATCGGTCTGGGCGCGCTTTTTGACGCCTTCTTCTGCTTTTTCCAGCTCATCCATGAAGTAATCGTAGAACCGCGCGTCGAATTCGCGACCGCCCAGAGTGGTGAGCGCGCGGACATCTTCGATGACGGCTTCGGACTAGTGGATCATTTTGAAACAAGAAGAAAAGCGAACCTTCGAGAATCGCGCGATGATGCAGGAGGAGTAGGAATAACCGACGTTGAGGAAGCAGACGCGATATTCGCCGACTGCATTCTCGAAGTCGTGAAAATTGGAGAAGATATAATCGTAAACGATGGCGACATGATCAGGCAAGTAGAGCACGTCCTTCAAGTCGGCAATTTTGACGGCAGTGAGCAAAGCATCCACTTGTTTTTGTGTCCAGACCGAGGGGACCTACATTCTGTAAAGCTAACAAAACTGAAAAAACAAACATTGACCACAACGCGAGCAGGGTTGACGACGGATGTGCTGATTTCCGTTTTCAAATAGCCGAGGATTTGGCTGATGATATACTCAGGGGAGAAAGATATCAGTCTCCCGTTATCCACTGAAATTTTGATTTTAATTCCTTCACCGGCGTTTTCTCCCATTTCCATAATGTACTGCATACCAGGAATCGAACTCCACTCCGGTTTGATCTCATCAGCACCCAAAAGAGTTTTGATATAGTATAATGTGTTCTTCAGGAAGCAATTTGTCTAAAATTCAAAGCGAAATTGAAGTCGCACTCCAACCTGAGAGCCGTACATGGGCTCGTTTTTTCTGACTGACATAACAGTTCTACGCGTCAGATACACCTGTCTAGCCACTACGGCATCGATCGAATGAACGCTCTGCCATTCAGGTTATTTAGTTGTGGGTAGGGCCCACCGTTATACGTGGAGTATATGACTCTCGTCTCGGAGGTTCCCAGATCAATCGCCACAATGCTATTATTGCTCATAATAAAAAAAGTATGACAATGTTAAACCACAACAAACAAACAAAACTAATTAATAATTATTATTATTCTTATTCTGATTCAATCTAAACAAACTTAAGTGCTTTGCTCACTCGCCACGGACTCGATATCCTCCAAATCTCCGATCCCCAACGTGTCCGCATGCGGCGACATGATCCCGTGTGCCCGCTCCGGATCCACCAAAAACGGCAATTTTCCTCCCAATTCCGCCTTCTTTTCCTCCGATTCCTCCTTTCCGACGCCCATCCGATCCAAGAAGATCTGATGATTTCCCCGCGCTGCTTCGCTTCGCTCCTCCGCGTCGTCCTCCACCACGATTTCGTCGCCCTCCGCGAACCACGCGCTCATCCGCTCGTCCTGCTCGAACGTCGGCATCATCTCCACCGTCGCATCGCGAAGCTTTTTCCCGCGGTATTCAACCTGCCAATCAAATCGCGGCACCATTCCCACGGAAAAACACTGCAGCGCGTTCAGCGAACGCACCACGCTCTGCACCGTCAATCGGTTCAATTCACGCAATTCCGAATTAACCGCGGTTATCGTGTGGATGAATTCGGTCACGCCGCAGTACTAGCCATAAGCGTAAAATAACCGCGGGTACCGCCAGCCACAAGGGCGGGAAAACGGAGTCCGAAAAAAAGTCCCGAATTCTGGAGAGCAGAACTTCTTTTAGAAGCTATGGGTTGGTGGAAACGTGGAAACCGACCTCGATGATCTGCTGAATGATTGGCGAATGCGAAAACTTGCGTCCCCGCGGGAGCGTGACGACATGTCTGCATGTCAGAAATCGGGGGAATTTTTGGACTGTGTGCTCATGAGCGAGTGGAGAGCGTCCTTTACCGCGGGGAAAAGCTGGAACTGGAGGAGGGAGGCCCACTCGGCGGGATCGATCCATTGCATTCTGGAGTCCCCAAAAAGCGTCTATTTTATAACAAGATCTAACGAGATTTACGCGAAGACACGTGAGACCTTCGCGGATCGGTGGCTCGTAGCGATCTTTGCAGATGAGGGAAGCGACGCGGAGTAAGGATTGCAACTCCGCTGGATCGAAGTCTACAGCGTCAATTTTTATTTTATAAAATAGGGAACCGAAATCATCATCGGCCATGCGACGCTCGTAGCTCTTCCAGATGTTGTTGTTGATCACGTAGCAGTAGTTGATAATCGAAATATAGCAGTTGAACACGGCGCTCTCGAGCTCTACCATGCAGAGCGACATGCACTCGTACCTTGCTTCCCTGCCGCGCGATTCTCTTCGTTATGGAGGTAGAGATTGTTAATAAGCAGGCAGAGCGTCGAAGTAAAGTCGTTCGGGATGAACTTGTTAATCTCCTGGTTGTTGAAGATAAAATCGATTGTTTGTAAAATATCGATGTTTTTGTGATCGCCGGAGATGATGAGGCAGTTGATGATGTTCTCGAGGATGTACCACACTTCAGGACGCTCGTCCAGCGAGTCTGCGATGTTCGTCACCACGTTTAGAAGCACGGAGGAGATTTCGCCGGACACTAAGCTCGTGGAGGGAAGATTGACGAAGCTTTCTAGCAGCTGCAGCGATTTGTAGTCGAACTCAAACGCGTTCTCCACGACACACCCCACACTCCATAGCAGCGCGGAGAACTCGCAGGAAGGGATTGGAACGGATGTGGCCCAATTCTTAAAGAATAGGGACAATTGGGGCAGCAACAAACGCAGACGATCCTCGTTCCATGTCACGATCTCCACCAAGATCCCGAAGAGGATGATTCGCTGCATCTGCGCGCTCTGCTCCAAACTCTACTTTTAAATCCGCTGAATGCAGCCACTCCATCGAATTCCGCCACATCCCCGTCTTCTTCCAAATCTATGCGATTACCACAAAACACGATGCCTTCTCCCTACATAGAGGTTGTTTGATCAAGCGGAGCAACGAAGACACCATAATCTCGACGGTCGTCGTGGACACGGTTTCCGAGTTGACAGCGCGCAAGAAATCGTTCTCTGCGATCGCTCGGACCGCATGCCTCGTTAAGATCACCTTCTTCCTTTCGTCATCATCATCACGCAATTTCAAATCATCATCCTGTGGATATTCTCTCCATATCGCGCTGCGCAGCGGCAGGATCGACACGAGGATCGGGTCTGGACCGTCTGAAGCTCGTGGAGGCCTTCTCCTCGGTGATGTCGTTAATGGCGGTCATCAAGTGGTCATGACAGACGGGCCGAATCTACCTCGCATCTCGTCTGCATCCCCACATTGACGTGACTCTTCGCCTCGGCCAGAACGACCTGGCGGAGCACGGGCGCGGCGTCGGGCGCGTTGAACATCGCTTTCATTTCGTTGGGCGACGTCCAGATTTCGTTCTCGCGCCCCACGAAACGAGCCAAGATCTCCTTCTCCGCGCTCACCATTCCCATAAAATACACCGCCGACACCATCGAGAACTAAAATCAAACCCCGATCACTCATCATTACCACATCGCTGTACCCCTTCTGAATCGACCCTCCATTCTCCCGAATCATCTCCAGCAGCGTTCTATAGCACTCCACTCCCACGCATACACCGCCCTTCTCCGCGTCCTCGCTCGCTCCACGACCGAACTCACGCACATTCCGCAGTGGCGAGTACTCCAGCCACACCACGCGTTTCCCCGCTCCCCCGCGGGTCTCGGCTCCCTCCGCGCGCACGAAGCAGAGGTCTCCGACGGGCCTGGCCGGTTCCGCGGTTATGAGCGCGTGGAAGCGGGCGGGGCGGACGGGGAGGCGGGTGCGGTCGACGAGCAGCTGCACGACGGAGTCCACGAGGAGGTTGTTCTGCGCGTGGGCGGCGGCGCGGAGGAGGGAGCGCGCCATGCGCAGCGCGGTGGAGACCCAGAGCGCGCTGGCGGAGCGCTGGAGAAGCGTCTGGAGCGTCTGCAGGAGGAGCGGCGACGTGGCTTTCAGCAGCTCCGCGTGCATGCTATCGTGGAAACGGGGAAACGGGGGTACAGAGGGAGCTCGGAGAGGGAGAGGACGTGGTAGTGGGCGTTGCGCGGGAAGAAGTCGCGGTTGAGGGCGACGAAATCGGCCCATTTGAGGGGCGTGATGATGTTTTCGTTCTGCGGCTGGAGTGGAAACGGGGAAAAAGAAACGCACGTCGTCGACGATGAGGAGCTGCTCGGCGAGAATGCTGCGGTAGATGGAGGTGAGGAGGGCGGCGGGGAGCGGGCAGTCGCGGTTCATCTCTCCGTAGGTGGTGTTGAACTTGATGTAGTCGTCGAGCGTCATGCGCGCCTCGTCCTTCATGTTCTGGTTGTGCAGGTCGGTGTTCAGCATGATGATCGAGAAGCACAGGCAGTACGTCACGTCCGCGCTGTGCAGCTCCGCGTGCTCCGCGCACTGCACGTACACGTGCTTCGAGAACGCCTGCGATGGAGCCGCCTCGCCACGCTCACCTCCATGATGCGGTCGATCTGCTGGGACTCGCCGGGGAGGCGGAAGCTCTCCAGGAACATGCGCAGCGACGACAGCAGATCGATGCCGTAGAAGTTGAACGACCCCACGTACTCGTCCAGCACCGCTCTGTTGAACTCCTTGTTCTTTCCCAGGAACTCGCCGATCTGCTTCTTGTCCAGCAGGCTCGACGACCGCAGAAACCGCGCCACTTCGCTCGGCGTCGGCTCCTTCGACAGCAGCCCTGCGCGTTACCTCGGCGTCCCTCGCCTACCGCAGTTGCTGAGGAAGGAGAACACCGTCTTGTCGCTGCTGTTGAACTTCGCCACGGCCTTCAGGAACTGGTGGCTGCGCAGCACCAGCCCCGAGCTGCCGCGGCCGCAGTCCGTCACGTCGCTGAGCGGACTGTCCACGACCAGCAGAAGGATCTTGCAGAGCAGGTCGGTGTTGTTTAGGGGCGTCGAGGGGGCCTGGGAGCGCTGCTGCTGCTGCTGCTGCTGCTGCGCGAGGAGATGACGGTAGTGCGGAAGCATGTCGGAGAAATAGAACTTGATCTTCTCGCTGATCTAGCCGTGACGGGGAAACGGGGAACCGACGATGGAGAAGAGGATGGAGGTGATGTTGAGGGAGTAGACGTCGCAGTCGTAGTTCCGAAAGAGGTTCTCGAGGGCGTTGGGCTTCTCCAGGATGCCGAGCAGCGTTTCGAGCAGCGTCCGCTCCATCAGGAAGCGATCCATCCGCTTGTACATGCCGATATTGCCCAGCATGTGGAACACCACCTTCTCGAACACGAGCTCCAGCTCCTTCTTGTAGAACCGCCACAGCTTCGACGCCACGCACGAGAAGATCGTCATGGCCTCCGAGAAGATCGCCACGTCCGCCTGCTGGTGGTACAGCAGCATCACCAGCGCCGCCAGCGTGGAGCGCGAGAGAACGCGCGCCAGCGCGCTGCGGCCGCGGAACAGCGCGCTGAAGGCGGTGATGATCTTGCGGAGAGGCCGGAGGCTGAAGAGGATGCGTCGCTGGTCCTCGGCGGTGGCGGCTTCGAAGATGGGGAGCTGAGAGAGAGGAGAGAAGCGGGGCTACGCTGATGGCGCCGGAGAGCAGCTCCACGCTGCACAGCGCGACGGGGAGCCAGCGCGCGGCGGGGTCCGGCGAGGCGGCGGGGCTCGGCGAGGCGGGGGCGCGCTGGAGGAGGAACGGGGAGGGAGAGGCGTCCCCGCGGGAATCGGAGGGGCGAGGAAGCGAGGCGGAGAGGGGAAGGGGGGAGCGAGGGGACTGCGGAAGCGACGCGGAGAGAGGAACCGAGGCCTCGGGAGAAGGGATGCGGGCATTGGGATTGGAATTGGAATTGGAATTGGAATTGGAATTGGAAGTGGAAGTGGAGGGCGCTGCGGGTTGGTCTGGGTCCGTGCGAGGTCTGGGCTCAGGGGGCTCAGGAGATTCGGTGGACTCAGGAGATTTTGCTTGCTCTTTCGCCTCGATGGGCTCTTTAACCTCGTTGGCCTCGTTAGCCTCGTTAACCTCGTTGGCCTCGTTGGCCTCGTTGGCCCGGCTGGGCTGGTCCACTTCATCGACTTCGCTGGGCTCCTCCTCCTTTTCCTCCTCGGAGTGAATGTACTTCCGCACCGTCGCGTTCTGCGTTTCCTCCACTTCGTGGAACGGCGAGTACTTCTCCGTGCTCACCTCCATCGCTGCCTCGCGCTCCACAGAGCCATCGCTCGACTCCTCCGCGCTGTCCTCGCTCTCGACCGGACTCGACTCCGCCACGATCGCCATCAGACGCAGAAGCAGGCTTTCCAGCGTTTTGCTGGCTTCTTTTCGCAGCATCTCCGAGTATTTCTCCTAGAGTCAACATGGAACACAACGGAACACTTGAGAGTAGATCGAGTACAGCGAATAGAGAACCGACCAAATGAGATCGTTCGATAAACGAGACCAACACGGCGAGGCAGAGAGCGAATTATAGAAGGTTAGAGTACTCGCCAATGCTGATTCTTCGTCATAATGATGATAGCGCTTGCACTGAACAGAAAAGAGGCACTCTAAAAAATCGCTCAAGAGAGGAGTGATGTGTTCAAAATCACTATCCGCCAACTTCAAGTCGAGGAGACTCGAAATCGAATCTAAAAGGATGCACAAGACGTGCGCAGAAATATCAGGAAGAGTGAGTAAATGGGTGTAGATTTCGAAGAGATTCGACAATGTTTCGATTGAGATATCTGCACAAAAATAAGACGAACTTCTCTCTACCATCTTCGTTCTCGGAAAGCCCATAAAACAGAGTTTCCAGATTGTGTAACCAGTTTGAAAGATTTTCATCGTTATTCTACTCTGATACCTTGGAAAAAATAGAGTACTGATGGAAGGGAAGCTGATTGCCAACTGAGATACAATTCAGGAAGGATGTATCTCAGTTCGGCTTTTACCAGCAAACTCTTGTTATGAGTTCGGTTCATGCCACTTCGAACGATTTGTTCAAGGAAACAAAATCACAATGATAATTTACATAACAACTAGTATCCTTCTTCTTCTTCTTCCATGGTCTAGGCGTCACCTTCCTCGGTTTGTTTTGGTCGTTTGCTGCGGCATCCGCGGCACTTCTTCGCCTGCTCCTCCTCCTCGAGTCTGGCTCGTTCCTCTTCCGCGCGCTGCTGTTCCTCCAATTCGCGCTGCACGCGCTCCGCCTCCTCCTTCTGCTTCCGCTCCTCCTCCTCTTTGCGCTTCCGCTCCTTTTCCTCCTCCTCTTTGCGTTTGCGTTCCTCTTCTTCCTTGCGCAATCGCTCCTTTTCCTCCTCCTCCTTTCGCTTTCGCTCCTCCTCCTCTTTCTGTCTTCGCTCCTCCTCTTCTCTCTGCTTTCTCTCCTCTTCCTCCTTTCGCAGTCTCTCCTCTTCCTCCTTTCGCAGTCTCTCCGCTTCCGCTTCCGCCTCCTCCGCTTCCCTTCTCTTTTTCTCTTCCTCCTCTTCGCGCAGCAATCGTTCCGCCTCTTCCCTCATGATCCGTTCTTCCTCCTCCCTTCGCAGTCGCTCCGCCTCCTCCTCGGCCTCTCTTCGCTTCCGCTCTTCCTCCTCCTCCTTCCGCCTTCTCTCCTCCTCCTCCTTTCTCTGCAGTTCCTCGCGCTCCTTCGCGATCATTCCCTCCAGCTCCCCGATCTTCCGCTCCATCTCGGCGATCGCCGCGTCCACCTCGCTCGTGTCCGCGCCCTCCGCCTCCAGCTCCGCGCGCTTCTTCCTCATCTCCTCCAGCATCCGCTTCGCCAGCGCGCACTCCTCCTCCGCCTTCTCGATCTTCGCTCGCAGCTCCTCCACGCTCAGCTCCCGCGCGCCCTCCGACTTCTTCGCCTTCTTGGAGCTCTTCGAACTCTTCGAACTCTTGGAGCTCTTCGAACTCTTGGAGCTATCCGAGCTGTCCGAGAGCTCCAGGTCGTTCATGTCGATTCCGCTCAGCACGTCCGCGCACAGTCCCTCCACCGCGCGGTTGAACGCCGCCTCGCACGCCTCGCGCAGCTCCGCAAACCCCTTCAAACTCTCCGCGATGCGCTGCTGGCGCTCCTCCTCCGCCTGCCGCTCGCGCTCCAGCGCCTCCAGCTCCTCCGCGGTCAGCTGGATCTCCTCCTCCTCGTTCACCAGGTCCATCTGCGCCACGGCGGGGCTGTACGCCTTCTCCACGTAGGTCTCCAGCTCCTTCGACACCTGGTGCAGACCCTTCGGGATGCCCAACTTGGCAAAGGCGCAGAGCGTGGCCGTGATCTGCTTCAGATCCCCACGCTCAAAGTTGCTATAGTTACACACATCAGAGCGGCGCATGCCCAGGGCTACGCAGCAGTCTGCAAATAGGGTAATGTTGTCACGGGCTTGGAAGCTCATGGGCTCTGCAGAGTAAAGGGGAAGAAAAATGAACTACTAGCTTCTTTGTGCCATCGCTTGTCCACAAGCAAGAAGGGAAGGTGCTTTTCCACGATGGTCAAAAGGACGACGCCGCTGATCAGAGACTCCGGCAGATCGGCATCCACCTCCTCGCCGTACATCTCACTCAACCACTTCGCTAGCTCGTCGCTGATAAACTATCGCTAAGACTCCCCACTCGCTGCCCACCTTCAATTCTTTCGCGTTAAAACTCAAACGACGAGCCGAAAAGGATGCAGTGTCAGTCACTTGCTGAATGATAAGACGTCTTCCAGACGTCATCTTAATAGGCAACGAATCATTTCCACTCATTTTGATATCTTTTTTTGCAGTTTTTCGAAAAGTGATTGAGCCAATCAGATTGTTGATTTCGTCACTGGAACAAAAACGGTTTAACCGGCCGAAGCCATCCCGCGCGGGCTCTCTCGCCCTCCCTTCTCTTCCAGACCCCTTTCCCGAGCCGCTCTCCCGTTTCAAACAAACACCCCAACAACAGTTGATCCATCCCGTAATTACAACTCCTCCTCCTCGTGCTTAACCGCAACACGGTTCTTCTCGACGAAGTCCGTGAGAGCCTCGAGCGTTCTCTCTCCCTCGTAGTCCACGGGGGCGGTGGGCTCGCCGGCCTTGTAGAACTTGAGCGTGGGGAATCCGCGGATGTTCAGTCCCGCCACCTCGTTCGCCGTCGCGTCCATCTCCGCGATCACCACATCGGCGTCGTCCTTGTAGGCCTCGGCGAGCTTCTCATAGGTGGGTGCGAGAGCCTTGCAGTGTCCGCACCAGGGAGCGTAGAACTTGACGAAGACGTTCTTCTTGGGATCGAGCACGACCTCCTCGAAGGACTTGCCCACCACCTTGTACACGGGGCCCGGCTGCTCCGCGGGCACGTCCTCCGACTTCAGGAACGGCGTCAGCTTCTTCGCGAAGAACTTCTCGATGAACTCGGAGATGGCGGCCACGGTCATCTCGCCCTCGAACAGGTACTTGTCCATGCCCTCGCCGGAGAAGTCCGCCATCGCCAGCGCGGGGATCTGCTCCGCCGTGAGGCCGAAGTAGTCCAGCAGCCGCGCGTTCTCCGAGGGGATGTGCACGATGAACAGACGGCCCTGGAAGGCGCGCGCCACCTCCTCCAGCACAGGCTTCGCCTCGCCGGGGTTCTTCTCGGGTGCGAAGAACATCAGCTGCACCTTGATGCCGTGCTCCGGAGCGAACAGCTTGCGCGAGTACTGCTGCGAGAACGGAACCACCAGCGGCAGCTGGTGCAGGATGATCCATCGCTTCAGACCCTCCATGTCGCCCTCGTACACCAGCGCGCCGGTCGTGCTCTTCTTGTACATCGCCACAGCGGGCGCGGACACCTCCATGGCCTCCATGATGGCAGCATCGGTGATGTAGATCGCGGTGACGTCGTCCACGTTCGCCATGACGCCGTACCAGTCCTTGTACTCCTTGCACTCCGTGTTCGCGAAGTAGCCCACCACGGACACGTCCGCGCTCTCGATGGCGGTCTTCAGGTCGTCCAGCGTGGTGTAGGTCACAGCCACGGGACCAGCCTTGCGCTTCATGTAGTTCACAATATCGGCCTTGGAACGACCCGAGTCATAATCGACAGCGTTGCCGTTCTTGAAGAACTTCAGAGTGGGGTAGCCACGGATGGCGAATCTCTGAGAGAGCTTCGGAGCAGCGGTCGCATCGACCTCAGCAAGATAGAGAGGAGGGTCCAGCTCACGGAGCTCACGGGCAGCAGCACTGTAATCGGGAGCGAGCTTCTTGCAGTGACCGCACCACTACAACGTAACGCACACACACACAAAAAAAAGTACGGGCGCATAGAACTTAACCAGCAGAGACTCATGCTCCGCGATTGCCTGATCAAAGTTATCGTCGTTCAACACAAGAACGCCGTCGTTTTCAGTAAACTCGGCAAAAACAAGTGCACAGATAAGGAGGAAAGCAGTAAGCTTCATCTAGAAATAAGCGCTTCAAAAATTATCTGCCCACATCTCACAATGAAAGGTTTCTGACAACCTTCGATTGACATGAAAATGGAAAGTGGTTCCATGACGATCATGGAAACCCGTTAAAGAACGTTCTTCGAATCGTGATTTTCAAAAAACAAATCGCACACTATAGAACAAGATACATACTACCACTAATGCTTGAAAGCAGCTTCAGTCCACTCCTGATAGTCACACAGTCCATTTTCATCGGCAGGCATGCTCTCCTTCAGATACGGATAGCTCTCGTAATCCTTGAAGTATTTATCCACGTCTGTGTCCGCAATCTTGTCCTTGTTCTTCGCCAGGTATCTCCACGAGTGCTGGATGTCCTCCTTGTTGTTCTTGGTGGCCTTCAGCTCCAGGAGGAACTGCTTCAGATCGGGCAGGCCCAGACGCATGTTCGGACCCACCTTGTAGCCCATCGCCGTCAGCTTGGCGATCACGTCATTGAGACTCATGTTGATTCCCATCGCCTGCAAGGCCTCGCGCAGCTGGTCGGCGGTGAGTCCCTTTCCGTCGGTGTTGAGCGCGTTGTACACCTGCTCCAAGAGCTTCTCCTCGTCGGGCGAGAGCGACTCCATCTTCTTGCGGTCCTCGTCGTCCTTCAGCTTCGCCTCCTTGCGGTCCAGGTGCTTGCCGTACTCCGTCCACACGCTGTTGATCGGGCCGAACGACGCCGTGTTCGTGCCGATGTCGCGGCACTCCTTCTCCTTCTCCTTCATCACGCGGTAGCACTCCGGCGGGCGGTTGTAGTCCTCCTTCTTCTGGCGGATCAGCTCCATCTGCTCCTCCGGCGTCGCGTTCTTCTTCGCGCGCAGGTCGTTCGAGTTGTCCTCCACGTACTGCTGCACCGCGTTCGCCAGCTCGTCGTACTCCTGCAGCGCCTGGTTGCACTGCTCCGTGTGGCGGTTGATCTCGTCCAGCGTGTCCTCCTTCTGCTTCAGCTCGCGCTCCAGGTTCCGGATCCGGTCTTCGATCGGCTTCAGCGGGTGGCGCTGCACCTCGTCCTCCTTCCCGTTGTCCAGCAGCTGCTTCTGCTTCTCGCGCAGGTCCTCCACGCTGTCCTTCACCTGGTCCAGCTCGCGGTGCGCCTCCTCCGCGCTGGCGTTCGCCTCCGCGGTCTCGAACGAGTCCGCGCCGTTGGAGGTGTTCAGCAGCATCTCCACGTGGTCCAGATTCTCCTCGATCTTGTCCGCTTCCTTCACCATGTCGCGCTCCAGACGCTCCAGCTCCTGCTGGCGCTCCAGATTCTCCTCCAGACGGTCGCGGTACTCCTTCTTGTGGTCCTCCCACTCGTCCTGCAGGTCCTCCACGGCCTCCACCTTGTCCATCGCCTCGGAGTACTCCGAGCAGTCCTTCGGGAACGAGTCCAGCAGGTCGTGCAGCTCCTTCATCTCCTTCTCCGTGTCGTCGTCCTCCTCCACCAGGTCGTCCAGCTCCGCCAGCTTGTGGTTGCACTCCGCCACCGAGTCGCCCAGGTCGTTCAGATCGGTCTTCTTGATGTTGTCCTTCAGGCGGTCGCTCAGGCGCTGGCACTTCAGGTCCAGCTGGTTCATCAGGCGCTCGATGGTCAGGAAGTACTTGAACTTCTCCAGCAGGCGCTGCTCGTACTCGTTCTCCGCCTCCTCGAAGTCGCGGTACTTCTGCGAGATCTCGTTCGGGCCCAGGCCCTCGGGCGGGATGTACAGCGGACGGCTCTCCGCGCGCTCGCTCTCGTGGATGTCGCTCAGCATGCTCTCCAGCTCCACCTTGCGGTTCTTGATGTCCTCCTTCTCCGTCTTCTGGTAGTTGGCGAACTCCTCCTTCAGACGACGGCAGTCCTTCGAATCACGCGGCTCCGTCTCGTGGAAGTATTCGATCTTGTCGTCCAGGAGCTTGTTGTACGCGCGAGCCTCCTTCTCGTACTTCAGAATCATCGAACCCGTCTTCATCGCCAGACGCGCGACGCGGTCGATCGCCTGCACATGGCGGCGCGACTCGTCGTCGTTCGCCACCGCGTTGAAGATCGAAGACACGTACGTCAGCACCGACTTGTCATCGATCTCCTCGTTGTGGAAGTCCTCGGGGTCCAAAAGGCGCACTACATTCAGATCGTCCTCCATCTTGTCGTAAGCGCTGCGGTGACGATCGTCCTGCCCCATCTCCTCCGCCTTTCCGAAGTCATAGTTCTCACACAAGGCAGCGGCCAGAGCAGCAAAAGCCTTTCCATCTCTCCAGCTGTCGGTGAAATCGCTCACCTTCTGACCGTAGGGCTCGATCTGGCGGTTCACCCACAGGAGCAAACCGTGCATTCCCTTCAGGCCGTCCACTTCAATGTTGTCGATCTGCACGAAGAGAATGATCTGGAAAATCAAACCCAAGGTCAGCTTGTGATTGCCGTTGAAAATATCAATAGGACCGATATTCACCAACTTCATCTTCTTCTTAAACTGCAGATAGTCAAAGCACGGCTTCAAGTTCTCTGTAGCCTGAAAAGCGAACTTCGCGTTCTTATTCACACGCCTACAGCATCAGCCGCGCTCCCAGACACCCACTCCACAATCGGATCCTTGAAAAGGACTTGAAGCAGAGTGACCAGATTCACTCCGTTGGTGAAATCCGAATAAATATCAGAAATGTTGCTACCCACGGGGACCAGCTGCTGGTTTACCCACTTTGTGAACGTCTTCTTCTGCATCTCAATCCATGGAGCTTCTTCGGCTAGGAATCAGATTCAAATCCCCAAATCCACTTACACATAGTTGTATCGGTCATTTTGAATAAAGATTATATGACAAAACTGATATCATTTACTGGAAAACAACCGTCCAGTTGTTCAGTTATCCTATGATTATCAACAGGCAATTAAAATTGATTCTCGAAACAAACAGCATTTTTCTTATGTCATATCTTGCACGAACTAGCGAAGTACATAGAAAGAGCCGCGCACTTGCACCGAAGAGAAAACGGCGCTCGCCAGTAGTACAAACAAAACTCTAAATCGATAAATAATCACGAGAAACGAGCATTGCCGCCTCGAAGCAATCATCCACCAAGTCCATCAAGTCCGCTTCGTCCGCGCGGTTGTTTTCGTTGCACTTGCTCTTCAGCCAGCTGCGAAGCGCACTTTCCTGATGATTCAGCACATCCAACGAGTCCCCGATCACGTTTAAACTGCTCCGCTCGTTAGCGCAGCGGAGATAGAAATTCACTCGCGCTACGTCCTATCGCTAACACACGTGTGATATTGTTACCGTATCTTTGGCTTCTACCTTGCTGAATTGGTTCGTCTTGGGGCTAAACCACTCGATCTTGGAGTAAATCGAGGGCTCGTGCACTCGCAAGTCCATCACCGATTTTCTCGGTAAAAACAAGGGATCCGCTATGACTGCGTTTTTATAGAACGCGTTTGAATAGAAAGTGGAGTTGCAGCGCAACACTTCTTCATTGACCTTTGCATCGCGCTCTCGTGACACAATACTCTAGAATCAATATATCTGAACTGCAGATTTACAATGCTGCGGCTCTTCAACTCCTCTTCCTTTTCGTTTGTTGGGATAACCGCGGTTTTCGCGCTTTCCAAATCCCTCCAAACGAATGACGGCTCCAAATTCCTTGTTCTCCCCACTCGCTCATCCACCGCTTTCTCCTCTCGCATTTCCGTAGCATACGAGCAGTGCAAAATGGATCGACTTTCTCCTAATGAAAACTGGCTGACCAGATCGCTCAGCGAGGCTTTCTGCTCTCCATAGCAGCGACATCTGCATTACAAGCAATCTGAAGCGTTACATCGCGGTCGCCGAATCGATGCAGCACGCCGTGAGGGAACTGCACGTGCTACTCGATGTAAATAAACTGCTGGAGCGGAGAGCTGCCATTGTAGAAAGTGCCTGGTCGAATGGCGAAGATGAAGACCGAAGACCCACTGTGAAGAGCGTTTTCACGCCTTCCTCTTGAAGATAGGCGCGGAGGAGCGAGGCCAGCTCCCAGCCGAGGGAGACGTCCTCGAGGAGGAGAACGCCGCTCACCACATCGCAGAGCTCCAGCTGGATACGGAGCTTCTCTTGGAAGAGCTCGGTCACGGAGGGTTGCTAGTGGGAAGTAGGGGAGGAGTGGGATACGTTGAAGGCGGAGATACAGCCGACGATGTTTGAAATAGGGTTCACAACAGCATGGGTCGATGGCACTTCGAAGATCGATCGGGGATTGAAATTGTACAGATAGGAAGAAGACCAATGATGCTACACAATCAAATAGATCGATCGAGCAGCACTTCATCAACATAAGGGTCTTGTCGTATCACTTGAACTTTGCTTTCATCTTCGCGGGGAGACACAATTTGAGACCGAGAAATCGATCCGGTTTGGGGATTGATCTTGCCAAAGCCGGCTAGTCTTAAAAATGAATAGGATGCCTTTACCAGTATTGTCACATACTACACAGCGAGGGAAAAACGATCCATGCCTTGTTTCAGAGAGAAAGGTCGAGTGATCGAGCTGAGCATCATTTTCGGCCTTTTGAGACCAAGACAAATGCTCAAACTATAAAATAATGACTCGTTACTAAAATCACCTGTGCGTTCCAAAAATGACTTCCAACAGCGTTTGCTGCTTCTCCACATTGAACCATCACGATTGAAGACATTTTTATCTGTGATGAGTGTTTTGAACAGGAATATTTGTAGCAACAGAGACTGGGAGTCGACTACAGAGTGGGAAATTGTTGAAAACACTGGTGAATAAGCAAAGAGAGTTGAACAAGGAAAAGGACTCAAAAGGCAAGGCGAGTCGTGAAATGAATGAATAAGTAGATGGGATAGCAAAAAGAATGGTACGAATAGTATGGATAGGTATATTATTGTTAATCGATGAGAAGTGTTTACTCTTCATTCTATTCACACCATTGTATCACAATCCATGTATCTGTTGGAGTGGCTCACAGAAAAGGAGTAAAACATCCGTACAAACAAATCAATAAGTGTTTTTACACTCTGTTCCTGTTATAGAGCTATTGTTTTGGGATAATTCATTGCTTATTCGCCACTCTATACTCCATATACTTGATTACTAAGCAGAATTGAGGTGCGAAAATCGCAATCACTTTTCCTCGTAGTTCCAACAAACAAACAAGTAACAAACAAGTAACAAAAAAGAAGGAACAATAGAACTACTACTACTACTACTACTACAACGCCAGCAACGTGAAACCAATACATCACACATCCACTCCCATTCACTTTCAAATTCAAACACCTATTGATACAACGGCTCTTCCACTTCCAAATCCGCCACCGGAGTCTCCTCCATGCTCTCCTCCATAATGTCATTCAGTCGCGATGTCGGGAGACCCGAAACCAATCGAATCGTATCAACCACCACATTCGATGCCGACTTTGGTTCCACTCCTTTCTCTGTCTGTTTATTTACATACACCAGCGAGAATAAATCCGTTTCGTTCCATCGCGTGCCCGATAAGTGAAGGAACTCGAGTAGATTGCGGAAAGGCGAGATATAAAACGGATTACGAAATCGGAATGACTCGTCTCTATTCGGAATGTTTGTTCTAAACAAGAAACTTCAAATAGCCGATGCGATGGTAATGATCGGCTTCGTACGCGGTAAGGTTCTGAAACACGTTATCGCTGAAAGGTTTTGCGAGGGAAATCGTGAAAAGAGTGTTCAAAACCTCCGACTTACAGAGAGACAAACAAAAATACAACACAAGCAACGCAAAACCATTGCCAGAATGAGAGCGCAAAGAGACTGGTGACGTGACGGATGAAGATGTAGAAGCACAAATAGTCCATCAGCAGAGAGGAAAGCAGATAGCCAAAGTAATAGACTTGGTTCCCATAGCCAATGCAGGTGTTCAAGAGATAGGAGTGGTGATCGTAACGGAAAATACATCGGTAGCATGCAGAGCAGTGGAATGTGCGCAAAGGACGCCGACTACAGCATTCCTTACAAACAACGCCTGCAAGTTGTTGTTGCGACCCCTCGTCGATTAATTTCTTATTCTCCTCGCTTTCTGTATTCATAGGAAGATAGCCCGGACAATGTCTCACAGTCAAAAACATGAAGACGATCTTCAGGAGAATGGACACTTGAAGGATCTTTATCGATATGGCGTGCAGATTGATTTGCATCATAAATATGTCAACTATCAGTCACCATTTTCAAAAACACCAACTAAGCACTGTACAAATTAGTTCAAGACCAACCATACTCCGAAACAGGAATTGGACCCACGTGGGTGCATTGATCAGGAGAATCTGCATACTGATGTTATACGCCTTCGAAAACTAGAGTCAATCTCCGCAGTCGGTGACTACCGAGTTAAAAAAGGCGGAAATGACATGCATTTCCTCTCCTTCCGAAACGAATTAGAATGTACTGACAACGTTTCCAACAAAAACAACAAATCACTTATTCGTAAAAACCATCGTATTCTTCTTCAGATGTTCACTAGGCTTCCAGTCCGCTTCGCCAGCCTCATCCTTCGGCAGCGAAGGGAATCTTATCACAACCATCGTGATATCATCCGATCCTCCGCAGCTATTCATCCACCGCAGAAACCTTCCCTCATTCCATCCATCCATGTTTACCCGTTCATCACAATACTCACAGCCGTCTTCCCCAGATCCGTCGAGTACTTCACCGCACACGCCACTTCCTCTTGTGTATAGTAGCTCCACAGACCATCACTCCCCAGAATCACGTGATTCAGCCCCGAAACGGCTTTCTTCGATTCGATTTCCGACTCGGCGATCACTCCCACCGTTTCTACGATGAAACGCCCCTCCAGACCCTACCCGCCATGTAGTCTCCGATGGACCGTGAGAATGCAGCTCCAGGGAAGGATTTGTGCGGGATGTAAATGCGCGGCGGATCGGAGAGCGAAGCGTCCACTTCGCCGCTTTGCACCAGCTGGTCGTTCGAGTTGCGGCGCTGTCGCAGCGTCGAAATCTCCGCGCCGCAGCGCTCGAGGCGCTCTTTCTCGTCCTGTGGGTGAGAAAACAGAAAGAAAAAAGAACGGGACGAGAGGGGGTTTGGTCACGGGAAAGCGGGATGGGAATTACTTGGTCGTCGGGAGCGACGAACCCCGCGACGCAGCGACTATCTCCGATGTTGATGCAGGAGAGAACGCCGTTCACAAGGGAGATGCACACTGCGGTCGTCCCGCTGTAGGTCTAGAGGAGAGGAAAAGGGGGACAATGTACGTCGTCGGGACCGCAAGAAAAACGCTGTTCGTGCATGTTGTCGTTGCACTTTTTCAAGCTATCAGAAATGAAAGACTCGACGGAAGAGACAGAAGAATGGGACGTAATACACTTTTCAATCTGAAATATCAGCAGTTTATCACTCAGTGAATACATAGTCGCGACAGAGGATGGAACATTCCTTACCAAAGGCACCATGACCATCAAAAACACCAGCGAACAATCCCCTCTCTTCCTTTCCGTTGATAATAAATGTTGATTCACTGAAAAGATACGAATCCTGACAGGGTTTATCCAATTCTTCAGGATCGTATCCTTTCTTTGTAACGCACACGTATTCTGCAGTGTACGTCTCGTCCTATCATTGATCCGTACAAAAGTAACTTACTCCAATCTTAAAAGGTACAGTACCTTCTTTGACAAAACTGGATGCAAGCCAATATGAAACTCCTCGAGAGTGATGCGCTGAGCTGATTTCCCGAAACAAAGTGGGAATCAACTTTCGATCCTCATCGGTAATTTCCGCGTAGGATATCATGTTAGATTGTGTACATCCCATTTGAGGGAGTTGGATTGTATCAAACGTACAAAAATATAAGGAGAACAGAATAAAACACAAAAAATACAATAGAAACGGTTCGACACTTCGATAACATAATTGTTGTTTCTATCAGTACATGTTTGGTAAGATAGGAACTAGTTTATTCCTGCTGTGTTTTCTTATTCATGCAGGGGTAAGCAACGAATATACATGCAGTGAGGCCGAAGTCATCTCACAGAAGACGAAACGATGCTTTTCTGTTTCTTGGGTATCTGCCAATTTAATAGACAGAAATCTTACGGATGAAGATAGCTTTGAACCCGCACTCCTCCCCTTCAGCTATTTGAATGATCGAGTCGAAGTAGAGCATTTGTTTTAAAATCTGACTCAAAGGAGCTGCTGAGCTTCTATTCGGAAGGTGTGGAATTATCAAAGTCGTGCCAAATACTCCTAACCGAGTTTGTGTGCGCAGAAGTGCATCCAAGGTGTGTGTTTGTCTCTCCCTGTAATTGGATCTTGCTTCATAACACAAAGATGCGTCATACTGGACTGTGTGTCAATTGGATTGTTTAGCTCTGCAGAACCAGTGTGGCCCCTTTCCCAACTTGGACTGCTCGGGTTTCCGATTCAACGAATATGACTGCTTTCGTCTTTCCACGAAAGTAGGCCTCATTCCGCTTTCCTTTTGAACACAAGGATGAGATTAAGCTGACATTCAGCCCTACAGACACATATGCGATCTACACTTACATCCTATCATTCATTTTGAGTGCGGGATTTACCATTTGGTGGGTGTATCGCTATTGGAAGTACCGAGTGCAAAGCACCAATCTTCATCTCTTCATCACCGTCCTCATCTTTCTAAAGCTCGTACACTGTACTCCCTTCTCACCAACCACTAGACTTCGGACTTGGCTACCTGCATTTCGTTCTACCACGTCGTGCAATCGATGGGCATTGCGAGCGGAACCGAGACGGTCATTGTTCTCTGCCTGCAGCTGCTCTACGACACGCTGTTCTACTTTGTGTATGCTCCGAGTTGTGGATCGTTTGATAAGCAGACTGATGCTGCTGAGCAAAGGATGGTGTGTTTTGTTCAGCTCCCTTCTGACCACGGAATGGGTTCGCTACTACATTCTAGCGATCATGTTCTACTGTTTTGAAGGACTTCTGATCGTACGGCAATGTCGATGCGTTCCATGCAGGTGTTCAACATCGAAAAGACGAACGGCTTCTTCTTTCACCTTCTCTGTTTGATTGTTTTTGCGATTTTGATGTATGAAATGTTCCTCTCGTCGAGCTGTTGATTCTTTCTGAATCGAAAATGATCGAATAGACGCGCTCTTTAAAACCAAGATCAAAATGGAGCGAATGTATCGAGATGGACTCAACCCCTACGTTCACCCCACGTAAGCTTAGAAGGGATTTTCAATGCAGATTCAACAAATACCGGACGTTCTGCGCTGTCGATTTTATTTTGATGATGAAATGCTTGTTCATGATCCTCCGACATGTCGTGTTGCCTCTTTTTATGCTTGGAAACAATCGATTTGTGATGGGGATTTTGACGTTCATTTCCGACTTTGGCGTTCTGATTCCGCTTTTGATTTTATATCCTTTGCATGAGTGCTTGATTCGTGAATGAGTAGTTGTTTCTTAATTCTACGTATCGACCCAGACTTGAATCGACGCTCTTTTTGTCATCCGATTTGGATGACTCCGATTTCGTCCTTCTCGTTTCGGTGATACTGACAAAGCGGTTGAAGAAGGGAGACCCGGTGGATGAAATGGATGAGTTTATTGTTTTGTTGCCTGGTGAAGATAATTATGCAATTGCCACGAAATCCTTCACTATGGATGCGGATGATAAGGAATTCTTGTTAACTCCAAAGGAGAAGGAATCGAATTAGTATTAGTATGTTCTTTTTGCTTTTTGCAACTATTTGTTCACTCAACTCAGCTGTGTGTGGTTCTGGGATTACGTAATTGAAGCGGGCAGAAACAACGTCTACAAGAAGTGAAAACAAAAAGCATGAAAAGGAATAGATATTTACAACACACAAAAACAATGGGAAAAAACGTTTGAACGATTCACTAACAGTGATCCTGAAGTGAACAACAGATGCTGTCAACATCATTTCTAACCCGCATCTCGAGGAATATGGGAACTACAGTTCAACTTATGCGGTTGTATTCCAAACGCATTCAAGTACCACCAGAATGCATTCAACTATCATTTGTGCGTTCTCCAGGTCCAGGTAGCACTGCAGAAAACAAAATGAGTCTTAGGTGGGCAGAATGTTAACAAAGTGAATACAAAGGTGGAAGCTCGCTTCAATGTACAAGCAGCTACTTGGTTGCCAGAGTACAAGATACAAATCCGTATGGTAATAGCGTAGAGATGTGAAAAACCGATTATTAAGCCAAGAGAAAAACTTAATAAATACAAAGGGAGAGCTCGTAATTACTTGCAGCGAAGAACGTTCACAAAACAAAAATAGAGATATCATATTTCGTAAAATCCAAGAAAAAATCGATCAAGCCAGTATAGCACCGAAGGAGAGAAAGTTGAGGAGAGAAGTCAGTGATGAAGTGAAAAAGCGCTGGGTTGAAGAAAAGAGGAAGCATTCTGAAAAGAAGCAATGGAGAAAAGGAAAGGGAAGCCAAATTGAGCATTTTTCTTTTGTTTCAGGGAGACAAATGAATATTAAGTTACAGGCAGAGTAGATAAATATGGGATTGCTTATAGGTTCTTCAAATAGGATAACATTAATAAGCATTCCAAGAAAAGAATAAGAAAAATATCCGAGCTGCCGGAATCGAACCAGCGACCCTTAGATTGCTGCGAAGCAGCCACTACAGTCTAACGCTCTACCAACTGAGCTAAGCTCGGACTGATTCATGTCAAAAGAAAATATATATAAGTATTCTATATAGGAATAACAACAACAAAAGGATAAAACAATTGTTAATAGAGGGATGCAGAAATGAAATACAGAGAGAAAGAATAATGGATGTTGATTATAGTCGTTAGGGTGCGATTAATAATGGTATACTATTTTGTTTGCATGATAACGTTATCACAATATCCGCTATATACATAATTGATTTGTGTGAAATAATCAACACTGAGATTACTCAAGTCCAGTGAATAATGGAGCACATGATAGTCATTTTTTTTAGTATCATTGAATGGTGTGGAACCTTAATAGTAGGAGTGAATATTATTTGGTGTAATAATAAGATTCAGTGGAAAATACTATTGAATCGAGGTATTTACTCAATGAGTACATTACTCGGGAGAAGAAAAGGATATTTGTTGAGAATAAGGAGTACGAATTAACAATGTATCAAGGAGATCATTCAAAGGAGTATTTGTTATGTGAAATGAAAGATGGTAAAGTTGAAGGTCATTGTCAATTATTCAATCGAGGAATTTTAAGTCTTGCATGGGTGATGAAAAATGGGAAACGAATAGGCGATATAACAAAATATGAGAACGGCAAAGCATCCCAAAAGGAAAGCTGGAATTCAATCCTCGGAACTAATGATCGAAGAATCATCGAAAATTGTAAAGAAGGATTAATAATGATTATTCAACATCGATGTGAAAGGGAAGAGAATGGTGGTGACAGGGTTATTTATCGAGGTGGATTTGATGAAGAAAGGAACCGGCATGGTTACGGAATCGAATATGATACAGAAAATGGGAAAGAGAAAATTGAAGGATACTGGGTAAAGGACAAATTGAGTCAAATCATTCGTGAATTTGATGCTGATAAAAACGAGATGATCGAATATGCAGCAAAGGATAATGTGGATATTAAGAATCGAATTCCCTTGTATATAGGAGGATACTGTATACAAAATGGTAAATATGTACGAAATGGAAAGGGATATGTGATTGATCAAGGAAGTGGAATGGCAGTTCGCGAAAGTGAATGGGAAAATGGCATAGAAAAGGAAGGGGGAATGGATCTGTATGATGGTTGGTATGTGAAAGATATGGGTAAAAGTATTCGAAGTGTGTTGAAGAACGAGATGAATACTCAGCCAGTCGTAATTGCACCTGCTAAAAGAGTTAATATACATAATAGAAATGAACTGAATGAAATGGATTTGGATGTAACAGATTTAGTGATCTCATCGAACTGCTGTAATGATGTATTGATGTTAAATGTGTTTTCTTTTCAGTTGCTACAATCTATTTCAATAGACGATAATTGTTTTGAATCAGTGAAGACATTCAAAATAGAGGGATTGAATCGATTGAAAACTATCAAAATTGGCAAAAATTCATTTACCAATAGAGTAGAGAGTTATGGCAAAGATGAATCGAAATCATTCCATATATTGAATTGTGAATCATTAGAATCCATTGAAATTGGAAAAATGAGTTTCAGTGATTTTGCTGGAGAATTTGAATTGAAGAATCTACCACAATTACAATCCATTCAAATTGGTACAATTGGTCCCATTGATACATATAAAGGATATTCACATAATTTTCATCATAGTTCCTTTGTGATTCGAGGTATCGATATGATATTGAATATTTGGGTAATGCATAGATCTTCCAAATCTACAATCCATCACATTAGGTGATTATGTATTCGCTGAATCCTTAAAAACAATAATTGAAAGTATTGAATGAATTCGAATGAAATGATTGATGTAGATCTTCCATCATTACAATCCATTACACTAGGTGAATATGCCCTTAAAGGATATTATTCATCTTCATTGATAATGCGAAGTATGAATGACATTTTATATAATGATTGAATACAGATCTTCCAAATCTAACAACCATCAATTCTGGAGGTTATAATTTCCAAGAACTAACTTTAGTGACATTAGAGAGTAAATAGGATAATAGATTGTTAATAGTACTTAGATATTCCAAATGCTCATTCTGTTTGTCTGTATTGTCATAGTTGTTACGGAAACCCCCAAAGATCCATTTCAAGTATAGTTTGATTGAGTATATTATTATCTAGATGTTTCTTCAGAATTATCCAGATCTTTTACATCTTAAATATCTATGTGTTGGATGGATAGGCATGTACGAAAATGGAATGTTTGTTTCAAACAAGTCTAGCTGAATAGATCCTCTACATTCAATTCTAAACTCAAAATCAGGCAGAAAGATTCATTGTAACGATTATTTGTACAACTCGCTGAATAATCGGCATTACGATTTGAATGGAAGGAAGCTACAACATACTTAACCATAATACTCTTCAGAGGAATCTCAAATAACGCTGTAAAGACTAACAATGGAATCTAGTGAACTTACAAATAAAACGAATGCATTGAATGCCTTCATTATTACTGCTGTGTCAAACACAAAAAATATCAGTGTTCTGAGTATCCAAATTTTACCATTTACTCTCTATTATTTCCAATTGTGCTTTTGGACTATAAAAAGTCGAATGAAATGGATCATTGTCACACTCCCCTTCCGATAGCAAAGCAATTTAGATTTCCTGTATCTAAGAGTAACAAATTAAGCAAAATTGATATCACTACGCTCTAGTAACACTAATGCCTCTCAAATGACTTTTCATTACAAGAATTCTTTTGAGATCAATTTGTATATACAAAATAAAATGGAATCATTTAGAAGCAACCTGCATATACAATTCGCCTTGACAATCCCCATTTTCGATACACATGCGCATTTACTCTACTATTCTCAAATGATTTGTGGTACATCAAGAATTGAAATTAAACTGAGCGATTTAACATTGTAAAAAACAACTATTTTGTAAGAAGTGAGCAGTATGGTAGAAAGCGGAAAAGGCGGTATCGCACTGATTCCGAATAGCGATTCTGCAAGGAAAGAACATAGTGAAGATGGTACTTGTTGGACTAAGAAATTTTCGGAGGAGTTTCCTATTGATTCTATTGTCCGAGAAGAGAATAAAGAAATTTACACCGTGAAAGCCCCTCATGCTGGCTATACAATCGAAGTTGAGGCAAAGTCGAAGGGTGAAGAGTGTGCGGCAAAGGTACTAACCGAAAAGAAGGTAATCATAGCATTGTTAACAATGATCGACATGGAAGCGAATGGGCCTTGTGAATTACGTGACAGTGATGGTAATTTGATATACAAAGGAAATTTCACGAAGGGGTATCTCCAAGGTAGAGTGAAGGAATATAATCAGGAAGGGAAACTTATCTTTGATGGATTTTATTATAAAGGGAATAAGCAATATAATATTACACGATGTAGGCTGCTGAAACATTACTGGGAGGAACGAGACGCGAGTCACAACATAATTCGGTACTGTAGAAAAAACAAAAAAGGGGAGTATGATGGGATTTGCTATGTTTATCAAAACAACACGATCAGCGAAATCGGGGTATACAAAGCTGGTGTCTGGATTGAACAGTTGAAAAAGTTTGAGAGAAATATGATGACTGAATACCAAGATGGAAAGAAAGTGTATGAAGGGGGATATTTAAATGACTTAAAAAGAAATTTCCCCAGAAATGGAAGAGGGACGGAATACGAAAATGATGGAAAGACTATCATTTATGATGGATTGTACAAAAAAGGAAAACGACATGGGTCAGGAACCTTTTATGAACCAGGAAGACGAGGAAGAGAAACCTCCTATATGTGTGGATATCGTCGCAAATGCTGTATAATATCACTTGTTCTTTTAACGATTTTAATTATCGTGATCATAATCTTAGCTATTATTCTATCTGTAAGAAAGAAAGCGGCGAATAAAGAGTCATGCTCAATTGCAAAGGATGTTCAGAACTTTTCTGTTTATAGTAATAGATGTAATGATGCTGCTATTCTTCATTTTACTCCAGCCTCCGACAGTACTGTTCGGACGATTGATATTGGAGATCATGCTTTCAGTTCGGTAAGAGACGTGAAAATCGATGGGTTGAAGAAACTGAAAAGTTTCAAAATCGGCAAGAACTCATTTACTCAAAAGACGAATGACTACGGGAATGATGAATCGAAATCATTCCATGTATTGAATTGTGAGTCATTAGAATTAATACAAATTGGCGAGTTCAGTTTCAGTGATTATGGAGGAGACTTCGAATTGAAGAATTTGGATTCATTACAGTCTCTCATGATTGGTATTATGGGAAGCGAGTCAGCAAACTTTTATTACTCGACATTTATAGTACAAGGTTTGTTTTTCTTTGCTTTCTTGAGTGTATAGATCTTCCCAAACTAAAATCAATTTCCTTAGGTGATCAATCGTTTAGTAGCTTGTCAGCAATCATTGAAAGTATCCATCATAATCGTTTGCATGATTTGGTTAGATCTCCCTTCGTTGCAATCAATCGAGTTGGGCCAGTCTGCACTTTCCGGACAGCAGAAGGATACTTCCAGTTCCTTGATAATGCGAAGTATGACTGAGGTGAAATGAGATGAGTGATCGCAGATCTTCCCAGCCTAGCATTCTTCACGTCACAAGGGAATAGCTTGCAAAATCTGAAGCAACTGACTTTAGAAAGTATGTTGAAATGTCAGCGTTCATTGGATCAGATATTCCTAGTCTTCGTACTGTCAGACTGCCTTGTTCGTTTCAGGGAGTCCAATCGAAAATAGTATCGAGTATCATTTCTACATTATCACCTTATGATAAGATGTATCTTCAGAATTAATAGATCTATTTGGAAAAGGAACACAGTAGATTTGTCGGTTATTCCTTCAAAACGATTCTTTCATTGATTTTGTGTTGTTTTCTGCTCTGTTTGGTTTGATTTACTTACTACTGATATTCTTCGTTTTGTTGTACAGCTGCAAAACAGCTGAATTCCTCTTAGAATCGATTACAACGTCCTCCCATGATAAGAAAAGCCTCTATCCACATTGTCAGAAGGGTAATGACGGTTGTTGGTGACCGATACCATCATCACATTTAACCACAATACATCCATCAACAAGAATTCTCTAACACTAAACTCATTCCGACACACACCTTTCGTTTCCTTTCATTTCCTGTGTGTTTTCTTTCCAACAAACACTTCAGTATTCATATTGTTGTTATACGATGATTATTACTACGACTACACCTTCCTTCCTTCTTTATTCCTCCTTCCCTGTTCCTTCGCTCGTTCGCTTAAGCGGACACATCAAAGTCCATGATGACATCGTCGAGCGCGAGGTTCTGTCCGGGCTTGAAGTAGACCTTCTTGACGACGCAGGCCTTCTGCGCGTAGAGCTCGTTCTGCATCTTCATGGCCTCGACGACGGCGAGAGGCTGTCCGGCCTCGACGCGATCGCCCTCCTTGACGTGGACCTTGACGAGGGATCCGGCCATGGGGGAGGCGAGGAACTTGCTGGTGTCGGGCTGCACCTTGGGGATCATGAACTTGCTCAGCTCCTGGGCGCGCGCGCTGCGGAGCACCACGTCGAAGTTTCCTCCGCAGTACTGCATGCTGTATCCCTCGGTGGTGGGCTCGAAGTACTGCACCTTCACGTCCACGCCGTCCACCTTCGCGCTCACGATCGGACGGTCGCTCTCCAGACCCGCGTCCTCCACCTTCACCTTCTTTCCGTCGATCTCCAGCGTCATCGCCTCGCCCTCGAACTCCATGTGCACCTTGTACTCCTTCTCGCCCACCGTCGCCACCAGGTCCTTCTCACACACCGGCTCGTACGACTCCATCTGCTGGTCGTTCGTCGCCTCCTTCGCCAGACGCTCCTGGTGCACCGCGATCGTCGCCGCGATCAGCTGCTCCGCCTCCGTCTCCGTCAGGTGCGAGCCCGTCCAGCCGTCGGGGTACTCCTCCTTGATGAAGTTCGTCGTGATCTTCCCCGAGCCGAAGCGCTTCGACCGGATCACGTCCTGCAGGAACGCAGAGTTGTGGTTCAGGCCGCGGATGATGTACGTGTTCAGCGCCTCGTCCATGCGCTTGATCGCCATCGCGCGGTCGTCGCCCCACGTCACCAGCTTGCAGATCATCGGGTCGTAGTACATCGAGATCTGCGATCCGTCCAGGATGCCCGAATCGCATCGCACGAACTCGCCGCGCGGCTCGATGTACTTCGTCAGCAGACCCAGCGACGGCAGGAAGTTCCGGCGCGGGTCCTCCGCGTACACGCGCGCCTCGATCGCGTGCGCGTACCGCTTCAGCGGCCAGTTGATCAGACGGTCCGGCAGCTTGCGGCCCGCGGCGATCCAGAACATCTGCTCCACGATATCCTCGCGCGTCACCATCTCCGTGATCGGGTGCTCCACCTGCAGACGCGTGTTCATCTCCAGGAAGTAGAAGTTCTTGTGCTTGTCGCACAGGAACTCCACCGTTCCCGCGGAGCAGTAGTTCACCGCCTTCGCCATCATGCACGCCTGCTTGCCCATCGCCGTGCGCGTCTCCTCGTCCAGCAGCACCGACGGAGACTCCTCGATCACCTTCTGGTTGCGACGCTGGATCGAGCACTCGCGCTCGGGGAACGCGCAGTAGTTACCGAACTTGTCGCCCAGCACCTGGATCTCGATGTGGCGCGGCTCCTCGATGTACTTCTCGATGAACATGCGGTCATCGCCGAACGCAGACTTCGCCTCCTGCTTCGACAGGTGGAATCCAGACAGCGCCTCCTTGTCGTTCCAAGCGATACGCATTCCCTTGCCACCGCCTCCAGCCGACGCCTTGATCATCACAGGGTAACCAATGTCGTTCGCAATGCGCAGAACCTCCTCGTCCGAGTTGATTTCGCCGTTGAAACCAGGAATCGTGTTCACCTTCGCCTTCACGGCCAGGATCTTCGAACCGATCTTATCTCCCATCGCCTCAATCGCATATTTGCCAGGACCGCACCAGATAATTCCCTCCTTCTCCAGAGTCTCCGCGAAACGCCAGTTCTCAGAAAGGAAACCATAACCAGGGTGCACAGCGTCAGCTCCAGTCTTACGGCAAGCCTCAACGATCTTATCGGCCACCAAGTAACTCTGGGCAGACGGAGAAGGACCAATGTAAACAGCCTCATCAGCCATCTTCACGTGCTTGGCGTTGCGATCAGCGTCCGAGTACACAGCCACCGTCTTGATACCCATGCGCTTAGCGGTCTTGAACACACGGCAAGCAATCTCTCCACGGTTAGCTACCAGGATCTTCTTGAACGGAAGCTCGCCTACGCACTCACTCCACCTCAAAATTGCCTACCTTCAGTCGCAAAACTTCTGGCAAGTTTAGAAACCTAGACTCTCACAAAACGTCACCAAACCCCTACACTACGAATTCCAGAGAAGGAACGTCCAAACATGGTACGTATGAGGTTTAGAGAACAATACAATGCGAATATGATGTAGGAAACGTGGAAACGCATTTGGGAAATAGTCCCGATTTCTGCCATCTGAGGAACAGATTCGACTGGATCGTAGCTCTATTTCTTTTCCATTGAACAATGTGAACAGTGCAGTGCTATTCGATAGAGAGTGAAAAAGGCGCACTGCCAAACAATTCTGAGTTTGATTCTGACAATGACATTGCAATCTGTTTATATCACATAATGTCACAAAATGGATAAGAATGCGGATGATGTTGCCATACACCGTAATGTGATTTTTGATCAATTATATACTATATTATCACTCTTTCGTCGTTTATAAAAGCAAATCGATCGAAATTACAGAAAACCGGTTTTGGAAGTTATATAGGAATAAAATACAGGGAAACCGCTGGACTTTATAGTGCGTCCAGTAATATAATTACCTGTTGAACAACTTTTTTGTGGTTTATTTTCAGTGATTTTTTTTTGTGATGAGGTAGGTTTTCTAATGTCTGTGTATATGCATTTCCTTACCTTCTTCTAGTAAGGTTAACAGCGAAACTTTGAGCAAGGCTCTTGATAACATTCTGGACTACTCTGCCGGAAAGGAGATTGAGATGGACGGTGAGACTCTGAAGGGAAAGAAGAGAGGTTTCGTGGAGACCGTGGAGCTTCAGGTCACTCTGAAGCAGATTGACCCTGCCAAGGACAAGCGTTTCGCTGGTTCCTTCCAGCTCCCGAACCCCACTCGTGCCAAGATCAACGTGTGCGTGTTCGTGAACGATAAGCACGAGCAGCTGTGCAAGAAGGAGAACATCCCCTGCATGAACGTGGATGAGATCACCGCCATCAACAAGAACAAGAAGGTGATCCGCAAGCTCTGCAAGAAGTACGACGCCTTCCTCGCTTCGGATACTCTGATCAAGAAGCTTCCCAGACTGATAGGACCTGGTCTGAACAGAGCTGGAAAGTTCCCCTCTGTGATCACCAACAGCGAGGATCCCGCTGAGAAGGTGAAGGGCATCCTTCACACTGTGAAGTTCCAGATGAAGAAGGTGCTGTGCCTGTCCGTGCCTGTGGGCCATGTGGAGCTCACCAAGGACCAGCTGAAGAGCAACATCGTGCTCTCCATCAACTTCCTGGTGTCTCTGCTGAAGAAGAAGTGGCAGAACATTAAGGTGGTGTACATCAAGTCCACCATGGGACCTGTCCAGCAGATCTACTTCTAAGGAATGGAGTTACCACCAGTTTCGACTGGGAGCTGTTTCTACTCACTTCTCACTCAGTATGTTTGTTGAAACAAACAAACAAACAGCAAGAAGAAGAAGAAATGCTTAGCAACTATTACTTCTATAAGTACTGCCTTTCTCCACATCTCTCTGGATTAATCGCGTTTGCTCTTCTTGTTTTGGAAGAGTACTGAGCTGAATCCTCTCAAACGCATAGGAAAACGAGCCTCCCACCACCAGCAACACGCCACATATACCCTTCAGTGTGAGTGGTGTTTGGTAGATTGCAGCTCCAATGAACGACTGAATGCAGTTCTTCATCACTCCAGAAATGTTGTGGGACAGGCTACTCGTGTATTTAATCTGCATTTGGGTCGCAATACCCACAAACAGTCCGACAATGCCCGCAAAGGCTGTCCAAACAAAAAAGGAGAGCGAGAGCTCAGCCCGGTGCGCCCAGACAACCTCCACTTCTCCCATCGCAAGGCAGAGAAGCGGGAGAATCGCGCAACTATTGAGGTTGTTGTAGAAGGTGAGCTCCCAGCTGTTCTTGATCACATCTTTGAGGTAACGTTGAAGGAAAATGGTATAGAACGCACCGACCAGACTTGCACCCACGCCAAACAGAGTGCCCTTCAGAGAGAAATTGATTTCTCCTTCGACTCCTGCAATGTAGCTAGCGATTAACGCTCACTTCGAGTACCCTACCCAAAAACGATGGTGAAGCAGGAGAGGAGGGTCTGGACGGTTGTGTGCTCTCCGAATAGGATATAACTGGATATCACACTCTTTGAAAAGCATTACTTGATAAAAGGAATCATGGGAATGCCAAGAGAGCGCGAAATCTGATAAAATGACACTTCAACATATTTCAGGCATAGATTGCTCATCGTTACCGTTAGGCAAAATAGAGCAGATAACGGAAACACCTTCTTTGCTGTACTGAAGGAAAATCTCATGTTTATTCATGCATTTACAAGATACGATATGTCTGGAAATGATTTTACTAACTTTAGCCAAGAATTGAGTCGGAAGAATGCATAGAGTACAAGCGAGGGCGCGATAAACTGGATCAGCGTCAAAAAGTAGGGAGCCGAGAAGGTCGAATTTAAGTGGCTATAGACAAATCTAAGGAAAAAACACACATCAGTACATACTTATTTATGAATATTGCGGACCATGAAATAATCCAATAGGTGCCAACTACTCCGATCACCCGAAAAGAAGAAGGGGGAAACATGTGAATAGGAAGAAAATATCAAGTAAATAATGAAATATCCAATCGTGATATTTATTAACAAACACGCATCCATTACTTTTGAGTGTTTCCATTCACTATTTCTCTTATTGCGTTCTCATACATTGCAAAGTTGTGGTGAATTGTAAAGTACAGAGAAAGACGGACAACCTGAGGAAATTGCTGCTCTGAAGAGAAATACATCACGCCCGGAGCTTTGGGAGCTTGTCTCGCCACGAAAAGCGATATGAGCGACTTTATTGACTAACCTTAAGACAGGACATTGCACACAATACTTTGACATACATGTTCTTCTCCTCCTCATATTCCAAATACTTCTTTCCATCGGCAATTGCAGGATGAAACAGATAAATAGAACCTGGAAGAACATAACTTCCATAGATCGACGCATCAATTTCATCTAGATTCCCACTACTTCCAACGTTCGGCATAACCGGCGCATAAGAACTCGAGAATATCGATTTCGACAAAATGGGATAGACTTCCTTCTCCTCGCTTATCGAGTGGTGTGAAATCTGTCGAAACGACCTCCTAAGCTCTTCCCGATCCTCAGAATCTTTATCCGCACAGGAATTTACAATGGAGGGATCGACATACTGCCGAATCTATTTCTAACAGAACAAATAAGGGAACACCTCCCGTAGCATGCCATAAATACAAACCGTATTCAGTCGAGGCACGATATCATCCTCATTCACCACCGAATACACAAAACCGACGCCTTTTTCCTTCACTTCCTTCGAAATGGCGGGCGGCGGCGCGAACGCGAAGCACCGCAAAAACAACTCATTTTCACCCCTGTTTTCAAAAGAGCGAAACGTGTGATGCGTGTGCCAATAAATCGCGGTGAGCGCTGCAATGCTGGCGCCGAGCGAGTGTCCCACGACTTTGAGTGTGTAATCGGTGTGTTGGGTGAGAGCTTCCTCGAGGATGGAGAGAATCTGGGGGTCGGTGGCGATGGACTTGGCGATCATTCCGATTCCCTGCGAGTGATGAGAAATATGAATGAGCACTTCGTGGACGAAGCCTTCTTCCCATTTCATTTCCTTCCCATAGATATCGATCAAGATGTCGTTGAAGTCGTGGGTGCCGCGAACGAGCACGACGATGCTTCGGCTCATCGTATCGCGCAGGATAAACACGGGAGGGGAGTGAAACTCCGTTCCGTTCGACGTGTTCAGCGAAGCGCCTTCGAAGCAGTAATATAGCAAGTCTTCGACCTGCAACCCGCAATGATCTAAGAGAAACTCGAGATAGGCGTCGTCGCCTAGTTGGATTTCGAGCATGGAAGTGATGTCGTTGGTATAAAAGGGAGAATCGTCAGTTGGGAGAAAACTCTCTGGATTGAAAGTGGAAAGGTTGGATTTCATGGTGACTTTCCGACCGTAGGAGGCTACAGCCATTCGGCTATAATGTTCAATTTCGTGAACAATCTTGGAGTCGAGGTCAATCAACTCCCCATTGTATTGAATCGGTTTCTAGAGTGAACAAAGCATTGTCAATGTGTACTTGATTCTGTGCGGCTTGCAGGAATCCGTATAAGAGTTGAGAAACGGACAGTCCAGCAATACTGCGAAAATGAGGTAACAATAACGAAGTTAATATATTTTGCATTCTAACGGGTAATGAGCCGATCCAAAGAAAACGTTTTCAAATCAGATATGAAAGAACCCTCGTAAAACAAGGGACTGTCTTCAACAACCTTTGTTATGTCGGTGTGGAAGTGTTTATCCACTTGGCGAATAATAGAAAAGACATACTTCAAAGTACAGTACGAAAAAATGTATGCCAATATCCAGCTTTTGAGCCCGGCGAGTTTGCTATCGTGTTAGAGCGTAATCACGAAAAGATACAGACATTTCGCAATGAAGAGCACAATCAAATAAAAATAGATGTATCGACTATAGGACTGCGTAGAAGACTTTTCCGCGTCTCCTCCCTCTTTTGTAGAATAGAGATTAGACATTTTAACAAACAATCGATCTGATAATACAAATATTGCAGTGACAGCATCGAAAAATACTCAGAACATTGGTATCGATATCTTTCATTCACAACCATCTCCATTCAAACCTTGTGCAATAATATTCCTCAACGCTTTAAACGGAGATTCATTCTCGTTATGCGGATAAACCCGTATGAAACGAAGACTCGGCAAGTCTACAGGTAACGCCTTCTCCCTTCTCCACTTGTAAAAATAAACGTCTTTACCCTATACGCGCTATTCTGCTGGAAATTGACCGTCTCCAGCTTGGGCAAATCTACATGCCATCTCTCCTCTGTCTCGACTTATAAAATGCATCGTCACGACTTCGAAAAACGCACGATCTCCAAACGAAACACTGCGCAGATTCATCAAATTGCCCAGATAAAGCTGAGGCGCGTGGTAAAACGCGGCATCGCCGAACCGAATCGATTCCAACTTCGACAAATCTGCCATTCATTCGATGGAAGCAGCGGTTTACTAGCCACGGCTTGGAGATTGGAAAACGCAAAGCTTTGGAGTCCGCAGGAGAAATCGACGAGCGACTGGAACGCTTTGACTCAACGAAATGAGAAGCGAGTACGTTTGAGAATGAGCAATTGGCGTTTTTTGAAGCAGTTGTCTCCGCACTTGAACGTGGAGAGCTTTGGAAGATCTGCAAGAGAGAAAAAAAGGGGAAACGGGGTACCTTTCCAGTGCAAATCTCCGTTTTCAAAACATCCATTTTTGAATTCGAGCATAATCAGAGAGGGCAAATCTGATTCAATCAAAGGGGAAACGGAGGTACTGTCGAGTTGGAGACATCGCGACTCTGCAAAAGCGGAATCTGCGAAGAACAAAACGGAAAGCGACGAAAGACCGCTGAGAACAAACGAGTAAATGGATGTACAGGAGTGTTTTCCAAATCGAATGGAAAGCAAACAGGGCAGTTCTGCGATTGATTCGATGATTCATTCAACAACTGCTCAGAATCAGCGATTTGTTTTTATACTGGCAGTCCAGATATCTCGTCGCGAGCCGCTCCTCGCTGCTCTCTTTCGGATCGGGATTCGTACTTTCTGAATGATCATTAAAGGCATAATCGCCGAATAAAAGAGTGGTGAGTTTCGGAAGAGATGCAATGCGAAGTGTGTCCAATCGAGTCAACGATCCGCGACCGATTTCGATGGTTTTTAGGAGCGGACAATCCACGATGAAAAAGATCAGCAGATTGTTCAGCGAGCCTTCCTTGATTTTCAGCGACTGAATCTGCAAATCTTGTTACGTTTTCCCTCCAAACCTACTCGAAAGCGACACATAGCGAAGGTTTGGGAACCGCGGGAATATATCAAGGTAACTCCCAAGCACGCCATCGATATCTTCCCGCGGTTCGAACACGGAATTGATGTTCATCTCCTCAATCACGTTGAAATACGGATTTGAGAAGAGTTCTCCCGCGGGGGAATCGAGAATGGCTTGCAGTTCGTTCATATTCAAATTGTTGATGTCTTTCAATGATTCAATAAAATCGATGAGTACTGAATTGTGATTGTTTGAAGAAAATATGATCATTGTTGCTCCTCATATATTGATACACATGCGCGGAATCGCTGATTTGCAACAAGAATTGCAATTCACATTCAATCATTTTATTGTTATCCCACTTCCCAATATAATACAACTCCTTATTAAAGTAAAACCGACCATTTCCTTGCTTGATATTTCGCCTCCAAAACCCATTATAATGACTTCCATTTTCATAATAAAACTCTCCGTATCCATTCTTCTCTCCCCCCACAAACTCCCCGCGATAATACGAGCCGTCTCCATTGAACAAATACCCGATCCCTGTGATCGCCTTGATGTCCACAAACCATCCAAAATAGCAATAATGATCGTCGCGAACGATCGAAAACAGCTGCATTTGACCGCTTGATGGGTCCGTTCTCTTCGAAAAGATCACCACACGCTCGTCACGCAGGGCGCCGTAGCGAGAAAAGAGCGTGCCTCGCGTGAAGAGAAAGCGAGCTTGCGCTGGGTCGATGGGACTGGATGGAGCAGAGTCGATGTCCTGATTTTGGTCATCACTGTGAGATTGTGCAGAGGAGAAGGAATTGGAGTCGCTGATCAGTGAGGAATCTATATCCGCGTTCGAGGGAGTATCTAGCATCGACAGGTCGATGATCGGCTCGATCTCTTGGTGAGGCAGGGAAACACCCGGGAGCTGATAGAGTTCGTTGTAGAACGCTTTACCGAACGAGGAGTTGCCCTCCTCGATGGAGATTCCCGGTCGGAGGACTTCGATAATGTCGTGAAATCGGTACTTGGAGTTAATGATTTTCTGGGGAACTCGCCAGATGCATTTCGAAAAGAGCTAGAGAAAAACGGCGGATGATGAGGTGTACGCTCGAATCGATCTTGTCAATGATGAAATAGAGCAAGAGACAGTCGCGAATGGAACAATTATTTACAGCGTTCATTAGGATGATGAAGTAGCGCATCACCTATACATTGGGGTTCTGCCATAAAAAGATTACATCCGATAGGAAGCAATACTTGTTGCTGTTGTTGATGATCACGTCCTATGCATGATTCCTGCTTTCAAGAAATACAATAGGTCTTGAAGTCACTAGAACACTAAGAATAGTATTCATATTCTAAATGGAAGCACGAAAGGAGCGAATACTTCATCATTTATCAGATTCCCTCGTTCTTTATTACATACCGGGCACACAGAGGACTATCCATAAAGCAGATTTCACAGAGGAACAACCTTCTTCTTAAAACAGTTAAAACAACAGCGATGGCAGCACCCCTCGCATGAATAGATCGTGCGATCACTTGTATGACAGCAATCTATTGGTTTCTGACATGATGTTAATTCCCTACCACAAATGGAGCGATTCATTCCATAGTACTCAATGTACCGCTTCAAGATGGATTGGCAGAATTCTCGTTTGTACAAACGCATTTGAAACAAACAAAACTATTTCCATTTAAACCGATCACGGAACAGAATCACCGCCGACGCAGCTACTACATGTTAGTCTCCCCTCTTCCCTTCCATACCAGCGCCCAACAAGCCAACACCCACAACCGTCCGCATGATCCTCTTCTTCCTCTGCTCCTGCGTCTCCGGAGTGCACATCGCTCTATTTTCATTTCATTCCGCCACACCTACGGGTTCAGCGCGCATTCGAACAACATCTCCCGCATCGCCTCCACCTCTTCGTCTGCCATTTCGCCCACGATTTTCGGTTCCATCAGCGAATATTTCTCGCAATACCGACGCACTTCCTCTCTCACACTCGCTTCATCTCCCGTCTACGTTCCACAATTCCACGTTTCCCCACTTTATCGGGCGTTTCACTGCGCATTCCCACCAATATGACAGGGATCCCCGCGGGAATCGACTCGGTGCACGCGGTAAACGACGAGAGGTCGGCGACGTCGAACGTCCCGACTACCTTTCAGGTTTCCCCGTTTCCCCACTTTCCAAGTCCCGCGGGAATTCATCGCTGTCGGTGAAGCAGAGAGTGCGTCTGCGGTCTCCCCGCGGGAGCAGGGCGATGGCCACTCGCGCGGGTTCCACGAGGGTTCGCGTGCGAATTCGCTGCGCCAGCGCGGCGAAAAGCGGGCCTTCCCCGCGGCACCAGGCGATGCGTCGCTCCTTCTGGGCGGGGCGTTTCCACTCGACCATCCCGCGGGGATCGGCGAAGTATCCGAGCTGGAGAACGGCTCGGACGGCGAGCGCGGGATCGACGCAGAGCAGCGCGTCCCACAAAGCCAAAAACTCCGCGTGGGTGAGCGAAGTGGATGAAGTGAATGGGCTCATGGATGGATTCATTGATGGGTTCATTGATTCATGCATTGATGGGTTTATAGATGGATTCATGGATTCATGCATTGAGTTCGATTCATTCAATGCGTTTATGGATGAGTTCACTGATGGATTTGATTCATTCAATGCGTTTGATTCATTCAATGCGTTTGATTCATTCATCAAATTCGATTCATTCACCGATACATTCGTTTCATTCATTAACTTCGATTCATTTAAAGGCTCCTCTCTTTCCACATTCTCCGCTCTCTCCCCCGCTTCCTCCAATTTCCAGGGCGCCATTCCGCGGGGCAGCGGGGCGAACAGGCGCACCAAATCCGCGGGGTCCAGCGACCCGTCTCCGTCCGAATCGAACAGCTCCGCAGTCTAGTGGAAACGTGGAACCCGGCCCTACCCTCGTCAGAAACAGCGAAACGGGGAAACTCCACTCGGGCACCGCGGGAGCGGGTCCGGGCTGCGCGGGCGCGGGCGCGGGCGGCGGGCGAAGCTGCGCATCGAAGCGGAGGGAGCGGAGCAGCAGCCAAGCGGCCTCGGTGCGATCGCGCTGCAGAAAGAGCCGGAGAAGCAGGCAGAAGCCGTCCTCGGTGAGCCCGTCGGCGCGGATGCTGGCGGGGTCTTGCTCGCGAAGCACGGAGTGGAGGAGAACCACTTCCTGGCGAGAAAGCTCGGTGAGGTAGACGGTCTTCTGGAAGAGGTTCAGCTCGGCGAAGCTCCAGAGACCGTCCTGGTCGCGGTCGAAGAAGCGGAAAACGCGGCGGAGAACGCGGACGAACGCGGGGGTCAGGGATTGCGAGGAACGGTCGAAGAGGGGGGAGATCGGGAAGGCCACGGTGCGTTGAGCCGCGTAGAACACCTGAGTGAGGTTCTGACGACTCTTGGCACTGCATTCCATACAGCAATCCACGTTCTAGGGAATAGGCTTCAAAAATGCTGGGAAGATACGGGATATTGGGAGAGAATCGATTCGGAGTGTTCTCGAAGATGCGTGTTGGAGTTCATAGAGGACGGATTCTTCTCCAAATCGATTTTGTTTCCTACAACGACGATAGGCTTCTGGGGACCGCCAATATCGATCACGAGGGGAATCCACTTCGTAGTGACACTTTCTAACGAATGGGGCTTGTCCAGCGAATAGACGATCATAACAACATCTGCCTAGCATTTAGAGGCAGCAGTGATCAATACCAGACGAATTTGTTCACAAGTAATATCATGATCTTCTTCAATTGCTATACAATCAGTCCATCTGCGAAATTCCAACATGAAGAATCGACTATCGTTAAGGAACAGTGATTGGTTGTGCATTCACCTGGAATCACAACTTCGCACAGAACGGGGTCTACATTTTCGGCAAATCGATCCGACACGAAGGTCGAAATGATGGACGTTTTCCCTACAGCAGCTACACATTAGCGCGATGCAAAGGCTCAGACCATCGCCAACCACAATGATTCGAATGTTATTATCCTTCATAGTGCGACTGCTCGCGCTAGAGCACGTTGGAGAGGGTGTGTAAAACAAAGAGTAGGATATAGAACATGCTATCACAACAGAAAGAAAGAAAGAATGAACGAACGAACGGCTGTTTTCTTATTCCTCCTCCTGGCACACCACCTCGTCTCCAGGTCCGAAGATGTACTTCTGGGGCTTGTGCGATCCGCACGACTTGTCCAAAATCTTCACGATATCCTCTCGCGTGATATCCTCGATGCTTTCGGCGCGAATCTCCGCATGGTAGGTCTGCAGACGCTTCAGCAGCACCTGCTTGTGCGTGGCCACACGCGCGCGAGTGAACACGGGAGCGTTCTCGGGCACCCAGATCAGGAACACGAAGCGCTCTCGCACCGACGTGCAGGTTCCGGCCTTGTTGAAGGCGTTCACCTTGAAAATTCCGTACAGCACCTCGCTGTCGTCCAGCTTGTCCATCAGTCCTTGCAGACCGTCGTTGCCATAGCCGAACACCTGCAGGGTCTCGTCCTTGGCGAGCTGGAACAGGATCCAGTTCACATTCGACTCCTGTTTCTTGAACTCCTCCCACACGTCCTCGAACGTCACATCGCTCTGCTTCACGTCGTCCTCGTGGCCAGTGAAGTCGATATCCTCCGCGGTGATGTCGAAAATGTATTCGTCGGGGGCGTGGCAGCCGGAAGCACGGTCCAGCTCACGGATGATGATGTCCTTCGTCATCTCCTCCAGAGTGTTCACCTGGAGACCAATATGGGCTCTCTAGCAATAAGACCGAGGGGAAAGGCACATACGCAGAAGAACTCACGGACCTGGGAGTTGATGGTACTCACACGCGCACGCTCAATGATGGGAGTCTCGCTACCGATCCAGGCAATGAACACGAACTTGGGACGTCTGCTCGTAACGGCAGACTTGTTCTCAAGTCCAATCACCTCAATAAGAGCAAACTGGCACTACAAATCACGATTCAGCATGCGAGCCTTACCTTGGCAGGGTCTAAGTGCTTGATACACTCATCGTAACCACCCTCACCGGCAGAGTTAACAACTAACTTGCTGAAACCCTCAATGTCACAAACAATCCTAGATGTCAACAAATCGCATAAAAACTACCAGCTAGTTAGATCATGATCGTCAAGAATTCTCTTGTATTCTTCAGATCTGGCGACCTCTTCGCACTGAGCCATGTTTAATTCAACTAAACGAAATGAATAAAAGAAATATGGAAAGATTCATTAACTACAACGTACCAGCGGATTTGATGCACAACGATAATGACAACCTGAGTGTCAATTTGTGCATCAAATCCGCTGGTACGTTATTTACTAAAATGGTCATGTTTGGATCGAAATTCCATGTTAATTAGGCTGGGAACATGTTAACAAATAGGAGAAATTAAAGTTGTGAACTACCCTAATCATGTGACTTCTATTGTTTATGGGGATTGCTTGGCGTTCATTCGTTTGAAAGGGATACAGAATCAATGTGATTTTGTCAAAATCTCCATATCTTTGCTACAGAGAAACACTTTTCCAGGTTTCACATCCTTGCTTCGAAAATGGATAGAGCGCAACACTCTTGACACTTTGCTCCATTTTGGCAGTTGAGACAACATTTGGAGAATGTAGGTTTTCGCACGCAAACCGCGTTCTACCGTTCATTTTACATCGAATGGGAGCCGATAAACTAAAATAAGGAAAAGAACTTTCTAGAATAAATAGGTTGCAGTTTACAAGAAAAAAAATCTCTATTTCTATCCATGTCTCAAGCGGGTGCTGCTGCTGCCAAAAAGAACGAGGGAAATGCCTTTTATGCTAAGCAAATGTACAGAGAGGCCGCGAAATGCTATTCTGACGTACCCGAATTTGTTGTCAACTATTCGGAATAGGCCATTGATTTAGATCCTTCTAACCACATTCTTTACTCGAACCGTGCCATGGCATACTGTGGTCTGAAGGAGTGGGCCAAGGCTAAGGAGGATGGTTTAAAGTGTGTCCAGATGAAGCCTGACTTTGTCAAGGGTTACCACAGAGCGGCTACTGCCATGATCAACTTGGTAGGAGAGGGTGCTTGGTTTGACCGTAGAACGAGTTCATTGAGGCCGAGGAACTCCTGCAACGCGGTCTGAAAGTATTCCCGGACGACAAGAATCTTTTGGTGTTGCTCCGTATTGCCGAGCCCAAGGCTGAGGAGTTGCGCAAGGAGAAGATCGGTGGAATGCCCCCTCTCGATCGTTACAAGGCGGAGGGTAATGAGCACTTCAAGGCCTCTCGTTTCACTCAGGCCATTCAATCTGTGTGTCTCCGTTCTATATCTAACCTGTAGTACACAAAGGCTATCGAGAGCGTTGGTGAAAATCCTCCCATGAGCGATGTGCTTCTGGCTTGTTACAACAACCGTGCTGCCTGCTACCAGCAGCTCGGTAACTACGAGGCTGTGGTGGAGGACTCGACGTGGGTTCTGGAGCACGATGTAGGTGTGTGAGAGGGAGTTGACAGACAGCCCAAAAACATTAAGGCGCTTCTGCGAAGAGGACTCGCTTTTGAGAACTTGGAGCGTTACCGATCCGCTCTGGAGGATATTCGTAACGTGCTGATGATTGATCCGACGATCGCGATGGCAAATGCGGCTCAGGTAGGATTTCGTGCGTTTTTTGATGGGTAGCATAGAATCGGAGATGCAGTGAGAAAGTTGAAGCAGGAAGGAATGAAGTAAACTGCTGTTTCATACTGCTCTGTTTGTTAAAAAGTGGAAATGTAGAATTTACATTGTTGGTTTAGGAAAATGGATCTTGACGACGCGGCTATTGTAGAAGAGGAGGACACTCAGAACGCCTCCGGAATGGTAGGATTCGACGACGATCCACTGATTTGCTGTAGAAGCGCTCTGCCTCGCATATTCGCATTATTTCAAAGAAGGTACGTTTTGTTCAGCGAGTACTAACGGGCAGGGAAACTCTCATATATATTATTCGTCTGTAACTGAAACTGATGGAATGCCTTCTCTTCGAGAATTGTTTAGGTAGTAATCGGAAAGAGTCTCTAGCGTAGAGTTGGCCATGGACCTTCTAGCTCACATACGATGGGTCCTGCCAATGCAGCTAAAAGATTCCGCGCTTTATACGACGCCGGAATCGACAACTACGTGGTTATTCTCTATGGCTCTCTCGCTGCAACCGGAAAAGGCCATATGACCGATGTCGCGATCGAGAACGAGTTGAAGCCAAAGAAGGTTACCTTCATCTGGAAAGCGAACGAAACCTTAATGTTCCACGTCAACGGCATGACGATCAAGGCCTGCAAGGGTGAGGAGGAATGTGCCCAAGAGACGTACTACAGCGTTGGAGGCGGCGCGATCGTCGTGGACTCGGAACTGTCCATGATCGAAGGCCCGTACAAGAAAACGTTCGACAAAGTGTACAACTACTCCACGATGAACGCTCTGATTCGCTGGTGCCGCAAGACTGGTCTCAAAATGAACGATTTCGTCTACCAGAGCGAAGGCGAGGGCATTCACGACTTCCTGAAAATGATCTGGGACACCATGAAGCGCTGCGTGGAGATCGGTCTGCAGGGCAAGGGCGTGCTCCCCGGCGGGCTCAATCTGCCCCGCAAGTCGCGTGACATGTACCGCGCGGCGCAGCGAAGCAATTCGAGTCTGAGCGTACGGTCCCTGGCTCCCTCTCTCTGTAGGAACACGCGTATCTCTTCGCGTACACGCTCGCCGTGTCGGAGAACAACGCGGGCGGAGAGATCGTCGTCACCGCTCCGACGTGCGGCGCGTGCGGCATCGTCCCTGGACTGCTCTATTATCTCCACACACACCACGAGAACATCACCGACGAGGACTGCATCGACGCTCTCGCCGTCGCTGGCGTCATCGGCAACATCGCCAAGGTCAACGCGTCCATTTCGGGAGCCGAAGCGGGCTGTCAGGCCGAGGTGGGCGTGGCGTGCGCGATGGCCGCGGGAGCAGCGTGCTTTTTGCTGGGCGGATCGACGGAGCAGATCGAATACGCGGCGACGATGGCGATCGAGCACATGCTGGGATTGACGTGCGATCCGGTGAAGGGACTGGTGCAGGTGCCGTGCATCGAGCGGAACGCGATGGCGGCGGCGCGAGCGCTGGAGTGCGCGCAGTACGCGCTGATGACGAACGTGTTCCACATCATCTCGTTCGATGAGGTGGTGATGACGATGATTTTGACCGGCGAAGACATCGAGGATACGCTGCGCGAAACGTCGAGGGCGGGGCTGGCGCAGACGTACAATCTGGACGAGCTGGCGAAGAAGCAGCGACTGAAGGATTTGAAGAGCCAGCTGCGAGGCATTCAGAGACGGTCGAGCATTAATATGCAGTGGGGACAGCATGAATCGGACAATGAGGATTTGATGACGTCGAGAGAGTCGGTGGATCCGGTGCCGTCGGAGAAGGGAGAAAATGAGATGATCATGCTTGATCGGAATAGTACGTTTGACAGTTTCTATTCTTGTGTTTGTTGGAATAAAGGGAAGTGAATCATTGAGTGAGTCAAGCAATGAGTCAAGCGATCGTTGAATCAATCATTGAATCATTGAATGAGTGAATAATAATCCTATCATTCAATCCAAAATCACTTCCACTCTGATTCCAACCTTCCCTCCTCATTCCCCTACACACACATATCGTCTAAAACAAACAATCCGCACGATTCCATTTACGCTTTCTCAGAAGCGACTTTCACTTCATCGTGGCTTTCCACCTTTCCCATTTCCACACTCACCGCACCCACTCCATCCACTCCATCCACCATTTCCTCCGCCTTCGGTGCCTTCGGTGCCTTCGGCGCCTCCACGCCACTCCCCTTCAACGAATCCTTCGAGGTTCCTTCGGTACACTGCGGAGAAACCTTCGACGACTCGTCATTTCCCTTCTCCTCCTTCTCCTCATCCAGATTATTTCCCTTCGTCACTCCCTCGCTCACCACCGGCAATTCCTTCACCCCGGCCTTTCCGAACATCATCGCGTTCGGCATCCGCAGGATCAGACACAGCGAAACCACCGCGACCACTGCGAACACGAGGCAGAAATAGTAACTTCCTTTGTGAGAGAAGGAGTAGAGCCAGGAAAGCACGAGCGGGCAGAGAATGAACGCCGCTTGGGAGCTGAGATTGTTCCAAGAGAGCACTTTCCCTTGCACTTCGGGACGATTCGTCGTCTAGATCACACAACTGCTTTACAAATACGCTGATGATCGATGTGGAAGTGGGGGCTGTGAACGCATAGCCGATCCATAGCAACGTCGAACCCACCACGCTCCACACCAGCGTGGAGGCGCCCACCATCACCAAATACCCGACGATCTCGATCAAGATTCCGCCGAGAGCCACAACCGGAATGGGAAGACCGATCGTGCGAACCACCAGGCCATAAATGAAGGCTTGTTGGACGCACACCCAAGCACTTTGAGCACACAGAATGTACGAGAACGTTGTCGAGCTGACTTGGAAAGTGTCAAGCAGATACGTTCCGTAGCGAGTATTGATCGCGTTGAGCGCCCAGCGATTGCAGAACTCGACGAGGAAGCAGAGAATCATGAGTTTGGTCGGACGAACGTGGATGCTTTTGCGACGCTGGCTGATCTCGTCGATCTTTTCCTGGATCGTAACTTGCGTCTTGGCTTTTTCTTCTGCGGATAAGAAGAGATACGCTCAAGTACCCTCGCTCTGATGCTTCATTCGCTTTTTCAGAACTTTGATGTCCCTCACGTCCTTGTTTGTCTCTTGCAAGAAGAAAAATGAAAAGAGCATTGCTACTCCAGCAACACAACCAGCAAAGTACAGAGGAAGGGAGTAGCTATATTGGCCCAAAATACCACCCAGCGCAGGACCCAGCACTGAAGCGGCAGAAATCACAGCTTCCAAAATGGTGAGATACTTATTCCGATTTTCAGTCGAGCTACAGTCAGCGATCAATCTATATATATATATGAAAAGGTTAGAGGATCTTACGCTTGAGTCACAATAGGACTTCCAGCAAACAAACCGGTAATACACCTCCACAAAATTAAATCCCAAACACGCTTTGACATGCCTTGAAAGATGGCACCTATGCTCATCAAAATAGCATAATGATACCCAAGAAAGAACCGAGCAAGGACAAAATGAAAAATACCTTCCGTCCATAATAATCGCTCCCAATTCCCATAATAGCAAGACCTAACTTAAGACCATTGCTCAGAAAGTACTCATAGCCTGAGTTACGGAGTATCCAGAGAATATCAACCCTTCTTCAATATCAGACGCATTCATCTGACTGCAAAGAAATGGAAGGATGGGAGTTATCAAAGCATAACCCAAAACGTCCATAAAGACAGCAATATAACTCATAATAAGATTCAATTTCGTCTGATTGGCTGCCATTGTTGGGTTTCAATAAAAGTATTAATGTGGGAGTATGTCGTCTCGCCATAATGAGGTATCATGTGTGTCTCATTTTGGAATTTGTTTGAATCATTTCTCTATCAATAGGACTACATTTAAAATATGAATTGCGGGAGTTGTAAAATTGTATATACTTAAAATGAAAAAGAAAGAGAGACACTGATATAGGCAAGATATAAAAAAATAAATCAATAGAAGATCTTAAGAATTGATTAAAAAGAAGGAATATTAGTAGAAACAATGACTTCTTCGTGATGATGTCAAAGGGGTTAACAATAATTAGCATAATAGTAACACTATAACTCTATTCCATTATTTTGATATTTATTACCCTATTCTACGTTTCCACTTTTTTTGTGTTTCAGGTGATATCTAGCTGCTTTTTTCAATCTAGATTATTTAGTATATGGATACCAGTGTAGGTATTAGGAATCAAGTCAATAGTTCGTTTTATATGGATTGTCTTCGGAAAAACACTAATTACTCACTTCTTCAGAGTTATCCAATAGTCCCAGGTTCGATGTATTCTCGGGAAAGGGACTATCAGCGCGTCCAAGTTTCGAGATCTAGCAAGCCTGGACCAAAGCCTAACCGCTGTATATGGTGTAATGAAGTACAATGCAACCACTGCCAATGTCCCGGATATGCAAAATGTGATCACAAGAACGGTGAACCCTGTTCACGACATCGGTACGATGTGCTAAGAAGTTTTGATGCCATGTAGCTATAAACGAAGGTTAGTTTGTAATTCTTGCGAGAAAGTAAAATTACGCGAAGAAGCTGCCAAACGCAATGAGGGGAAGTTGTCTTTTTCTCTTAATTTGACTCTAGGGGTAAAGAAGGAAAGAAGAGTGTCCCTTCAAGTGGAAAACAACATGAGAAGAAGACGAGCCATACTTCTCAAAAAGTGGAACTTTTACTTTCGGTTTAACACTTTAGGTTTCTTCATCATTCGATCTTTTGTGCGAAATTGCTTCTTCACAAGCAAAGCTTCTGACACATCCAGTTGCGAACCAAAATTCACAGCCTATTCTTACTTCAACAGAAACCCAAGAAACCAAGTTTCAGCCTGTTTATGTTTATCCATATTTGCCCTATTATTATACGTCTTACCCGCCCAACGATAACCATCTTTAGTTTATGTGTAGCGCTAGGATCCTTGTTTCAACAAACAAACAATCCAATTCCAAAATGAACAACCCCGCTCTCTTTCTCTCTGTCTACTCCTTCTCAATCTCGATCGATTCAGCAGGAGCAGACTCCGCCTTTTTGAGAACATTTGGTGTTTCCGGAGCTGATTCGTATAAATACGTTGCGATCGACAAATTCAGAATAGAAATGTAAAAAGAAATAGGAAGAACCCGATGAAGAATGGCAGAGGATACGAACGACGCAAGAATGAGAGAAGCACAGGACACCAAGGATTCGGTCAAGGAGTCCGTGTATTTGAAGATAAAAATGATCACAATTCCACGCAGCGATTCTCTACAATCAATAAACTCACGAATAGCAACGAGAGAATGAATAAAAACGCGTAGATGTTGAAATTCGAGTAGGTTACGCTCTGAACGAACGTATTCCAGCCGCGAAACAGCAGAAAAACGAGGTGAACGATCGATCCCCAACTACTCGTCAGATTTTCTCACCACCCATACAAAGTAATCCACATAGTTTGGTGAAAGAAATTCATTTCGTTGTGTTTCTTCAAAATCTTCTCGTAAAGCACACCTGCAGTGCCTTCCAGACCTGAACAAAGCAAGGCTAAGAGGGAAGGGAAGATAGGAAGGTCAAGGAGGCTGCTGCTGCTGTCATAAGAGCCTATTTCGATCGACATCACGGACGTACAAAGCAACATGATCGATGCCCATTGAATTCCATTCAGTGATCTCCCAAGAAGAATGAAGGACGCAATACCGATCACTACAATCTCCAAAGATCCAAAGGCTTGAATCACCAGCTCATTTCGTAAAGTCGTTTGGAGATAATAGAAAATGATATCAGCAATCGCGATTAGGATTGCAGGAATACTCATATAAAGGATTTCCGCAAGGGACAACATAACGCGCGGTTCTTTCTGGCATGTACTGCGAAATTTCAACACAAGGAAAGAAATTGCCATCTTCAGCATCTAAAGTTGAACATGTTGTAAGCACGAACATCGGTAGACAGTGCACACATTTGTGTTGAATAAGAATAGTCCCCATCGTCATTTTTCGATAACTATTATTTAAAAGACCTCAACAAACAAAACGGTTGTCAAAACACCTTTTGTAGCATGTGTTAATAGGGATAGGAACAGCACACATACTATTACAATAGGGCGCATACAAAACTTTAAAAGACAAACAAAAGTTTGTAAGTCTTTGAGATGGAGAAGGAAGGTGAAACGGAAGTTCCTGGCAAACGGAAGAGGTCAACACCATCCAAATACAACAAATTAACGAAAGAACAGAAAATTACGCTCATAAAGGAGTGGAAGCGGACTCATTTGTCGTATGCGTGGATTGCAGAAAAATACAGCAAAATCTGGGGAATCCATATCAGTAAACGCGGGATTGGCGATCTTGTGAAGCAGTGGCGTGAAAATGGGAAAATTCGTGGGTACTCTAACGATACTACTGTTCCTGAGGAACTGCTATCTACTCTGAAGTTGGTTTGTCATGTGTGTCAAGAAAACCGATATGCTATCAGTGAATCCGAGTTGTACCAGATTCAAAAGTGGATCTTCCAAGTGTCCGGGAATTCTGAAAGCGATGTCACAATTTACCCAATCCATCATACTATTAAGCTTCTTGCTAATCAAGTGAGTTCTGCTCTAAAAGCAAGTAAACTCTCCAGTAATCTTAGCTCTATATTACCTCTTTTTGACGATTACCCTCCATCATCCATTTTTTGCATTGACTCCTTCTTTTTTCTACCTACCGTCTCTGTTTCAGCACACCTCTCTACGGAGCCTACCCTCTGCACTTCCTATATCGTGTGGAACGCGTTTTCTCTAGACGGGACATTTCCGTTCCACTTTACCGAACCAACAACACTCCCATCTCTACTTCAGCTTTTAGATAGCAATGTCACAAGGGAAACAATCGTTTTTCTGCACTGCATCGAACCTATTTTTGAATCCATCATCCTTGAAAATGGTTATCAAAAGGTAACCTTCTGCCCTCCCTCTTCTCTCGCTTCCCTTTCATCTACAGGGTCCACAGGGTCCACAGAGTCCACAGAGTCCACAGAATCGGGCGATCCCTCTGTTTTTCCTCGCGCAGAGGAGTCGCAGCAACATTCAGTGCCTCCAACGTTTTCTTTTCGATTTCTGCGTATCCACGAGATGAGTCGTGATGACGCATTCGCTGTTCTACCGAGCTATCGAGGCTTGTCTCAGCTCTTTCGACTGTGCGTGAAGTGCGTTTTTGCTCTCTTTTCGATCGTAGAACGCAACTGAAACTACAAAAATCGGTGGAAAGCGCGCTGAGAGAGACGTGGAAAGCGCTCGAAAAAGTGGATTGTCGCCACTTTTGGGGTTTCAATTCGCGCTTCCACACATACAAGTTTCATTTATCGCCTCAAGAAATTTCTCCGGAGCTTCGTCCTTTGCTTGATGCCTATTTCAACGCAATCAAAGAGGATGCGCAAAGCTATTTTGAGCTGGAGGAAGACTTGCTCGTAGCTGGAATAAATGGATTGTTTCAGAGAATGCGAGTTATTCCGCCTTTTTCATCATTATCACCTTCATTGCCCTCCGCATTGCCAGATGCGATCGTTGCAGAAACAGAAGAAGTAACAGCAGCAGCACAGAATGATGAGAAGGTGATAGAAGCGCTGAAGCAGTTTTTGAGGCTTTATGATGTGATTCTTGAAGGGCTTCCTGATGTAACTCTTGAAGATTATGTCCAGAGGGATCGTATTCGTGATCTCTTTACCTGGTGTGTTTGTGGAAACAATTGATTTGCAATACGTTACTCATCCGTGTGAGTGGATTTGTTATGTTTGAGATAGGCTTCGCAACAGGCTGGTAGGTACCGCTTATGGGAATCACTACACAAGAGTTCGATTTTATTGATTAGTGAAGAGAGCTTTTTCGGTTCAGCTTGTTTTATAGGTGGTGTAGGTTGTTGCACAGCAGTGGGGGGCGCTTCGACTTCGTCCATTTTATCTGCATTTGCTTGGTCAGAATGACAAGCTTGTATTTGCTGGATTTCCGCTTTCGTTTGGATCACGATCTCAACGACTTCGTATCCAACAATTCCAACATCGTTCAACGTCCTAGTATCTTCTGGACACAATAAAACACCATTTACTCGAATGAAAAGCGGTGACTTGGTGGAAACACCTGTTTCTGCATACGCCGCTTTATATAGCTAAAGTCAATTCGTTTCATAGAGGCTACATCACGCACTTTGGCGTTATTTGGAATCGTAACAGAAATGTAGTGCTTTGTGTCCTCCACAGCGGGAAAGTGCATTTGAAAGGTGAGAATCATACCTTACAAACGTTTCCCAAAAGTACTTCCAAGAAAGTGTACAACCACAAACAAAGTAAATTAAAAGTGACTCACACGGATAACCCACTTTCCACTCTTTGGATCATACGAAACAAACTCAGCTCCCATCTGTTCCGTGCGTTCTCTGATAAACTCCGTCATGTCTTCTGTGGGTTCGTTCTTGTTCAAAACCTTATAAAACGTGATCTGCGCCTTCTTATTCAGCCCCGTATTGGGCTCCATCACTCCACCCAAGCCATGATCGCAGCACACTTCCACGTAGGGAATGTCGTTCTCCTTTCCGATCTCCAAAATCGCATCCAAATCGAGGCCTCGCAGATCGACGGGCTCCAGCCATCGAATCTTCGCCACGCCGCGGACTTTCACGGAGAACGTCACACTGCGGAGCTCTTCGTCGAGGAGCTGCGCGAGCTGCTCGATGGAGGGCGAGCAGATATAGCCGGGCTTGGTTAATCGAGGCGTGAGCCCGGCTTTGGAAGAAGAAGAAGAAGGGCCGGGGAGAGAAAGCATTCGGGTGGGGTCGAGAACGGTGCTGGGGAGAGAAGGAGGGAGAGGAGGAGGCGAAGGGGAGTTGGGAGTGTGGAGAGTGGGGGGAGGGGCGGAGAGAGGCGTTTGGCTCTCGATGATTTGGAGAATGTGGAGAGGCTGGATGGAAGAGAGCTTGCGAGAATCGTCGAGAAGAACTTGGCCGCCGTTCACGACGATGAAATGCGTGAGAGTGGGTTTCTAGAGGAGAGTAAAGGGAGAGAGAGAGAAGCCTACCATGCGTCGGATCTTTTCTTTCAAGTCGCCCACTGTGGCATCGATATCGAATTTCACCATTTTCTACAGTCAAGCACGCTCCTTAATTCTACGTCTTCGATCGGGATCTCGAGTTCTGGCTTCTCGAAAGGAACGGACTCGGACTCTTCCTCAGAGACTTCATCGCTCTTCTCGGTTTCGGAGGTGGCTGCGAGCTCCTTCTGGATCTGCTCTTCGATCTCCTGGTTCTTTAATACTTCCTTCTCTGCATAGCTCACAACGGAGGCGGGCTTGCCGAGCATGAACGAAGGGATGCTGAAGAAGGCGGCAGTCGATGGAGACGTGTGGAGAGACTCGGTGACCTGCTTGGGGAGAATAGCGGAGGGCGTTTGCTGCGTGACGTTTTTATCGAACTGGTTGATCTTGTCCAGGAGTGTGTTCACTGTGGAATAGGGGGTGCTGATAATCTGTTTCTTGACCTCTTCAGGATTGTGTGCTGGAGCTGCTGGGGCAGTACCTGTACCAAAGCCACCTGTATTATTGGCTCCGAATCCACCAGTATTGTTGGCTCCGAAGCCTCCAGTATTAAATCCAAAACCTCCTTTGTTTGCTCCAAAGCCACCGGTATTGTTTGTTCCAAAGCCACCAGTGTTGTTTGTTCCAAAACCACCAGTGTTATTGGCTCCAAAGCCACCAGTATTATTACTTCCAAAGCCACCAGTATTATTACTTCCAAAGCCACCAGTATTATTACTTCCAAAGCCACCAGTGTTGTTCGTTCCAAAACCACCAGTGTTGTTCGTTCCAAAGCCACCAGTGTTATTACTTCCAAAGCCATCAGTGTTAAATCCAAAACCTCCTTTGTTTGTTCCAAAGCCACCAGTGTTATTACTTCCAAAGCCACCGGTATTATTATTTCCGAAGCCACCAGTGTTGTTTGTTCCAAATCCACCAGTGCTGTTATTTCCGAAGCCACCAGTGTTATTACTTCCAAATCCACCAGTGTTGTTTGCTCCAAATCCACCAGTGTTGCTATTTCCAAATCCACCTTTATTGGCTCCAAAGCCTCCACTGTTGTTTGTTCCAAAGCCGCCAGTATTACCTCCAAAACCACCAGAATTATTACCGCCAAATCCACCTGCATTATTACCGCCAAATCCTCCTTTGTTAGCTCCAAAGCCACCTGAATTATTACCTCCAAAGCCACCGTTATTGTTCATCCCAAAGCCACCTGAATTATTACCTCCAAATCCTCCTGTATTGTTCATTCCAAAGCCACCAGAACTATTACCTCCAAATCCTCCTTTGTTAGCCCCAAAGCCCCCTGAATTATTACCTCCAAAGCCACCGTTATTGTTCATTCCAAAGCCCCCTGTGTTACCACTTCCGAAGCCACCCGAATTACTCCCGAATCCTCCTTTGTTACCTCCAAACCCACCTGAATTACCACTTCCGAAGCCACCCGAATTACCACCAAAACCACCCGAATTACCACCAAAACCACCCGAATTACCACCAAAACCTCCCGAATTACCACCAAAGCCACCTGAATTACCTCCGAAGCCACCCTTGTTAGCTCCGAAGCCACCAGTGGCATTATTTCCAAATCCTCCAGTGTTGCTTCCAAATCCTCCGGTATTGCCTTTCGAAATAAAGTTATTTGTTCCAAAACCACTATTATTATTATTTCCGAAGCCGCTGTTATTATTGCCACCAAAGCCACTATTGTTATTTCCAGAGCCAAAATTGTTATTTCCAAATCCAAAGCCTCCACCAGAGTTATTGTTTCCAAATCCTCCGCCCGAATTACCACCAAAACCTCCAGTGTTACTGTTATTGCCCCATTGATTTCTATTGGATCCTATCTGATTACCGCTCTGAAAGCTCATCAAATTGTTGAAGACAGAAATAAAACTAATAAATAGTTTGAAAACAAACAACACAGGAAAGAAAACAAACTCGTCCAAAACATACTAGCAAGACGAGGGGAAAATAACACACAGACATTATAGTAAGTCTTGTCGATCTAAAGCATGATGGAAACACTCCAGTTACACATTTTTCGGGAACGACATGCAGAATTGTTTGCATTCTTTGCGCATAATAGGTAAGAGAGAACTAGCTTGTACACAAAGAGAATCCTTACAAGCAAAAAGAAATAAAGAAGAGATGTAATAGTCACAATTAGGAGAATAATTACGGAAACGTTGCTCGGAACAAAGAAATTATAGATTACTGCAGAGGAGGCACAAATGCCTAAGACAATGCCTGATCCAGCCTAAAATAAATGATTTCCAGTGTTCTTACAAGTATGTTATACCATTTTGAGACACTTCGTAAAGAAAGAATCAACAAGATACTGGAAAGCAATGCCATTATACTGCAGATGACAATAAAGGTTGACTGGGCGAAAAAACTCAATATACACTGAAGGAGCGCACATCCCTAAAAATTAACAACAACAATATGGAATAGAACAAATTCTGCATAGTAGATAAATTTAGAGTTTGCTACACATGCCTTACGATACTTCCGTAAATCGGACATCCCTATTATATACTCACTAATCTGAAAATAGGGAGTCCCATCGATCTCATGTACAGAAACCTCGATTCTAGGATGTTCTCTGAACATGAACACAAAAACGCTATATATACACTGGACGAAACTCATCTGAAAATGACCGAATGCTCGGCTGTTCGTAAATCCCACCGAACATAAAAATCGAGAAAAGTGAAAACAATCTTTGAACAAACAAACATACGAGTTTGCCACTAAACTTAACTTCAGACTAACCATTATTTCCTTATCTGCTCTTCCATAGCTCATTATCCTGAACGGGGTGTCCTTACATCCGAACTCAACCGAAACAATTGGCCCCATCCCAGCCGAAATCACTACATTCCCACATTCTCCATTTCCAAACGTCCGATTTCCCTGTATATCAACGACCTGCGTCGCTATCCTTCCCACACCGTAATAAAACAGCTGAACTCCCACGATCGGCTTTTGCCCCATCGAACACCATTCCTCTGCCTTACAGAAGTTCGAATAAAGGAGTGAATCGCTCGAAGAGCTAGTTGTATCGCTCTGCACCACAACTCGATAGAAAAGAGTGGGAGGAAATGAAGCAGAAACCGCGGTGGCGAGTTGGAAATTGGGACAACCGCCCAGTTGGACGGTAATGTGGTGCTGGGAACAGAATTCCACGAAAAGCTGTCCCACAGAAAGATTGATGTAGTTGCAAGTGAGGTTGAGGAGGCGTAGTTTGTAACATTTGTTGCTTGCGACGAGAGAAGAAAGCGTGTTGAGGGAAGAATCGGTAAGGAGATTATCCTGGAAATTGATTTCAGAGAGATTAGGATAGCGATTGGTGGATAAGTACTGACAAATGAGCTGGAGACCGATATCTCCGATTAACTTGTCTATAGCTAAGGGAATCAAAAGAAGGAAACTGGAAAGCGAGATGGAGGACACGACATCAAGGACTTGGGCGCTGTAATCGCAAAAGGTTAAAGCATATTCGATTCCAAATGCCTTATCTCTTCCATTATCGCACGATTTTATTCCTGAATCTGTCTGGCTTGCCTACACATGACCGAACTCCCAAACTAGCACCAAAATATTTCTTTGATTTATTTCTGAATCAGAAAAGGGCTGAAACTGAGAGAACAATAAGAACTTTACGTTGTTATTGGTTATAGAGCTTAAAACATTGCTTTTACCCAAATTAATCATTCGTTCATCCTTATCTGATATATTGGGTAAACCGCTCATGAATACAACGCGATAAAAAAAGTGTGATTGGAATGCTCGTCTTTCAGTTCTTGATCCTGTTGTGCCTATTTACAATAGGCAATGCACATGAGCAAATCATTCCTGATAATCGTGGGAACTGGTTTTTCTCTTACAAGAATTGTGATATCACACTTCCATGTCATGAGTGTCCCGTGAATAATGTAGATAATAGGTTTTGCTATGAATCTCTTAGACAATGGAGGAATGTAAGAATACTGGCTACATAATGCAATACTCGTGTATAAACTTGTATCCTAATTATTCTATATGGATCACATTGTAGCAGTCGAAACGATACCGATAATTCGGACATTCTTTACGTTTTTGAATATTTGTTATGTAATCAATAGACGGTGGCATGTAAAAAACCGATTCAGAGTCATGGAAACGGAACTTCTCTGATGAGTTTTATTGTACTAGGAACGATCTTTCATGAACCATAGGCGGTGTTTTATGCACTAGCGATTGCCAGCACAATCTTGATCCTATTGTACAGAAACAAACATTTCATGAGTGGCTACTCTCTCGTTAATACCCAAAGTAGATAATTTGTATTATGACCGTGTTTTTGATTTAATGTGTCTGTTTGTTTGATACTCAATAAAGTTGAATGGAAGAGGAAGAGAGTGGAGCACGTCACTCTATTGTGATCTATTCTCCCGAGTATACATATTCAGGGAAGTCTTGCTGCTATTCTCCAGATGGTCAGTACCTTTTGTTTTCGAACGGAAAGGAGGTCGAAATTTTGACGGTCACAGACCAAGTGATTCGTTTCACATTGTATTGCTCGGATCGTGTTGACTATGCCGAATGGTCCCCCGATTCTTCACATATTTTGTGTTTGGTCCGACGAAATGGATCAGTCGAGGTGGGAATTTGATTTGAAATCGATTCTAGGTGTTTTCCCTGCAAAACTTGTCTTGGAACGTGGCTTTTCGTAATGATGATTCTTCCATTCTGAGTGTTCGTTGGGCTCCGGATAATGAGCATATTTTGGTTTTAAATGAATGTGCGCTCCAAACATCCATTTGGTCGATTCGCTCGAAGAGATTGATAACGCTCCCTGGATTTCGCGATTTGCGGCGCTATTGTTCGTTTTCTCAAGATGGTAAGTGGTTAGCGTTTTTGCATCGACTTTCCACAAATGGTACGCATCAGCAAGATGCAGTAAGCATCGTCAGTGCGGTCAATTGGGAATGCGTGAACACCTTTCCGATTTCCACCACTCAGGCGATAAACGTAACCGCGATACATTCCGTTCATCGTAGATATCATGGACGAATCAAGATCACTACCTATCGATTTTAGATCACCCCGTTTACAATCAGTATTGTCTCTACTCGCTGGACGGGACAGAATGTTTTAAATATGCCCCCGTACCCCTTTCTGCGCCTATTCAATAGAACACACCTTCTCTCGGCAGTGTGGTCCAACAGACCGCCCACAGTCTCCCCCTTTTAGCATTCGGCGGTTTCGAGGGGAATTTCAAACTCTTCGACACGGAATCGCTCGTCATTCTGCGAGAACTCTGCGTATTCTCTGACATGGGCGGGAAGGAAACAGTATCGAATCTTGTTATAGCCATAACAAAAGCTCATCTGCACCGAACTTCCGAAGCTGGACGTTCGCTCTCGCTACCAGAAAACACACGCGCGCCAGCCGAACGATCTTCCCGATGCGTTCGAGCAGCTGATCGTGATCGATTTGTTTTGTTTTCACCAAAGAACTCCACCGAAGGAAACTATTTTTTCGAAACGGAAACGGGGATCCCCACAGCCGCCATTCCCACGCCGACCATGGCTCGATTGTGCGTGTCGTTGCGCTGGCTGACGGGTAGATCGAGTGTGAAGGACTTGGGGATTCACTCCGTGGAGTTTTCGCAGGACGATCGATTTGTGGCGCTGAAGGAGAATAGCCGCGCTTCGATTCTCTGGGTGTGGGACGTCAAACGCGATTGTCTGGCGGTCAACGTGGTTTTTAAATCGCCCATTCTGGCGTTTGCGTGGAGTCCGCAGCAAAGTCGGCTGGCGATCGTGACGTCGAATTTGACGTTGTATCTGTGGGAGCCCGGAGAAATAACGTGGTCCATCATTCCAAATCGTGGAGGCTGGGAGAGGAGGAGTGAAGTGTAGGATTGGCGGCGTTTCAAAGAATTGAGTGGAGCTCGTCGGGGAAACAACTCGTGTTGGTGGGAACGGAGTCGTTTTTATTGTGTGATCTATGACTTGTTTTTTTTGAAAACTTTTAAAAATCATTTGTTCGCTTGCGGTTTTCTTTTATGGAAGAAGAGAAATTAACTCCTGAAGAGTTACCCACAAAATACCAATTCGATTCTTCAAAGTTCGAGTTGGTTGCACAGGGTGCAGAGGGAGTACGATTTTCGACTTGTACATGACTTGTAGAAGTTATACCATGGAACCTTTTTAGGAAAGGAGGTGATGGTAAAGGAACGAGTGAAAAAGTCGTATCGGCATCCTGTGTTGGATGCTTCTATTCGTAACAAGCGACTGGTTCTTGTAATTTATGCTCTTCTGTGTGTAAATGTGTAGGAAGCACGAAGTATGGAGCGATGTCTCAAGGCCGGTATCAAGACACCGATTATTCGTTATGTGGATGTGAATCGTTATTGTATCATAATGGACTACATAAATGGCAATACAGTGCGTGATTACATAAACAAGTCGTTGTACAAATCGCGTACTTCCTCCTGGTCCCATTCAATTTTGTAGAAGACGAACTTTATTCCTACTGCTTCAAGATCGGCGAAGTGGTGGCCAAGCTTCACAATCACAACTATATTCACGGTGATCTAACAACTTCCAACTTCATGATCGAAGAGGGAACAGGTGATTTGGTGTTGCTCGATTTCGGCTTGACGACGGTGAGTTCGAGCGCTGAAGACATGGGCGTGGATCTGTATGTACTGGAGCGAGCTTTCCTATCACTTCATGATCATGCCGCGGAATTGGTAGTGATCCTGTAGGGTTTTGATGTAGTTTGACGAGGTGATGCGTGGTTATGAGTCTCTCGTGGTTCGCAAAGAGCAGAATGTGAGTTCGTTCAAGAAGGTGCGAGCGCGTGGTCGCAAACGTCTCGCTTTTGGCTGGTTTGTTTGTTCAAACAATTCATTGTACACGCAACTAATCATCTCGCTATTCATCCTCTTCGCCATATGTCAACGGAACCAAACCCAACGTGTTCTTTACTTTTCCCTTGCATGGTTTTGCCACGGTCTCGGAATTCGCTTCGGATTGGGGTTCTGATCGGGGTTTTATCTCCTTTTCAGACTCCGTTTTCACCCCCGATATGGGTTTTGATCGGGGTTTTATCTCCTTTTCAGACTCCGTTTTCACCTCTACTTTGGCCTCAGCTTTGAGTTCCATTCCCGCTTTCATTTCATTCTTTGGCTTGGCTTTGCTCTTTGGCTTCGCGATGACTTTGATCATGGGCTCGCTCTCCTTTGTTTCCGTCTTTTTAAACACCTTCAAATCCACTCCGTTCGCGATGACTCGCTTCAGCGTGTGTTCCATCCGCGCGTCTTCTCTCCCAAATATATCGCCCGACCGCGCCTTCACATCCTCCAGCTTCGCCGCCACTTCCGCTTTCGACTTCCGTTGGAACGCAACGCTTCGACTCTTTCGAATGTCGCTTCGACTCGTCGGAAGCAGGCGAATCGACAGCCCGGCGGCGTTCGCGCGCGCTTCTCGACGCTCCTCTGCCTTCCGGATCTCGCGGAGCTTGCTGCGAACACGCTGGTTTAGCGAGTCCTCGTTCGTGTGCAGCTTTTCTTCGAGATCTTTCAATCGATCCAATGTGGGAACAGCTTTCTCGAACTTCATGCTGTCCTCCTCTTTGTTTTCTAGGGAGCGGATCGCATCGGCCCGCATCAGCGCCTGCTCTTTGTCGTCGAACTCGCGCGTTCCGATCTCTTTGACGTCGAATGTCTCCACTTTTCGATGAAGACCGCTTACAAACTCGTAGTCTCGATTCTCTGGGTCCGTCTTGATGATAAATCGCTGTCCGCAGAGATGGCAGTTCATTTGGAACTCGAACACATCGGAAGTGAAATACGTTCCGCATTTCTTCTTCTCCGCGTTGTAACGAACTCCGCGAGCAATATGCTCCCCGCAACCGTCGCACCAAACATTCACGGGCATCTCAAAACGGACAATCACGATTCCCAAGTGGAGTTTTCGCGCCCTATTCCCAAGAGGATGAGACTAAAATTAAGAAAGAGAAGAGAGAGCGTACATGATGAAACTTGTCCTTGTTTCCCTTGGAAGGGCTCCAATTGGGAGGATAGTAGTAGCCATCAGCCTGGACAGCAGCTAACGATGACATTCCAAAAAAAGTTTAAAAACAAACAAAGCACAGTATAAGCCCTGTATACCCCGTCTATTCTTTCTTGGCAGCAGCCTCGGCACGAGCCTGGCGAGCGGCGAAGTTGTTGGGACCCACTCTCTTAGCACCAGGAGCGAGCACAACATTGACGTATCTGCGGTTGTACTGCTCTCGCTTCTGCACATCACCCACATTTCCACCATTCCCTTACCTTGGCACGACCCACATGGGACTTGGCCTTCTCCTGCTTGTCCACCTTGGGAGTCTGGTTCTTCACCTTTCCGGCACGGGTCAGAGAACCGTGCACCTTACCTCCACCAATCAGACGCAGAGTCATAGAGAGGACAGACTCCTCCTGAATGTTGTACTCAGCCAGGGTGTGATCATTCTCCAGTTGCTTTCCAGCAAAGATGAGACGCTGAGCATCCACAGAAACACTCTCCTCAGTTTCAATCATTTCCTTCAGGTCTTCAACAGAGCAAGAAGGCTCCAGAGAGAAAGAAGTTGTTCCTAACCATAATCGCCAAACTGCAGAAAGAGGTACCATTCAAAGTTTCGACGAAAATATGCATTTCCTCCTATATATTAGAGCTCATCCACAACAAATTACGGCTTATACTATTTGTATTGCTTATTATTTCCATTCATCGCCACCTCAAACTATTGGACGCACCAAATAGTGGTGCGTAGCGAATGAAAAGAAGCGATCGAATGGAGGATGATTTGGATGAATCAGTACAAGCTAGAGCACTGGTTAGAGTGATTAGAAATGCGAAAACAATTATGCGAAGAAGCAGCCATAGTCTCTCTCTTTGTCTTCCAATACCACACACGATAAGCACTAATAATCAGTTAGACGTATCGATTCACCTAGTTTCTGAAGCATTAACCGGTTAGTGTAAATCACCAAACTATCTTAGAAAATGCAATCAAAGAGTTTTGGACAATGGTATCAAGACCGAAAGAAAGAACCCGTAGGAGGATTGAGTTTGGTTGAGCGATGACAGACCACACAGTCGATCCGAAATTCGTGGATGAGTTCATTCTTGGGATCCGAGGAAAACGGAGGAGATCTTGAATCGGCGAGTCTTCTCTCGCGCGCAAGAAATGTTGGAACGAAAGTTTCGGAAGTGTTGCTATTCGTGGAGTATAAATGAAATATAGATCAGAGACGATGAAAGAAGTGCTGATGTTGTTTGGTGTGGCTGTTATCTTTTTTGTGATTGCTTATTTTGTGGGCCTGCCGACAGTATGCATAAGATTGAACCTGAATGGTAGCTCCTATTCAGACCTGCAAAGTTCACCATCAGCTTCACGATGGGCAGTATTATGACATTGGGTGCCTTAGCTCGTTTAAAGGGTTTCACTGCGTTTATCAAATCGATCCTGGCACCTAATCGTGTCGTCCAGTCGTCCTTGTACCTTATTTCGTTGCGTAAATTTCACGATTTCGCTTTGACAACATATAGTTTTATCGATTTGCTCAGCAGTGATATGGAAGAGTTATGTGTGGACGGTGGTGTGTTCTATCTTCCAAGTAGAATCGAAATGTAATTGCAACGTAGATGGCGATGTTGGCTCTCTTCGTACTGGAATCGTTCCCTGCAGGTGCTCGCATAACCCAGGGTAAGAGAACTTTTTTTGTTCGACTTGTGACCGTCTAGTGTTTCTGTTTTCCATTCGCAAGCTGCTCTCGCTCGCCTCTAGTTTTTTGTGCCACTGCCTTGTTTGTTCCTCAAACACGCCACGGTTAAAACAAAACTACGAAAAGAACGTTTACGTTTACTTGCCTCCCTTGAGGAAAAGCTTATCGTAGGCGGGATTAATGGCCTCGTTGACGAGCAGGATAATCATCGCATGCGGAGCACAACGGAAGTAGTAAGTGAAGAAACCTCTCCAGAACGCGAACAAGCCCTCGTTCTTCAGCACCTTCACGAAGCAGTCGAGCAGGTTCTTGTAAGGCATCTCGTTGGTCACCGGATCGGGACGCATGTTCATCAGACGGGTCTTCATCAGATCGAACGGCAGGGAAGTGAACGCACAGCAGAAACCAGACACGGCGGAAGCCAGCAGGTTCGTGACCATACCCTCGCCGTTGTGTTTCACGATGAACTGTCTGGACAGATCGTACGAAGCCAACATTCCGAAGTTCATAGCCATGGCACGCATGATCATGGGCAGACTTCCACGCCACAGGGTCATCAGTCCCTCCTCCTTGGTGATACGGTACAGGGCAGTGAAGCAGTTGCTGTAACCACGTCTCTGCTCCACAGGGAGAAGACCATCAGCCTGCATACGCACCATCGAAAGATCGAAGGGGTTACCAATGATACCAGCCAGAGCTCCAGAGGTCAGAGAGGAGGTAGTGGACATCCAGAAAGTGAGAGTGCCATTGTTGCGCTCCTTCAGATAGTTCGAGAAAACACGGTGGAGACCCAGACGAGCCGTTCCGTAAATAGCCTGTCTCATCAGAGAAGCAGACAGACCGGCATAGAGCTTCATCACTCCCTCGTTCTTAATGAGGTTCTTGGCAATGGTGACGGCACCAATGTTCTGAGCCTTACCCACGACCTGAATACGGGTCTTGATCAAATCGATAGGTTGCACCTACAACCTCAATCACTCCCACAACAACATACGCAGAAAGAAGCAAAACAAGCAGAGCATCCTCCGCAAATAAAAGGCTTCGCACCCTTCATTACTCTATATGAGACTAACACTTAACACCACCATAGGAAAGGATTACCAGATGTGTTCTCTTTGCCGGTGGACATATCGAAGAAAAAATATGGAAAATAATGATCATTGCTTGGTGGTGTGGGAGCTTCCTGAATCGCGGTTATTTTTGCTTCAGTCCCCCAATCAATCATTTGCAGGTGTTTCCACCCAAATGGACCGTAGCTCGTGCCAGATTATAGTGGGATTAAAACAAACACGTACTAATCTGACTTTGTCGTTTTTATTGGCTGCCTAAATTGCTGTTTTCGGATCTCGTTTACGTATTGCTTCTCGGAGACGTAGATAACGCCCAGCACGGTCAGTGTCGTTATAACCATAGAACACCACATCACCACCACAAATCCCCGATCACTGTTGTAAGAGTACTCCACGTTCCACTTAAAGTTTACATTGATCATCCCAGGGAGCGGGTCGCCCGTGTGGAAAATGGACTTGTAGTCTAGAAACATTACGCAGCCACCCCATCTACTACATTCTACTTCAACGTCTACCCACACAACGTTTTTGTCTCGAACGAGAATAAGCAAATTCACATTCTCCGCAAACACTCCGCGACCATCATACACCGTGATCCAAGACGTTTGTATGTGCATGTCGGTAAGCTCAAAGCAGCTTGATGTAAGGTCGTGAGATATCAGTACACTTTCAAGGGTTTTAATGTGTTGATCTTCATCTCTGAAAGGGATACTGGAATTACGGAAGTGCTTCGCTTCATAAACAGAGGTAATTGGTTTGCAGGAAACGATATCCACTTGGTTCGTGTCTAGCATTCAGCCAAACGCTCAGACAATACATCTTGGTGAAGAAATTGAAGAGAAACATGCAGATGATCTCCGACAGTGAGATCTTCCGCATTCGACAATACGATTATTATTAGAAGGACAAGCAAAGATAGCATATCGGTCCGACCAATTCGATCGAGAGATCCCAAAACGATATTGTTTAAACAAACAAGGCAATGAACTACAGAGCGACATCGATGGGGCGGCTTCTTGCACAGGTCTATCAAAAACTCATCTACACGCTTCCGAGCTGCTTCCAATACTCTACAACACATCATCATCGGCAAGCTTACGACTCGTCAACGATTCGCTTCGCTTCCGACTGCACACTATCCAGAAATCGTTCTGTCCGCTTCTGACTAAACCGCTGATTGAAGTAGGCGAGCAGATTGACGTTCTTCTGATTGGCAATGGATGTGAGTTGGTCGATCAACTCCATTCCCTTCGCCACGCTTCGCTCCACTTCCTCCTTCGCCACACTCCCTTCTGAATCGAGCACAGAGCTGGAAGGGAGGTAGAACTGGCTTCGCCAGAATTCTTTGGGCAAGCGATTCACGATGAAGTTGTCGACGACGTCTTTAAGCTGCGTTGCCTGGTCTGCGGATTCAGGGGGGAAGGAGAGGGAGAGATCTCCAGAAAGAATGCGAAGAATCACGTCTTCGGACAAGGGTAATGTACATAAAGGAGGCTCGTCACTTGTCGTGGTCGACTTTGTGATTGGCGGAGGGTGGAAGTGAGAGCGGGATTTCTAGGGAGTAAACCCTGAATGTGCAAAACGATATAGGCAGATTCCAAAACAGAAGAGACATCCTTTTCTGTTGGGGCAAAAACGTCACTCTCTCTAGTGGTTGTGATGAAGGAAATAGAATCCTACAATTCTGTCAGTGACAAACGGCCGTCTAGAGAAGAAAGAGACTCTAAAACATCCTGGGCAAATCGGACCCATTTTTTTGTTTGCTGAGAAACATTTCGTTTCGCTCCTCTCCAGATTCTTGACTTTCTCTTGGTCGAACTCGAAAGACCTCGTTCAGTGGGCAGTAAAAGACCTTAGCGTTAGTGCGACCAATAGTAGATTACGAGAATATTGATTTGAAGACGGTTTATAGGGTTCGACTTCTACACACTCAGAAACGCTCACTCATAACGAACCATTGCTAGGAACCTCTAAGGAGAGGGGAAGAATAAGCGAATTTCGCTCATGTTCCTCTTTCTCCGCAGCAGATTGAGATGCATTCATAAAACCGGTGGCAACAACAAACCTAGCGAGACTATAGAAAGGCAGACAATGAAATCCCGGTAGAAGCAACTCTAGGGAAAATGTCAAACCTTTTTTGCCAGTTGGATGAATTCCGAAGTTGAGCAAATTCCTCTGTGTAGCTCCAAAGCGACTCCAGTGGACGGAGTTGCGTTTCAAGAGAGGTTGAAGGAAGAACTCCGCTCATTGATTACTGTATCGTGTAGTACTGCATTGTTAACTGTAGTATGTGAAACTGAATAAGCAAAATGACTCTGATTGGTTCAAATTGTCTTGTGACAAGACGGGAACGAAGTAGTTGCTTGGAGTACACCTGTAACATGTAGATGGAGTGGAATTTGCTGGTTTTACTATAAGCGTGCTCGATACGAGTTTAAAGTCGAATTTGAGGTTTTTATTTGGAATGAATAGCTATGTAGCTGCCTGCAACATACCCGATGAGTCCACCAGAGATAAAGTTACCAGAACTTGATGGAAAGACACCGAAAATGTATCGTGGCGGAAAGATTTGTTGTGATATTCACTTTAATCCACTTTGGGCAAAGCACGCCCCAACCTATGGAATTGCACACGCAATGGCACTTGGTGTAGTGTTAACGATTGTTGATTGAGTGTAGCTTGGTCCCTGGCTTGCCGTTGAAATCCCCCATCTTGTAGAATTTGGAATGCTTTGTTTTGTTTGTCGAACGAATGGTTTATTTCATGTTATTACCTAAGCAATGATATATATATATTTTATTATAAAGGCTCAACCCTCAAATTAAATTACTGTACCTTTCACAACAATCAAAGTCCAAAAGTTGTGACGATTTTGCGATTTTTGGAAAAGGATGTTTCCTCCGCCATCGAAAGGAAGACGGTATCGAGGAAAAGATGTCGAAACTCCATCGAGAACGCCTGGAGTGAATCGAGACTGGGAGGAGCAAGATCGTCGTCACCGGGAAGAACGTCGCAAGGAAAGAAGCGGAATCACGATGAAATCGACCCAGTAAGAGAATAAAATGGTTGTTATTTGAATAGCGACTACTCTCGTCATTCGGACAGTTCAAGACACCATCACCATAGTTCATATCATTCGGATGACTCCAGCTATCACCGGAGTCACGAAAATTCGGAAAGACATCACAAAAGAGATTGGGAAGACGTTTCAAGCCTGGACGGATTGGAAGATGAGTTTGAAGCGGCCACTCCCCTTCAATCTGTTCGTAGGTTTTAGAAATGCGTGCTTATTTAGAAAATACGCCATCTCGTTCTTCGGACACTCCAAATCGCGGAGAGACGTTGGGTCGAGCCACTCCATCTCGCGACATGAGATCTCCGAGCGTATGGTTTGTTACCAGACTTCATCCTAGTTCCATGGCGAGCTCACAGAAGACACTCCACAGCAATACAAGCCGCGCAGTCTCCTCCTCGAGGAAGACAAATTCATGCAGCCCCTTGGCGATAGCGACAGCTCGGAAGACGAGTTCTACGAGAAGGTTTGCTGCTGCTATTTTTTTAATGTGAATCGCAGGACGACGGCCAAGCGGCCGAGGGCGACAACGTGTTTTTGGGAGATCGCGCGCAGTTCGAGTCGAAGGAGCGGCGCTACAAGCGGCAGATGGGTGAGCGGAAAGTGCCTCACATGTCTGCACGGCAGAGCGCGCTGCAAGCGGACCAGGAGAAGTGGGAAAACCTGCAGATCCGATCGAGCGGCGTGCAAAGCCCGCTGCCAGAAATCGTGGAATCGGGAAGGACGTGTCATGTAGGAGGACGAGGAGGACGAGCAGCGCGTCATGCTGATCGTGCTGAACACGCGGCCGCCGTTCCTGTCGGGAACGATCCAGTTCACGCGGCAGAAGGAAATGGTCAGCATCGTGAAGGACCCCACCAACGACTTCGCCAAGCTCGCTCGTCTGGGCAGCGCGACGCTGAAAGCCGTCACGGCGGATGTGGGGCCAGTGGAGCGGAGTGAGGCGTAGAAAGAACGCGAGCGAATTCGAAATAAGGACCGGTTCTGGGATCTGAACTCATCGAAGATGGGCAAGGCGATCGGGCTGCGTCAAGTGAAGGACCGCGCAGCGGCGGGGGATATGCAGACCGATGAGGAGATGAAGTAGGAGGGCGAAGGGAGGCGTGGATGGCGTGTAGAAAGGACAACAGCTATGCACAGAACATGGAGGACAGCGGGCAGGGGAGCAGCGAGTTCTCGCGAACGAAGACGATCCAAGAGCAGCGCGAGTTCCTTCCGATTTTCTCGGTGCGCGAGGAACTGCTCAACGTGATTCGCGAGAACCAAGTGGTCGTGATTGTGGGAGAGACCGGCTCGGGAAAAACGACGCAGCTCACGCAGTATTTGTACGAGGAGGGCTATGCGAACGACGGGCTGATCGGATGCACGCAGCCGCGTCGTGTCGCGGCGTCCAGCGTCGCGAAGCGAGTGGCGAACGAGAAAGGCGGGAAGGTGGGAGACTTGGTGGGCTACGCGATTCGATTCGAAGACTGCACGTCGCCTGCCACGAAAATCAAATACATGACGGATGGTATTCTGCTGCGAGAAAGCATCAGCGATCCCGCCTTGGAGCAGTACTCCGTGATCATCATGGATGAAGCGCACGAGCGATCCTTGAACACCGATGTGCTGTTCGGAATCATGAAGAAGGTCATGCAGCGACGAACCGATTTGAAACTTATCGTCACGTCCGCTACCATGAACTCGGAGCGATTCAGCGACTTCTTCGGCTCCGTTCCCGTGTTTACGATTCCCGGCCGCACGTTCCCCGTCCAGACCTTCTACCAGAAATCGCCGCCGGACGACTATGTGACGGCTGTGGTGAACCAGATCCTCACGATCCATCTGACCTTCGACGAGGGCGATATCTTGGTGTTCATGACCGGCCAGGCCGATATTGATTGTGTCTGCGACGTACCGATTTTGCAGAAGAGCAGTAATGTGTAGTTGGTAAACGAAAAGCTGAGCAAGCTGGAGAAGAAAGCGGACCCTCTGCTCGTGCTTCCCATGTACTCGCTGCAGTCTGCATCCAAGCAGGCCTTGGTGTTCAAAGAAACGCCCAAGGGGTTCCGCAAGTGCGTGGTGTGCACGAACATCGCCGAGACCTCGCTGACCGTCGACGGCATCAAGTACGTCGTGGACTCGGGCTTCTGCAAGCTGAAAGTGTTCAACCCGTCGATCGGAATGGATTCGCTGCAAGTCACCCCCGTTTCCCAGGCCAACGCGGACCAGCGCGCGGGCCGAGCGGGCCGAACGGGTCCCGGCGTGTGCTTCCGAATGTACACCGAGTACATGTACGTGCACGAGACGCTGCGGAACCAGGTGCCCGAGATCCAGCGAACCAATCTGGGGAACGTGGTGCTGCTGCTGAAGAAGCTGGGCGTGGAGAATCTGTATGACTTCGACTTCATGGATCCGCCCCCCGAGGACAACATCACCAACTCCATGTATCAGCTGTGGGTGCTGGGCGCGCTGACCAACACGGGCGGGCTGAGCGAGCTGGGAGACAAGATGGTGAACTACCCGCTGGACCCCTACCTGCAGAAAATGATGGTCATGGCCGAGAAAATGGGGTGCACTGCGGAGATCGTCGTGATCGTCGCCATGCTGTCGGTTCCGAACGTAGCTTTCCACGCACAAACACTAACCGCTAGATCTTCGATCGGCCCACCGAGCACGAGGAAGAAGCCGACAACATCCACGCCAACTTCGCGGTCCCGGAGAGCGACCATCTCACCTACCTCAACGTTTTCTTGCAGTGGAAGCGCGCCAAGTACAGCATGGCTTGGTGCGAGCGCAACTACATCCACGGCAAGTCCATGATGCGCGTGCGCAGCGTGCGCAACCAGCTGCTGGAGCTGATGAAGCAGCAGAAGGTGGAGCACGTGTCCTGCGGCAACAATTGGGACATTGTTCGGAAGTGCATCTGCTCCGCCTATTTCTTCAACGCGGCGAGGATCAAGGGCATCGGATCCTATGTGAACATGCTCACCGGCACGCCTTGCCAGCTCCATCCGTCCAGCGCGCTCTACAGTCTCGGCTACACGCCCGATTACGTCGTGTACCATGAGCTGGTCATGACGACCAAGGAGTATATGCACTGCGTGACGGCCGTGGATGCGGAGTGGCTCGCGGAGCTGGCGCCGATGTTTTTCCAGATCAAGGATAGTCATCTGGCACAACTGAAGTCGAAAAAGCTGGAGAAGCAGCACCGCGAGGAGATGAGGCAGGAAATGGAGGAAGAGGAGCGAAGGAAGAAGGAGATTAAGGAGGAAGTGAGGACCCCCTCGACGGGCAAGCGCATTGCCATCGCGACGCCTGGGAGAACGCTGCAGAGGGGAGGGCAGATCCGGACTCCCCGCCGTATTGGTTTGTAATTGTACTTTGTTTGTTGGGACCCTTTTGCACATATGCCCCCTTGGGCGGAAGATTGACTTATTCCGATGAATTCGGTTGGCCTCTTTTTTTTTCATCTGTGCCTGTCGATCTCTGATGGCTTCACGAAGTGCTTCAGGATGATAAGCAGACTCTTTGAAGATTTTACCGCGATGTGTCTGCAGAAGAGTTTGAAGAACGACGACTCGGTCGAGGTGCTAGACTATCAAAAGATTCGATCACGAAGAATCTTTGTTTCTGAAAATATGTAACATGTGTCGAACGTGTTTGCTCCACAAACAATCCCACTTTCGGACGATCTTTCCTCTCCAGTGGCTCTTTTTATTGAACAGTTTTGTGTGCGCTTCGCAATATCCGCAGATTAAGTCGGGTTGGTCTGGAGTGGTCGAAACTCGGTATTCTAGCAGCATCTACACATCACTTTACGCACGCTCAGTCACGTTATGCTCTACGCCGCAACTAACGTGAAAGGTGGTTTCACACTTATTGCTACTGCACCTCATGCAGCAGCCATCGGTCGACTTGCAATAGGAGCACTCCTTGTGCCATCGCTCTATCGGAATTCTGTAATAGTCGATAAAATCGCGCCCATCCGCATCATGAAAGAACACTTCGGGGATCCAGAGGGCGCAGTTGATATGGGCCCACTGGAAATCGGTAGTTCGCTTCATGGCACCGCCCTTCTTTCCACACAAAATACAAGTCTATCAATCGAGTGAAAGGGAAAAGCATACAGCATCCTTTGCACCCGCTTTGCATTTCTCACAGTACCAATCTCCCTCCGGAATATGATTAACTGCAAATGAAGGCAGAATGAAAAGAGTTACTCAGAGGATTTCCATAGCAGGACGTGTGCACTCCAATATCGCAACCGTCACAAAAAACGATAGGATCCTAGAATGAAGCCCTTCCGCAAAACGGCTACGCCTTCAATCCACTCTCCGTCATTGCAGACAGCACAGCAGGCTAGTTCTTCCATAGGAAGTTGTTCTAGGAACGTGAAGCAATAATCGATATCTCTACCACTCTCCTGCATTCTATAGAGTTCTGTGTATCAAAATCAGGGAAATGGGATGACAAAAATGGGATGTAAAAAATATGTGTGAAAATAATTTTTTAAAAATAGTCAGCTCGCCATAGTGTATATTTGCATAAAAGTTAGTAATTGCGGGGTATGAATAAAGAAAATTAGTTATGATAATAGGGCCCAAATTGACCGTATTTTGTCTAATGTTAAATCTATGGAGGAGACCAAAAGTAATCCCATCGATGGACTCAGCGTGAAGCACTGATCATTTTTACGTTATGTCAAAAAATGACTATAAACCCATTTTCTTACACACATTAATAATCGTGCAATCTTCAAAATAAGATTAATCTAGTGATTGTTTGTTTATTCTCTTCAGGGCAGTATTGTCTTTTCTGATCTGTTTTATAACATACGTTTGCCATGGATGAAGAAAGAAAACAACTAGAAGGAGAAGACAGCTCACTGACGTAGGTTCTCTGTGTGAGATGGTATTTGTAGTGAAGCAGATTTGAATGCAGAGATTAGAAAATTAGAACAAGAGATTGAGAAAGTAGTACTACCTGGAGAGTTTGAGCGATAGCTGCGTATAGACTATGCAATCTCCCTTGTTCAGCATAAATATATGATCGACACAAGAGACTATTTCATGGAGGTTGTTGACTCGATGTTTTCTCAAGAAGAATCGGATACCGATGAATATGAAGTAACAGAGAGCGATAGTGAAGAAATAATTGATTCCCAAAAGTCAGACAGCGATTTCGAAATGCTGGACGAGAAGGACAGTTCAGGGTCGGAGGCCAAGGAGGAAGTGTACCACCGACCCACTACCCGAAGCTCGTCTCAAAACTTTGTACAGGAATCTGTCGACAGTACTGAGGGCATTCGAACCCGCTCCAAAACGAAAAAGCAAGAAGGAAACAACGCAAACCCCGCGTCGCGGTCCAAAACCAAGCAGGAAGATTTCGACGCCCTTCTCCTCTACTCCCTCAAAGTATTTTTTCTCCTTTTCTCCTACCTCAACCGCAGAACTCCGCCAAGCTCCAGCCCGCCAAGCCCCCCACAGCCCCGCCTCCCCTCCAGCCCGCCCCCAAGAAGTCGCCCCCCTCCAGCCCGCGTCCCTTCCCGGAAATTCCCAGCGCGGAGCCCTTGCTGGCCAACTGTCCGTCCTCGGGCGACCCTCCCAAGCCGCTCTCCGACGCGCCTCCCAAGTCCGCGTCCTCGCGTCCGCTCCCCAACATGGCCTACCTCATTCCTCCGCTCTCTCTCGCGCCCTCCGACCTCCCCTTCCTCCCTCGCCCGGATTCTGCCGCGCCCAAGCTCCCCATCGCGCGCGCGCCGCCCAAGCCCGCCGCCTCGCCCGCCGCCGCGCCCAAGCTCCCGCCCAAGCCGCTGCCGGCCGCGCCGCCGGCGAAGAAAGTGCGCGTCCCCGCGATGTACCCCGCGTCGAAGCCCGCGAAACCCGCGGTGAAGGCGTCTGCGAAGAGCGGCCCGGCCCCGCGGGGCGTGGTGCAGAACGTGGTGTACAACCCGTCGCTGCTCCCGCCGCTGGCGCAGCAGCCGCTGCTGCCGAACACGCTGCTGGGCGCGGGGGAGTCGCTGGTGTATCCGCTGAAGCCGCAGAGCGCGAAGCGGCCCTTCGCCGGCGTGAGCGAGGCCTCCGTGTGCCCCAGCTACGTGCCCATCCAGCCGGGGTTCGAGTACGCGTCGCCCGTGCAGCTGGCGCGCGGCGGACCGGCCTTGCCCTCCTTGGTGGGCTCCGCCTACGGCGTGCCGCCGCCGCTGTTCCCGGGCCGGCAAGTCTCGCTGGTGCCCGGGTATTTCTCGCAGCCGGTGAACGGGAAGGCCGTGGAGTTCCCCGCGGCGCTGTACCAGACTCCCGCGGGGTTCGTGGGCCCCGTGGTGGCGCTGCAGAACGACGGGAAGCTGGCGGTGCAGGGCGCGCCGACGAAGGTCGCCAAGGCGGGCGTGGTCCCGCAGAACATGCAAGCCGCCGCCGCAGCAGCAGCAACGACGACCACCGCGGCGGCGGCCGCTGCTGCGACGCAGAACGGAGCGATGGGCGCCGTGGGCGCCATGGGGACTGTAGGAGCCATGGGAGCGATGGGAACCGTCGGAACCGTCGGAACCGTCGGAACTGTGGGGTCGATGGGTGCAATGGGAACCATGGGGACCATGGGGACCATGGGGACCATCGGAACGATCGGAACGATGGGGACCATAGGGTCGATGGGGTCCGTGGGAACTGTGGGAACCGTGGGGTCCGTGGGAACTGTGGGAACACAGGTGCCGACTCACGGAAATCGGCCGATCTTCATCCCGACGATCTCTGCAGACGAGGAAGGGAAGATTCTGCCCACCAATTAACGATGGACAGAAGGATGGAGGAGTGGAACGTGGAGTGCTTGCTGAGCGATCGATTGCGTTGCTCGCGTTGAATGTAATAATGCTAGCTTGTCGCTTGTTTGTGCCAAAAAGGCGAACTCGGACTAGAATCCCATCACAATCACTTCCCTCAACGATCCGCAAGCCTTTACCTCACTCCCATTCATTCATTCATTCATTCATTCACTCATTCACTCATTCCATTCATTCATTCATTCATTCATTCATTCACTCATTCCATTCATTCATTCATTCATTCATTCATTCATTCATTCATTCATTCACTCACTCATTCCATTCATTCACTCTCCCTCTCTCTTTCTCTCTCTCGTTTCCAACAAACACTCCAAAAACCGTTACAGACGAACCTCCATCGCAATGCCGACTTTGTGGTTTCCCTTGACCATATCATGGAAGTCCGTAGATCCCGTCGCGGAGACGGCCACGTTCTTGGCCAGCTGCGTCTTGTAGAACACCGCCAGTCTTCCCTCCGCATCCACCTTCGTGCGGAACTCGCTCGTCGCCGAGGGCTGGATCCACACTCCGAACGCCAGCTGCGGCTTCATCACGTCGAGCGGCAGCTTGCAGGTGGCTCCCAGCTTCACGTTCTTGCGGCACTTCGTGTACAGCGCCATGTTCACACCACTGAAGTTGCTGTACGACGCCACCGACAGCACCACCTTGCGGCACATGCAGGCAGCCGCCAGATCTATATTGTTCTCTCCCTCCTTGGTGCGAGTCAGCTTCGCTCCAGCCATCATGCTGCTTCGCTGGACATTACACGGAATGATAAATATGTACCGCGAACACGCCGCTCGTCGACATCTTCTTCGCAAGAAGATCGTAGTTGAAGTCCATCGCGAAGCTGTTCGACAGGTACTTCATGCCGCAAGTCATCTTCTTCAATGCGTAGGTGCTGGCGTCCGCCTGCGTTCTAAACTTCACGAAACCGGCACGAAACTACCGGAGCATCAAGGTCGTGCCCTTAACCAGGTTGGGCATGTCCACATCACAAACAGCATTTCCATCGTTCTCCAAAGACATCTTCTTTATATTCAGGTACTTGTGGGGCTTGAAATCGACCGAGATCTTGCCAGTCAGGGCAGAGGTCAGGTTCTTTCCCTCAAGAGACATATTCTACATATCGTAATATGCACAAAATGACTGACGCATCCGCAGCGAGAATACTTCAAGGTAGCCTTCTGGTCAAAGCAGTAACCATCCTTCAACACATCTACGCATTGGCGAAGAACCATTTGCCCTACCGAACGCGTCCTTGTTGATATCGTCGAATAAAACGGAGGTGAACATTGAATAACCACTACGATTCTCTTTTAAATGTATGGGTATTATGTGTAGGAATTAATTGGTACGTTATTCTATATATGGTACCCTATTTGGATTTGAACAGATACATCCTATCTTACTCAGCGTAGTGTGCGGAGACCCCAGCACTTTGACAATAACCTGATTGGCAGCGGTTCCCATTTGAAAACCCTATCTCTTCACCAACCCAAAATTTATGCTGCACATAACAGTAATCAGCGGATCCAAGCAAAAGTCGCTCCCCATTAAACAAATATCGTTCGCTTTGACCCTCGAGGAGAATACCGCGGTTCTTGATTAGATTCAATAAACCACTAAAAATCAAAGAGAATGAGCGTATGGGTGTATTGGATTGGGTTACGTGTAGGAGAACGATACATCTAAGGCATATCCGTTGGCTCCTAGCGAGTTGACTACTTCTATTCTTGATTTAGTCCAGCAGGCTTCGAACTATCGTCAGCTGAAGAAGGGAGCCAACGAGGGTAAATTGATTGGTGATTCATGTGACTGCTAGCGACCAAGACTTTAAATCGTGGAAAGTCGTCCTTCATTGTGATGGCTGCGGACGCTCAGCCTCTGGAGATCATTCTTCACATTCCTCTGCTTTGCGAGGACAAGAATGTTCCTTATGTGTTTGTCCCGTCGAAGATTGCTCTGGGCCGCGCCTGTGGAGTCACCCGTCCCGTGGTTGCCTGCTCCATTATTTCCGACGAGAACTCTCAGTTGAAGGATGCGATCAACCATATGAAGATCGAGATCGAGAAGCTGTTAATCTAATCATCTGTTTAGAGAGCGGTTTTCTGAAACAAACAAACCATATTGAGAACTCCCCTTAACTTATTCCTTGATGGTCTTCCAATCCATGACCATTTCGGTATCCATAGCAGACACAACAGTCACCAGAACGGTCTCAGTACCCTTATCCAGAGCCTCCTGGATTCCAGCCTTCATGGCCTCATCGGTAACCTTGCAATCGACCTTCTCCTCGCAAGCATCGTTCATCAGAGTCAAGAAACCCTCAGCGTCCATATCAGTGACCTGCCATTCCTCTCTCTTGATGACAGGGGCCTCCACAGAGTGAGAGGTGGGGCAAATAGTTTCGTACTTTCTGCCAGTGAAAATATCAATACCCACAATGGTGGCCTTAGCATGTCCATGCTTTCCAGTCTTAGAGGTAGAAACCTCAGCGACCTTGCAGGGCTTTCCGCTAATGACAATGAAATCACCCTTGCGGATCTTTCCGGCCTTAAGAGCCTCAGTATTGGAAGCTCCAGCATCAACGTCAGAGAATTCCTCAATATCACTCATTGTACTACTCAATTAAAAGCAACTCATATCCCTACCCAGCAGATTACTTTTAAAAATTTATGTGGGTATGGTCTAGTCTCTAAATAACTCAACCCTATTGTGAGCAATTCCGTACGGTGAGCATTTCAAACTATTATGAATAATCACTATACAAACAATACAATATTAATCCGCTTTTTAGATAAATGTAAATACATCAAGATGTGCTCGAAATATGATTTCCTTGCGCTTTCCCAGCACCCATCGACTCCTCGCCCATTTTTCGCTTTGAACTAGTTTGGGAACGGCATATTTTTCTCTGTGCACTGCTTCGAAATTGAGTTAGCGAAATAACGCTCATTCCACGAAATGGCAGTTTTACAGGGGAGTTTCACTCACATTATTCAATTCATTTTTGCTACATGAACAAGTTTATTATCGCATTCGCGCTTGTATTACTCACTGTCCAGTGTGCAGTGTCCGATTTGAAGACAGAGGAAGAAGCTCTGTCATACTTGGCAAATGTGGAGCAGGAGAAAGAGAAGTTCGATCCCACGCTAATTGGGAAGGTACAATGCAGATTGGAAAGGTAAAGAGTAGTGCATTGAGTTATCTTGGTGGAAAGCGGGAGAAAAGACGATCTTACTTGCGTTCCAGTATGGATTTGATATCTCGTCTGACTTTTCTGCTGCAGTATCCAAGCAACGGTACTCCTGTGAAAAGCTTTTGATAACGCGTAGAACTAACATCCAGAAATTGCAGAATATCATCAACAAGAACAAGGAGGACTACAATATCATCTCGCCTTCCTTCCAGTGGGCTCAGGGTCAGAGTGATGTACTTTTCATGGAGTGGTTGAGACGTCTAGTTGAAGATGAACATCAAGCTGACTCACAAGTGGGATAGTCCAGCTACCCTGGGTTGTACCGTGGAGTCTGTGAAGTTTGAGCCTAGCAATGTGTACTTTGAGGCCAAGTGGTATAATCGATTGTGAGAATGTCATTTCTAAGCCCTTCTACGAAAAAGAAGTACGTACTGAACCTGAAACTGATGAAGCAAATCAATCCCGATGTACTTTCTTTTTCTCTCTCTCTCTTATTCCACTAGTACTGCTCTTGGAATGAAGCTGCGGTTGGCCGAATCGTTCTGAGCATGAAGAAAGCAGCCGCTGGAATGTGGGACAACATCATCGTGGTAAGGATCGAAGCGAGTGTGGAACGTAGAAACACCCGCGAATGCCTCGCAATATCCATACGTGGTGGAGCATGAAGGACCAGCTGGAGAAGGAGGATCGCGAGAAGGAGCTGGCGGAGGAGCGGAAGATGGATGAGCAGCGAATGGCTGCGGAGAAGATTTATTGGGAGGAGAAGAGAAAGGAACGAGAAGAGAAGGAAAAGGCCGCCGCTGGTGCTGCCGCTACTGCCGCTACTGATGCTGGTGCTAATGCTGCTGCCGCCGCTGCTGATTGGATTACTACAGAGAAGGAGAAGGGAATGGAGACAGAAGCGGTGAAAGAGACGAGGGGAGAATGAACAAAACGAGGTTGAATTGTAAAACTATTGATTTGTTTGTGATATCAAAAGATAGCAGGGCTGGATAGGGAAGAATCTGTTTGGCATAATAATGAATAGATATGAAGAAATGGGGAATCATGGAAGACCTCAAAATGGTTTACAGTTGTTCATCGATTTCATTGTTATCATACAATGAGGCAAAAGGAATGTGAAGTCTCATTTTTTTTCAATTTTGGTTTCAATACTTGGGTGTGAATACACAGATGAGTGATAATTATGACTGGGAAGAATGGAATGAGTCGGCAACGACTTTTCGTCAGCATGTGTTAGCTGGGTGTGTAGCCGGAGTTTCTGAACATATTGTTTTCTTCCCCATAGATACAGTTAGAGTATGTGCGATACCCACTTTCGATCATGTCGTAGACCAATCTACAAGCAGTGAGTAATCCTAGTATGACAGATGTTCATAAATTTGGGAATTATCATTCGCATGTTTTTAAAAGAGTAACTTTAATGGTCTGCTTTTATTTTCCAGCATCATTACATCCAACTCCAAAAATTCCGTGTGGTAAAGCACTCTATCCGGAGTGAGGGGCTCCGAGTGCTATGGAGAGGGATGTCGATGACCATTACGGCTTGCATTCCTGCTCACGCACTCTATTTCTCAATTTATGAATATACAAAGCGAAAGCTTGGCGGAAATGACAACAAACATATCCTTTTCGCTTCTTTCTCAAACAGTTTTTCCTTTACTTCACTGCATGCCAACGCCTCTGCAATCGGTGGAGCTCTTGCTTCTGTGGCCCACGACGCAGTGATGACTCCCTTGGACGTGGTCAAACAGCGCATGCAGCTGGGTCTTTACTCCAGTCCCATGACAGCTCTGCGCTCGATCATCCGCTACGAGGGCTTCCGGGCGCTGTACTCCTCCTATTTCACCACGATTTTAATGAACGTTCCGAACGCGGCGGTGCTGGTGGTGACGAACGACTGGATGAAGAGCATTTTGAACCCCTCCGGCAAGCAGGTAAGCGTTCCGCGCTCTCTCAAACGCAGAACTTCAGTGCCTTTTTGGTAAGCGGGCTTGTGGCTGGCTCGCTGTCAGGCTTCGTAACTTGTCCTTTAGATGTGATTAAAACGCGAATTCAGACGCAGACGACGGGAGCGGATGGCGTTCTCCGGCGATACACCGGGTTTTGGCAGACGTTGAAGCTGCTGGTGAAGGAGGAGGGCGTTCGATCGTTATTTATGGGCGTATCGACGCGAATTATGCAGCAGGCGCCCGCGGCCGCGCTGAGTTGGACCGTGTATGAGACGGTCAAGCGATTGCTCGTGTAGAGTGTTTGTTCGAATAAGGTGGATCAAAGCATGAGACAAACGGTGAGAGGATTGTGAAATACACACAGGACGAAACAGAAGGTGAAACAAAAAGGTGAAGCAATCAACACACGCAAAGAAAAACACTACGAATACCACAAGGTTCCCACACAAATCTATCAAAAGACCAGTCGACCCATTTATAAACAAACAGAGAACAAAAGGCAAAACATATGGCGAAACAAAATCGCTATAAGCAAGGGATGATGATGAGCAGATTAATCCCGATAAACCAGCACCAAAACTTGGAGACCTTCTTACGCGTTTCTACACGTCAGCCCTCCTCTTCAGCGCTACGCAGTGCTTTCATAAGCTCGTAGTCCGTGCGGTCTTCCTCCTTCGGAACCATTCCTTGCCGCGTGATGTGTTGTTTGCACACCGGACAGGAGCTTGTGACGTCCAAAAACCAGGGATCCAAACACGCTTTGTGGAACAAATGGCCGCAAGGGAGGCGCTTGACGCGGTCCTTCACTTGGAACTCGCAGAGACAAATGGAGCAAGTGGAATTGCACTCGATGACCTTCTCGAGATCCAGAACGCCGTTCTCTTTCTGATGAAACCCGATGATGTGACACATATCTCTCCGGATCGATGATCCTCTACTGCTCAATCAGCACACCGAAACGCACTTGCGAGAGATGGTCATCGTTTTGATGCTGTTGTAGAGAGTTCGACGCCTGCTGATGACTCGCTTGACAATGTTGCTGTCGGAAAAATAACACTTGGAACAGATATACAAGATAATGATCAGAGCTATGTAAATGGCTAAAACCACACGGCCACCATCTGCTGTGATTATATTATCTAAGCATCAACGAAAAATCAGAGAAATCACATTCACCAATTTCACTAATAGACACAATTGTTACATTCGATTGAACGAGGCTCATAAGGGTCTCCCCGTCTTTCATGGATATATACACTGAAGAAATATTGATCTAGACAGTTAGGAAAGCATATCCATTCGCTACAAGAGAGGCAATGGTATCGTTTGTTGGTAAGGTGTCCAGATAATAATCTCGAGCGATATTATCCATAATGACAACTGCTTTGGCACCCGCGTTCTCCAACTAAAATTGACAGAAACACATTCCCGTACAAGCCACACTTGATACTCAAAAGGACAGCCAATATCGTCATCACTTTTCATTGTCAAAACGATCTGCTCAGAATAGTTCTTCTTAACATCCTCACAAACGACTTGTGGATCCGATACAACTAAAGGTCCTACAATAGCTAGTATTAAAAAAATCAACGATCAATTACAGCTATTACCGTAGTACGGACCGAATTCCATATTTCTGTGAATTAGTGTCTCATTTACAGGGAAAATGACTTCTAAAGCGTATACATCCATGAAAAACAGAAAGAATAAAACATTTGTTATGAGCATACACTTTTTTTGAAACATCTTACAACTAGGGTGCACTTCGATTGCACTGATTTCAACGTTGCTGCTATCATAATCGACTTCATATTGATCATACCAACCTCATTGGAAGACAATCGGAAATAGTAATGTCCCTCAATTTATTTTCCTATGCTGATGACATGAGTGAGGAAGAAAGTCAATCCATAAGTTCGGAAGAGAAGTATGTTCCATTCGTGCATATTTGATTCTATTAGCAATCAGGAGGAGAGAGGAGGTGAGATGAAGGATTCAGCTGTTTGTACAGATTCCAAATCTACTGAAAAGAGTATGGAGTTATGGTAACGGAAATACAATCTAGAGAAAATCATTTTACCATCGTTTAATTTGTCAGAATCAGACACAGTCCAAAGTTCGGGTTCGTCAATGTTTGGTGCGAGCTCGTCACCCTTTCCTCTCCCTCTGAACGCTTCCAGTCGAAAGAGAGAAGCAATTCCCCAAGAACAACCCAAGAGACAAGAAATGAAGAGGTGGAGTATGAAACCTTGTCAACTAACACGAAATATCCATTCCACTGAAGACTTAGGAAGAGATTAGATGTTCCTGTTTGTTTGCAATTCTGCTTGATCTGAAAATAGAATGCATCAGTGTACTCAAAGGTCATACTGGCATGCTCAAAATCACTGACTTCGATCTCATTCACTTTTTGATGGAATTGAAATGTCTGTTTTCCAGATTAGAATTTTATGTGACGGACGAGGCTAGCAAATTGACGAGCGAGGAGAATGGAAAGACTCTGTGTTCACTAATTCGTCAGGAAGAGGGAATTATCCATTCGTTCCTAAATAATTTTGTTACTCTTATTATTGCAACGAGAGAGGAATATTCAAAAGTCGTGGAAAGTCCGCGTTACCGTTCGGACATACCTGTTGTGTCTCCGAATTGGGTATTTGAATGTATATCCCGTCGTTGTCTTTTCCCATATGTAAGTTCGCTTCCCTCCCTTTTCGATGTAGGATTGCTTCAGTGCTGATCCCTTTTTCATATTTTCAGAGTGTTATTTTTATATCCTAGCCTCCGATGAAAGCAACTTTTCAGACCTATCCTCTACCGTGCAACATTACGGAGGGACTGTTTATTTTACGTTCAATGACTGCATAACACATATAATCCTGTCCACGAAGGAACAAGAGCTGCCGTTCCCAACACTTTCTCAGACATCTTCCCACGTTCAAGTTCTCTCTGAAAACGAGATATGGCGCTGTATTTCCAACCTCACTCCCCTTCCTTCCTCCAAACCACACCGAAGCCATCCTCTTCATATTCCCTCCGTTCTCTATCGCCCTGTTGCTCCCTCTCCGCTTTTCGCCGGCTTTCTTTTTCTCCTTTATCTCCCCCATCCGTAGCAGCGCTTCGCCCTCCCTTCCTCACTCCTAGCTACGAGCAACGTCTGCTTTCCTCTGTCCTCTCCACGCACGGCGGCGAAGTCCACACAATCGTTCTTTCTCTCGCCACATCTGCTCTCCACCTCCTCCAGCACACATCCAAACGCTCCGTCCTCATCACAGCCGAGCGATCTGCCTTCGTCTCGCAGCTCCACGCGCTGGCGCCTCGCTTGGAGCTCCGTTCTCCCGACTGGGTTTTCGATTCTGTGGACGGATCGCTGCGCGATTCGCTCGAAATTATTTACGAGCCGCTTCCTCTGTGCGGGCTGCGCGAGCTGCGGGGCGTGCGAGCGACGATCGAATCGGATCGGAAGGAGGAATGCGAGCGAATCGCGCGGTGTGTGGGGATTTTGGTGGTGGGAGAAGGGTTCGAGGTCGTGCTGACGGAGAAAGAATGGGAGGAAGGGAGGAAGGAGAAGGGCGTGCGGTTTGCGTGGGTGCTGGATTGCATTCGGGAGGGCCGAGTGCTCCCGATCCAGCGCTATTTGTGTGGATAGCGAGTTTGTTTGTTGAACAAAAACGAGAAAAAGGTCAAAACATGTATTTAGCTGGAGGTAAGCAAGACAACAAAGAATCTACAAAAGGAGTAATCTGCGTAGACCAGCGACGCGCCGATCTCGTTCACCACCGGAATGTATTTGAGGTTCCAATTGAAATCGTCTGCCGAGATGTGGAAGTTGCGAGCGGTCTGCTTGTATCCGGAAGCGCCCAGATGGATTCCATGCACTATTTCTCACACGCCCACAACGACCAAACAAGCAAACGTTGCATCCAGCAACCCGCCTCGCAGCTGCTTGGGGTATTGTTTTATGTAGTCCGGATGCAAATGCGGGAGAGACATAAGATAGTTGTCGATTTTGTAGCGACCGATCACCGCATCCGCCATCTTCTCAAACGGGAAATCGTGCGGGAAGATGAAGTAGTCCTATGCCTCACGAGAGAGCCAGACGCGCACGGCTGAGTTGTAGTTCCGCAGACCTCCGCGGCTTGTGTACTTCCGATAGACCTGCATGTATCCATCGATCGAAGTCGTGTTCAGATTGAACTGCTTACTCACCTGCGAAACGCGACCCGCAATTTCGAACTACGTCGAACCAGATCGAAACCTGTACGTTGGAAGAGAGAGTGCCGATCATGCGGTTGTAATTGAGGATCGATAGGATATTGAACACGGTAACAGGAAGCAGGATGTCGCTGTTGATGTATCCGTAATACGCACTGTCAAACTGTTGTTTTGCCTGCACAAACATGCTCCGAATCAGCGGAAGGCCATATCGGTTCTTCCTACCAATCAAGAACGATTGAACGAGCTACTTGATTCCACGAGCCGAAAACACGTTTTTGGACTGAGCCAAACTGATTAGCGACGGGGAGGAAGTGAAAATAATACCCTTGAATCGAAAGTTGCGTTGGAAGAAACTGAGCATTTCCAAATGTTGGGTAATGGCATACGTTTTTCTCAGTTTCTATCGGTTAGTTTATCGCTGAATGATGTTCTACCTGCGAGTCCGCAGTGGTGAACAAAACAAGGTCGTAAGTATGATTGGATGAGACGTATTCGTTTGGCTCTAACAGATGCAGATACCGCGAGAGTTTCCTCAATCCCATGTTTTTCTTTGGGATTTTGAAGAAGGAGTTTGCAGAAGACGTGGAGTTGTCATTTTCAATTTCGTTAGAGTCAGCAGAGTCGGCAGATGATTCAGAAGTGGATTTCGACTCATTGCTCGACCCGGATCTCCTACGTCTTCTCCGATGATTGTTTATGACACTAGCAAAATACACATTCTTTCTCTTCTTCTTCACAGAGACGCCACCTGTTTGGACATTTTCGCTCGTTTCTATTTCGGTCTCAGGCTTCTTTTCTTCTTCTTCTTCTTGTTGTTCTTGTTGTTCTTGTTGTTCCTCTTTTCCTGCATTCTTTGTTTCTTTATCTTCATTGTTCTCAGCATCTTCCTTATTCTCATTGCTTTCCACACCCTCTTTATTCTCCGCACCGTCCCTATTTTCATCACTCTCTCCACTCTCACTATTTTCCCTTTCTACCCTCTCTTCACTGGTTTCTACCACTCCTTCTGCCTGATTACTTATCGCAGAATCATCTTCTTCGTTCTTTTCATCATTGTCTTCAATACTTCTTTCAATAGTCAGCTTATTGCTTGGTGATTGCGTAGGTCTCAAACTAACAACACCAGGACCATTAACGATCGCTGGTATATCGCCTACCATGCCAAAAGAATAACAAAAATACCTTTCTTATTAACAATCTGTTCTTCTGGTAATTCAACTTCCATTTCGCCTTTTCTCTCCACACCAAGCAACTTTACATTTCCAATTTCAGTTTTGGAGATAATATCGACTTCATCCCTCTCTCTGGGAAAAATCTCGAATAAATTATCTTTAAAATGCGATTTCATCAAAAAATAATTCACAGACTAACATTCAGTTTCAGTAAACGATCGTACCACACAAACTGCGCATATCAATAACACACTAATGAATTTTAGCACCATCGCATTACCTCCCAAGAAAAATAAATCAGGCGAGGTAAGAGACAAAACAATTTGGAAAAGAGAAGCAAGCGAGAATAATGCGGTCAATTATACCAAAGAGTGTAGTGTTTGTGCTTTATGTCCCTTGTACCTTTTAGAGCTTCGGCTGAATGCATGCACTCGGGAAGTCTCAGAAAAGCGTCGAACGTGTTAAATGACGATGAATTAGCGTATTGGTACAGTGATAAAGTGTTTCCAATCCTGCCTTTCTATTTTAGGTGCTTCCTCAGACATTGACATTTACATTTGATAATGCCGAATCATTTAACCAAATTGGAATTACGTTTCAAGGGGGATTTGCTGGAGATGTAACTATGCGTACTGGAGCTAAATTATAGGAAGTGCAAGTCTATTTAGGTTCCGACGATGGCAAACTTGTGCCGTTGGGTGATGTGTATTATCTAGATGATGTCAACAGTGAGCAGGTGGAATGTGCTAGCAGTCTAGTTATCAATAGATACTGGATATAGGCCAGGTAACTACCAAGTCAATAATGCTTCAGTTCAACTGTGCATATGACATGTACAGTCGCATTATAGTATATTCTGTTCGTTTTAGAGAGATTTTGTCTGTTTGTGCGATCAATTCGTAATATTAATAATTGTACCTATAACAGTATTAACTCCATATTGAATAAGGGTGCTTCGTTCGGTAATTGACCCGATTAAGTCATTGGTATAATGGAGTTTATTATTGTTGTGTAACAAGATGGCTATTGGTATGTATTTGTGCTGTTGGACCATATACTTTCGTGAATAACCTGTTTTCTGTGATGAGCAACGTTCTTACCGATTTCTAGGCAAATCTCAGAAGAAAGTCAGTAAGAAAGGAAAGGGAAAGAAGGTGATTGATACCATGGCTAAGAAGGAGTGGTACGATGTGCGTGCCCCGAACCAGTTCCTGGTGCGTGATGTGTGCAAGACGCTGGTGTCTCGTACTTCGGGATTGAAGATTGCTTCGGAGGGTCTGAAGGGACGTATTTTCGAGGCCAATCTGGGTGATCTGAGCAAGAACGAGGAGCAGGGTTACCGCAAGATCAAGCTGCGAGTGGAGGACGTGCAGGGAGATAAGTGCATCACCCTCTTCTACGGAATGGACATCACCCGCGACAAGCTGGGTTCTCTGATCAAGAAGTGGAAGACTCTGATCGAGTGCAACGTGGAGGTGTCTACCACCGACGGTTACAAGCTGCGTCTGTTCTGCATCGCGTTCACCCGCAAGCAGGACAACCAGAACAAGAAGACTTGCTACGCGCAGGCCTCTCAGATCCACCGCATTCGTGCGAAGATGGTGGAGATCATCACGGACGAGGTGTCGAAGTGCGATCTTGCGACGCTGGTTCCGAAGCTGTGCATGGAGTCGATCGGTGCTCGCATTCAGAAGGAGTGCAACAAGATCTATCCTCTGGAGAACACGCTGATCCGCAAGGTGAAGATGATCAAGTCGCCCAAGATCGATACGGTGAAGCTGATGGAGCAGCACGCCGATGTCGTGAAGAAGGAGGAAGAGGGCGTGAAGGTGGAGGAGACTGTTGCTCCCATGGCTGGATCGGGAGGTCGTCTGTAAGCGTTCGTTCGTTTCCTTTGTTGCACAACGATGATGATTGGGGTATGTTTGTTTTAAACAATACATAAGACTATACAACAGTTACAAGGTTTGGATCGGTTCTTGCGCAACGGCTTATAACGGGTCAATGCAAGCAACTGCTTCTGATTGAAGGCCTCATTACGATAGTTCTTTACAGTTTGGATAGCCTCCAGATTCTTCATTCCACTCTCGATTAACGCAATGGTCACGAGGGTAGGAGCCCGCCCAAGACCAGCCTTGCAATGAATCTACCCATGAGACACCAGAACGACTCACACGGATATCGTGGCTTTCGGGTTCTTTGATTCCGGCCCAAATCGCGACTCGCACAGTCCAATAAATCGTGTCACCACATCTTCAGGTGGAATGGAACCATCTGCAAACACAAATTGCTGAGAATGTTAGGAAATTTGAAGAGAGTACATGACTCTGAATTCCTTGACTCTTTAACCAGTCATCGGAGTAATGACATTCTTCACAAGTTCGAACGACGTCTGTGACGTTATAGCTCTTGTACAGCTTCTCAAACTCAGTCAACTCAAAGTCACGGGGCATCTACTTAACATCTCAGCAGGTAGATCATACTCCGGTGATAAGGAACCGCATCCCTTCGATTTCAAGGAAGGTTGGGGGAATCAGCATGGTCTAGACTTCGTTAGAGATCTACTCTTCAACACAAACATTAATTTCTCATAGGAGGCATCACAGCATCTCACTGACTACCTACTGTTAATAAAGTTACAGTTTGACGAACTCTTTTTTGATTTTGTATGGTTTGATAAATCCCGCGGTTATTTTTAAGATGCTTCTCCAACAAACATTTCACTGTCGTCTTCGTTCCGCTTTTCCAACAAACATTTCACTTTCGTCTTCGTTCCCGCAGCTTTCGACGCATATCATTCCGAGCATCCAGAGGATTCCTGAACTGCAATTCTTTGGGCGTCACTCTACAATGAACCATTTCTCCCTCTCAAACCTCTTCCTTCGCATTTCTCTCTCGATTTCTTGCGGAGTGGTCTTTGTCGTAACTCGATCCACTGTTCCGATCAGTCGATAGCCCTCTTCCTCCGCAAGCATTTGCATCCTCATATTGATAAAATCGCGGTGCTCCTGGATTGTCGTGCGCTTTGTCAGATGGGTCATCTTCGCTCGATAACTCTGCCGACGACGTTTATAATCGCCTTCAGGCAGCGCAGCGGGCTTGTTCGACGCTTCTAGACAAAAAAGCAGAGGAATCAGTCCATACCCTTTGATGTTGTGGCTTCCCTTTGCTCAATTTCCCATTTCGAGAGAGGAGCGGTCTCGGATGCCGTTGGCACTCGCTTTGTCACCACAAACGGATCGCCCATCCGGATCAGCTCGCTTCGAATCCGCCGAATTTCTGTTTTGGCCAAAAACTTCCACAAACTCAACACAAATGACTGCAAATCACATAGAAACTTGAGAAAATACGCGCGTTTTTGATCCGAAAAACTGGTACAGCTCCGAGACCAAAATGTCAGGATGGGAAGTACTTGTGTTCAAAAGCAAGCTGATGACCAGATTCACCAGATCCTGGTCTTGCAGAATGCTGAGCCTTGCAAATAGCGTGGAAATCTGGACATCCAGACGAGATATGCTTATCAAGGGTAACTGTACATTTAGGAAAGTTGGAGGGAGTTGTTTCAAGGAATTCACATATACTTCCATATCCGATGGATCCATGCGGGAAAGAGACTCGAGGGGAACAACCATCTCTTTATAAAGATTGAAAAAGAGCTACCAGTTGATTCATGATAGGAAGTTTTTCATAATCGATCACTTCCTCTGCCTTCTTCTCCTCATTGTGAGCTAAAGTAGCAACGAAATTAGTGGAATGTACTCGAAGATTGCAGCTCGGACTCAGGATCAAGATGAATTCGCCTCAAGTGGGGTGCAGATTCGTAGAAAAACCCAATATCTTCGTTTAAATCTTGATCAATTTTGTATTTGTGAACATGCCACTAGACATAACAAAAATAGAGAATAATATGCCATATGTTCTCTATATGTGTTTTTATATACGCGATGTGTTTTATCCAGAGGGCAAACCATATACTCATCCTCATCAGGAATATTCAAGTCTTCCTCTGTTAGTTTTGCTTCTTTCAATATGAGGAGCACCTTGTTCTCGCAACTCTGAATAAATACAACTATGCACTCAGTACCTTTGAAAACTCAAGGAGTGACTGCAGCTTCGCTTTTAACTCGTCCGTCCCTGCTGCAGACATTCAAAAAAGCAAATTCACTTTAAAGATGACTTTTGTTTGTTCTTGGTGTTTTGACAATAATAGTTTGAAATCCCAAATATTTGAAAATTCGAAGAGTGGGAGAGAACTGTGCCTTTGACTGTAGATGAATATCTGCTACTTGGATTTGTTGATAATTCACGGTACTACTTTCTTGGCAGCGTATTGGTGGAAAAATCGATGTACATTGTTTTGGATGTGTGATTAGTTAGGCAAGACACACTCATCGAGATAAACGCTATGTTACCTTATGGATATATTGTTGTTGGCGTAATTAATGCTCGTATTCTCAAACTCGTGATGGCTATCGTTTAGAAAAAGAAGACTTGTCTCTATTCGATAAACCTATTGCTGTGGTTACATTCGATGAGTATCTATATGATTTCAGCATACATCTCTCTGATGGATCGGAGGTTATTGAGGAAAAGTGCGATTCGATGGAGGTGGTGCTTGAAAAATATGCGTTGATGAGAGCAAATTGTATCTGTTATGCAATTGCTCCACTTGTTTGTCCAGACCAAGAAATTCTTGATTCATTCATCAGCTCAATCGATAAAGACACATTTATTCTAGTGGGAGACATCCTTGTCGACTCTTCCTCTACTGGAACGATTGAGGATGCAGTTTCCTCGGTTTCTCCAAAACATTATCAGAATTGCCCGAATTGGATGAATTCTGTGATCGAATTGGAATCCGCGGATAGTTTAGAGAGCAGCTATTCTCCTTCCATTCTCACTTTGCATGACCGAAATCGATGTTTCTTGTTTTGTTTGCTTGCTTGAACGTAGTTTTCAGCCTGCCGTTTGACGTTTTGCTGCTCTTCCACCGATCGGATTCCATCGCTTCGGTGATTCCAGCACTCAAACAAAGTTTGTTTGATTTGTTTTCAATGAATTCCAGAGTTGAAGCAGCAAGTTCCTTTCTTGTTTCACTCAGGTATTCTTGATCCATTCTCATCAATCCAAGGAAAATCCGTCCATTTCTGCGTTTCGCCTTATCTGCCGATCACATTCTTCCATTCTTTAACACCCCATCCATTCATTTCAGACCTAACAAAACTCGCTTCTCAACGCGAAGCCTGGAAATCCGATCCCGAATTGGATTGGCGAAAATCGTGGAATCATCGCTTCGGACTTCGACCCAATTGTCCCTATTTCCGAGACTCCAATTCTCTGTTTTCTCCCACGCAAAACATCGCAGGCGACGCCTCGTCGATTCATTCGCTTCTCTTCATTCCTAGCGTTCTCTGCAATCCACACAAAGCCATGCCTATCGTCGAACCCAGCTGGCTAATCAGTGGAAACATTCTCTATTTCCACTATGGACATCAGGGACTGAATGATAAAGGCTGGGGCTGCGCGTATCGCTCTCTGCAATGCCTTCTCTCGTTCTTTTCGTTGAACCATTACGTGGATATGCGCGTTCCTTCGATTCCTGAAGTACTAATCGAATGGAGAGTGCGAGAATAGATTCAGCAGGTGCTGGTGGATATCGGAGACAAACCTGCTTCCTTTGTGAACTCTCGCGAATGGATTGGGAGTCAGGAAGTGGGATATGTGCTGGGATCTCTCTTGGATATTGATTGTAAATACATTATTATCGAGAAGGGAAGCGAGGCGAAGAAGTACATGAATCAACTTCGCGACCATTTTATGAACCAAGCGACGCCCGTTATGATTGGAGGCGGCGTGTTGGCGTTCACTTGCATCGGCATTTCGATCCATCCGAAAACGCAGGACGCAAAGCTGCTCATTCTGGTACTTCTTCGATGGTTGCAATCTGATCGTAGGATCCGCATTACACGGGCAAGGACGAAGTCAAATCGATTCTATCCGAGAAGCAGAGATTGGAGGGGTATTTCGGATTTGGCTGCAGCTGGAAGACGCTCAAAGAAGTGTTCAAAGCGAGCGAATTCTATCGACTCTGCCTCCCTCAGCGGCCCTTCGCTTATTTGTTTGTTTGTTGCACAAACACCGACGAAGTAGTAGAAGTAGTAGTAGCATTTTACAAAACAATCAGAGACTCTGGCTTCGATTCCTGGCGATCTGATTCATTTCCTCTCCCCTCACGATCTCTGTCGTCTCGCCAATCACCATACTGGCATTCCGCAGTTTCTTATACAGCGAGAACAGCCAATCGAAGGCCGCTCGGCTCTCTCCCAGACCCACATCCTCCACAAACGGGCTTTTCACCAATCCCTGGAATCTCCACTGCATGTAATACAGATTGTTCGGGTCCAGATCCTTGTATTCTCTGCGGTGCGTGCCGATATGCAGCAGCGTGCGAGCTCCCACGCGCGGATGCAGCTGGATCGTCGGATAGAAGAACCTACACTTCATGCGTTCCCTCGCGCCTACCCAAGAAGATAGATCAACCCGGACATGTTTCGGAAGAACTTGGGCGAAGTTCCCGTGATGATGAGTCCCGGACAGGCCTCGAAGCTCTGCACGCCCAGACACTGAAGATGCTCGTTGATGGCGGGCTGCAGCAGATGGACGAACCATTTGTGCGAGTAGAACGAGTTGTGTCCGTTCAGGTGCTGCGGATCGTTCCAACTGAAAGCTTCGCGACTGCAGGTGGATGAGCCCGACCACACCACGCGGCCTGGAAGATTCGCGTTGGTGAGCAGTAGCTTGAGCTCTTCGATCTAGAAGTTAGATGTGAGAGAAAAGGAGAAATACTAAAATGAAGGGGGAGAGAATCTGCTGACAGAACTCGATGCCAAAACCATTGTCGCCCACGCCCAAATTGGCTGGGGTGATCATGTACTTCCCTCCTGGACGAGCTCTAAAGGTGAATCGAATGCAGAGAAAGCGACTTTCCAGTGGTGAAAAAGTATCCGATGCTACCAGCTCGCAATGTCTCGTACATTACGTTCCAATCCATTGATTCAATGTTTACAACACTGTTATTCAAATATAGTACGTCAAGGCGTTTCAAGATGTGCCGTATCCGCTTTGCAAAATGGAACACATTTATTGGATTATCCATATCCACGGAAAGTACTGTAATACGCCCATATGGAAAAGTTCTCAAGATTTTCCTTTTCATTCTAAGACGTCAGAAACCGAGCTACTCTCCCACTTAATCCCCACGTTCGTCGATTTAACTCCAATAACAACATGGTAATGCTTACGCACAAGCTTTCTAACGAGGTTAAAGCCCACAGCATTATCCGCTCCCATGACAAGCGCTGTGCGTCGTTCGTTACCGTTTACATAGACATAGTGCTCCAGTTTTTTATTAAACCACTTGATGACAGAGTCGGCTGTCTATCACTCAGTGAGAAGCAGAAAAGAACGTACAGCGCGAAATGTATTGTTTGAATATAAATAACTCAGAATAACAACAAATCCAGGCAAGGTCCAAACATACTGCAAAATCCAGAGTAGTATAATGTTAATTATATTACTGATGAAGTTGCGTACATGTTTGAATTCTCTTCTCATTTTATATTCTGTTCAAACAAGAGAAAAGTGCACAATTGTCCTATATTAATTTGTTTGGGAGCATATTCTATTTATTGCTCTATCTTCCATTTCGACCCATGGAGCGAAGAATGATGTATAGAAAAAGTTCAGATCCCTTTCCTATTGGATTTGGAATTGGGTCAACAAAAATAGAGAATGCACGTTATTTTGCCTATGTAGTCTAATGGCAAGGATCCTGTGTGAATCGTATGAGGTCGAAAGTTCGAGTCTTACGAATTGCTATTTTATCAAACAGGAAATTGCTTTTCTCTCAGCTTTTCAACATGCTCATCTAAAACTTCTATATCTTTATTCACATCGTTCTTCAATGCGGCAATAGCTTCATGCAACTGCAGATTGGACTTGTTCAGATCTTGGATTAGGAAGTACATGCCGGCGAATGAAGCCAGGATGAATCCCCACAGGAATGGAGATATTCTTTGGGAAAAGGTGCTCTTTTGGGTCTTCATTTTCTTATATGAGATTGCTTCTTTTTCTGCCTCCTTTACAACTTTCCGAATCTCCAAGGGCATCTCGTTACTAGCAACTTGTACACTTGGTACAGAAAATAGCCTCCTTGATACATTGATTGTACGTGGAAGCAGTCCTCGTAGACACAGAGACTTCGTCAGCAAGCAATTCATAGGGTTATTATTGAGAAAAACAAAACCGAAGAAGTCCCGCGATTATACAGACATTTCAAATTCTTACACTACACAAGCCATCTACAGCTAGCTATATCAAATCGCCCGTCCCGTGTCGTATGCAAAAGGATGGGAGTGTTTCGAGACATTCACTTTTGTATTGACAAACTGGGTGATGAAGAGAACGTAATTTCATTTCCATTTGAATGATGCACTAGAAGAAATTAAGAAGAGCAATAGAAAAGGAGGGAGGGAGTTATCGAGATATTTTGGAGGACGACACGTCCTATCTGATTGTGCGAAAGGTTGGATCGTACAACTATTATGTACTGCTGAATTTTGCGTTCCATGAGTAGAAAGCTCAACAAATGAACATCCCAATCGTGCCTCTTGCATGGGTGTACGATTCTATTCAAGATAAAGAACTCAAAGATCCTGCAGAATACCCTCTTCGTCTGTTTGAAGGAATGGTCGTGTCTACGACAGGTTTCAACAACGGTATTTTTATTCTTTTTCTGCTCATCAGACGAACGATATGTGATGCAGGCGGAGCTGGAGCGGCATGGTGGTGTGTTTGAAGGAAACATGCTCTACGACCACACAGATTATCTGATCGTGCGTAATATATACAGTGAAAAGTACCGAATCGCGCTCGAGTGGGGTACCATCATCTTAGTGAACGAATACTGGTTTCAAGACAGCGTTCGTTGCAACAGTACTCTACTTCCTTTCTTTCGCCTTCTCACAATCAGAGCTTCAAAATCCGATCCACTACCAAAACTTCACGCAAACCCTCGAAAAAGCTCAAGACAAAGCGGCCAATCAATCGAACCCGCACGTTCGATCGCAGCTGGATAAGCAAACCCCCACGTCCTTCACCGACTCTTGTTTATCGCTCGTCCAGCCGCTGGAAAGCGGTAGAACCAACGGATTGGCTGCTCACCCGCAGAGTATTTAACGCCGAATAAAACGATCGCGCATACACGAGGTGGAACCGAATGGGTTGGATGAGGCATAGAAGTGGATTTGCTTTTGGACGGGTTTATCTTCTACCTCGCAATCAGCAATCCCTCCACGAAGAAGCGAGTTCTCTCGATTCTGCTCAGTCATGGCGCGTTCTGGTCGACGAACCTTTTTTCTCTGAAGCGTAGCATCGATACGATTCTCTCTTCCACGAATCTCATCATCGCCGAAACCCAAACCGACTACCAAACCGCGATGCAGTGGATCCACAGCTCTCCCCAGTCGAACGAGCTCTCGCTCATCCCCGTTTTAAACGTCGATTGGGTGCTGGACACGCACGGAAAGTACCAGCTCATGGAGTACGACGCGTATCGCTGGCGCAAAGGCATCTTCTCCAACCTCTCCTTCTTCATCTACGAGTTCAAACGCGATTATGACAAGGTCAAACAGTGCATCGAGTCGAACGACGGCCGCGTCGCCGCCACTCTCGACGACGCCGTGTACGTCGTCTGCGCCAAAACCGTCGATTCGGACATCTACAAGGACGATCGCGCGGTCTCCGCCAAGTGGCTTCGCTCCTGCACCAAAGCCAATCGGCTGGTGCCTCGCAACGAGAAGGTTCTCTACCGCCCGTTTCCACGATTGCTGGGAGGGAAAACGCTCTGTCTCACCGGGTTTCGCAGGGAAGACCAGCTCACCATGGCCGACTACGTGGAGTACCGGTGGAAGAAGGGCGTCTGATCGTAGGGCGTTGGGAGGAATGATCGAAACGCGCGTGCAGAAGGAGAGCTACGCGCTGATCTGCCAGGACTTGGTGAAGACGAACGTGAAGATTCAGGAGGCGAAGACGCTGGGCGTGCCGATTGTCAAGCGAACCTGGCTCGATTGGCTCATCGTCCATGTGGGTTTCCCCGTTTCCACTTATGTCTAGAAGGAACTGACGCCGTTTGAAGGCTACTTCGTCGAGGCTCCATCGAATTCGATCGAAAACAAGCTGCAGCTCTCACCGACCGTCAAACTACAACTCAACGAAGCTCCAATCGAAGCTCCAATCGAAGCTCCAATCGAAGCTCCAATCGAAGCTCCAATCGAAGCTCCAATCGAAGCTCCAATCGAAGCTCCTGCGGAGGGTCGGGGCCCATCCACCAAGCCGGCGTTGCGGTCGGGATCGGAGCGAATGTTCGTCGTGGACTGCCGAAGCAACTCGCTGGCGAGCGAAGAGAAGGAAGACACGTCGAACTCGCTGTTTGGAGAGAAGGAGAAGGAGAAGGAGGTGCTGTACACCAATTTCAACGAGATCTTCAAGCAGGACACTGCGGGCACTTCGCAGTATGTGGCGGATCCGATGCTCGTAGAGAAGGAAATCCAGGAAGCTTCGCAGCAGATTTTGACGCCCAAAATCGATACCAGGCCGCCGTCGGACGGAAAGAAGCTACTGGATGGGTTGCTGCAGACGGAGACGAGCAAGCTGTGGGGAACGTCGTTTTTATCGAAGGGGTTGAGCAATGTGGGGAGGCGAATCAATCTGAATTTCTCGGATGAGGAGAAGAAGTCTGGATCGAAGCTGGCCGTATCCCTGATCGATTCAGAAGATGAAAAAGAGGAGAAAAAGTGGGGGAAGGAGGGAAGAGTGATGATGTAGGGAAAAGAAGCAGGTCGTGTCAAAAAAGACAAAGCAGACCAAAAAGTCAGGACGAACAAGGGGGAAAACATAAATTATTCGTTAGATGATTGTTTGTTGAGAATACATCACCTGCTGTATAATTGATAAGAAATGAAAATGAATCAAGAAGAGCCTGCATTAGATCGATGCAACAAAATAAAAAACCGCAGAAAACGATTCAAGGCAGATCACATATGGAACAAGCCAAGGGGTCTGGAACAATTACTCTGGAATCGCTAAAAGAAGAGCTCATAAAGCGAACTACAGAGCTTGTATGTGGTTGATAGGGAAACCTGAAACAATAGAAAAAAACAAAAGCAGAATTCAAGAATTTGCATGCGGTAGCAAAGAAATTGAGAGAGAAGTTGGTATGTCCATCAACCAAGGGTTAATAGATTCTAGGATGTTGCTGAAGCAGAACTCAAGTCACTGAAAGAAGGGAATGGTCAGAATGCTCCTTCCACTAATACTCAGGAAGGAGGTAGTTCTACCGAGAATATTGTATTTTATTTATTTGATACGCTGATATATAGGATGTTAGTGCATTGAATAAGCGAATTGTATGTTTACAAATCGATCTTCATATTTAGGAAGCGTTACAGGCAAATCTGGATAGTGTTACGAAAGAACGCGACGTACTATTTTAAATTTTAAAATTAATTTTTAGGAATTGAAGCAATTGGTTTTGTCTTGTGCATCTCCTCATAGAGTAGGCTCAACCTTCAGAGGGAAGTAGCCAAGCAGCTGGCGAGCTGGTATTCACATATTATCCATGTGATCCTTCTAGGAACAAGCTAGGATGGAGCGTGATCAACTCAAATCGGATTTGGTAGTTTTACTGCATTTTGGTTATTCATAGGAAGAAAAAACGAAGAAGCTCAGTTCCTACGAATCCGAACTCGCTCAGCTGTGCGTTATTTGACCATTTTCCACTGATGAATAGAAAGGAGCAAAGTGGGAAAATGAAAATTCTGATCACTCGAATGGACAAAATGGTCAAAGACGAAGTTCGTTTCCGTTCTTTTTCTTAATTCTAGCGAGAGAAAAACGCGAAGCTCACCGAAATCGTTGGGAAACAGAAGGAAGCAATGGTAAAACGAAACTCAACTCGAATGAATCTCAGATTTCTCTTCAATCGACAGTGGAAACCGCGAATATTCGGCTCGCATCGATCGACTCGATCGTCGATCAGCAGACTCGTTTGATTCATGAATGGGTTCCGAACGACGCGATTGCTGTGGAGGAAAGCGATGTATCTGATTTGGAAACTGTGTCGCAGGGAATCTTGTTTTTGGGACAGAAAGTTTCGAAGCTTCATCAAGAGATTGAGAATGAAAGGAATGCCGTGAATGTTTTGACGGAAGAGAAAAAGGCGATGAATGAATCGATGGATGAACTGAAGCGAGTACGAGCTGCATTAGAAGAAGAAATCGCAGCTTTGAAGGAAAAGGAGGGAAATGTGGAAGAAATGATGAATGTGGTAGAAGAAAAGAAGGAACTGGAGGAAAGAATAAGTGAAATGGAGAAAGAAATTGAAGAACTGAAACAAAGAGGAGATGAAATAGAAAAGGAACGGGAAGGATTGGAAAATGAGAAGAGATTAATGAATGAATCAATTGAATCATTGAAGAACGAGAAGAACGAATTATTGAACAGAATTGAATCAATGAAATCATCAGATCGTAGTGCTGAACTGAATGATCGCATTTCCAAATTAGAGAATGAGAAGAAAGCATTAGAATCTAAATTGAACGAAATGAATGAATCAATTGAATCATTGAAGAACGAAAAGAACGAATTATTGAACAGAATTGAATCAATGAAATCATCGGATCGTAGTGCTGAACTGAATGATCGTATTTCCGAATTAGAGAACGAGAAGACAACATTAGAAAATGAGAAGAACGAAGTGAAATCGAAACTGAATGAAATGAATGAATCAATTGAATCATTGAAGAATGAAAAGAACGAATTATTGAACAGAATTGAATCAATGAAATCATCGGATCGTAGTGCTGAACTGAATGATCGCATTTCCGAATTAGAGAATGAGAAGACAACATTAGAATCTAAATTGAACGAAATGAATGAATCGATAGAATCATTGAAGAACGAGAAGAATGAATTATTGAACAGAATTGAATCAATGAAATCATCAGATCGTAGTGCTGAACTGAATGATCGCATTTCCGAATTAGAGAATGAGAAGAAAGCATTAGAAAATGAGAAGAATGAAATGGAATCGAAGCTGAATGAAATGAATGAATCAATTGAATCATTGAAGAACGAGAAGAATGAATTACTGAATAGAATTGAATCAATGAAATCATCGGATCGTAGTGCTGAACTGAATGATCGTATTTCCGAATTAGAGAACGAGAAGACAACATTAGAAAATGAGAAGAATGAAATGGAATCGAAGCTGAATGAAATGAATGAATCGATAGAATCATTGAAGAACGAGAAGAATGAATTATTGAATAGAATTGAATCAATGAAATCATCGGATCGTAGTGCTGAACTGAATGATCGCATTTCCGAATTAGAGAATGAGAAGACAGGATTGGAATCTAAATTGAACGAAATGAATGAATCAATAGAATCATTGAAGAACGAGAAGAATGAATTATTGAATAGAATTGAATCAATGAAATCATCGGATCGTAGTGCTGAACTGAATGATCGTATTTCCGAATTAGAGAATGAGAAGACAGGATTGGAATCGAAGCTGAACGAAATGAATGAATCAATTGAATCATTGAAGAATGAAAAGAACGAATTATTGAACAGAATTGAATCAATGAAATCATCGGATCGTAGTGCTGAACTGAATGATCGCATTTCCGAATTAGAGAATGAGAAGAAAGCATTAGAATCTAAACTGAACGAAATGAATGAATCAATTGAATCATTGAAGAACGAGAAGAATGAATTATTGAACAGAATTGAATCAATGAAATCATCGGATCGTAGTGCTGAACTGAATGATCGCATTTCCGAATTAGAGAATGAGAAGAAAGCATTAGAAAATGAGAAGAATGAAATGGAATCGAAACTGAATGAAATGAATGAATCAATTGAATCATTGAAGAACGAGAAGAATGAATTACTGAATAAAATTGAATCAATGAAATCATCAGATCGTAGTGCTGAACTGAATGATCGCATTTCCGAATTAGAGAACGAGAAGACAACATTAGAAAATGAGAAGAATGAAATGGAATCTAAATTGAATGAAATGAATGAATCGATAGAATCATTGAAGAACGAAAAGAACGAATTAGAAAATACGAAAAAAGAATTGGAAGCAGCTATTGAAACTTCAGCTCAGGAAAAGGAAGCGCTTTCTCAATCAGTATCTGATCTCACTTCACAACTTCAAAACATTCAAAAAGACAAAGAAGAAGCCAGTGCCTATCAACTTCAAGTAACTGAAGATATCCAAGTAACAATTCTTTCCCATTCTCATCATTAGACGAGACTCAACGCAATTATTGAATCCCTCCAATCGGACAATGTTCGTTTGTATTCCATCTCTAATATTTAGGAAAAGAAGCAGAAAGAATTGCTCGACATTCACCAGCAACTCGATGCAAAATCAAACGAACTCGCTGCAGTACAGAAGCAATTGCAGACCGCTGAATCGTCCATGGCTATGTTGGAAAAGGAAAAGCAGATTTTGCGAGATAGCGAAAGCGAACTGCGTGCGATTATCAATCAGTCTGTAGCGGAGCATAACGCGGATGTAAGTTGTTTTATTAGCGTCTGATTTCCATAGAATGAAATGATGCAGAAAGTCGTCGAATTGGAGAAAGAGCGAGTTTGTGTTTTTGTGTTTTGTAACGAATAGAACGATTATTTATCCGAACTGGCAACACTGAAATCCACCGTCGTACGATTTGATTGGATGAAGCAACCATCTAGATCACAGCTACGGAGAACGCAAAGAAAGCTGAGCGCGAAATGGTCGACATGCAGCAAGAACTCAAAGAGAAAACGGACTATATCGTACTTGTTGATTCAGGGTGGTGTTGAATAGAACCAAAATTCGCTTTCGTTAGAAAACCAGCATTCGCAATTGGTACGAAAACAGTTCGGAACTCATCCATAGATCGCACTCCAGACGCGAATCGATCAGCTTGAAAGCTATCAAGTACTCTCACTCATTCATTCGCTTTTTACCTCCAGAAAACGCAAGAGCAGCTTCTTCAAGCCAAAAGCGATGAAGTCATGCTGAAGTAAAACCATTTCATTTATTTCATGTAGACGTCGCAACGAAACCAAGCTTTTAGATCTGAACATGTCGCTTTCTTCGAAGAACTCCGAGCTGGAGAAGCAGATCGCTGCGATCAAATTGGAGTGCTCGATGTCCTTCGTCTCCACGGCCGTCAAGTGTATTCTTTCTCTCGCTCGATTCCATGCAGCCATCAAAGTCCTCGCCTTCGTCATTCTCAACAACCAACAAATGTGCTACTGCCAACTCCAAGTCAAATCCGTCGGATCCTTCGGTTCCTCCCCTTCTTTCTCTCCTCACCCACAGAAACCACCATGTTTAAATGGCTTCTTCTCGACACCGTCCGCATGAACTTCCCCAACGTCCAGCTCCCCATCGAACTCCACGACATGATCTACACCGAAACCCGATCACTCAGCGCGCAGCTCACCGCCACCACCACGCAGCTCGACCAGCTCCGCGCCGATTTCGAGACGTACAAGCGGAAAACCCGCGCGGCGACGCTCAAGCTGCAGCAGATCGCGACGCAGGGAAAGAACCAGCAGGCGGAAGCCGCGCTGCGCGAGCAGGTCAAGACGCTGGAGGGCGAGACGGAGGAGCTGCGGCGCTGCAATGACGCGCTGCGATCGCAGGTGGAGTCGATGGAGAAGGCGAAGAAAGCGGCGGGTAGGCGATCGGAGGGGCTGAGACGCAGAACAAAACGAAGAAGACGCGCGGGAATTGCGGAGGGAGAAGGAGCAGATCGAAGGGGAAATTTTGGAATTGAGGGAACAGATGAAAACCGCGGATAGCGAGAGGAAATCGCTGAGGGACCAAGTCGAAGAATCCAGAAAAACGATTCAGCAGCTGACGCAGCAACTCGCCGAATCGCGAAAGACTGAAACTCCTGTGGCTGAAACTCCTGTGACTGAAACTCCCGTCAGCGAAACTCCTATGAGTGAAACTCCTATGAGTGAAACGCCAGTCGATGAAACTCCCGTCGAGCAGTCATTGAATGAAGCGAATCAACCCGAAGAAACAGCAACTCCAGCGACTCCAGGGACTGCAGCGACGCCTGTGGAAGGACCGGAAACTGGAATTCCAGAAAACCGGGTGGATTCCCAAATCGGGAACAACGTTTTGCTGAACGTTCTGCGCGACACCTCGGAGGAATCGCTGTAGAATCGATCGGAATGGGACTAATCGGCAGAGGCTTGTTCACCATGCCACACAAACAAATCAAAGAACTTCGAAACGAAGTGATCGAACTTCGATCGAACTTGGCCAGCATGGAAAAGTCGCTTTGAACGATCGGGAATGACGCGTAGAACGCTCTCCATTCTCCAGATCGAGAACAGCAAGAAAGACCAAGTGATCGAAGAGCTGGAAGGCGATTTGAAGTCGATGGGGAATGCGCAGAGCACGGAGAGTTTCAAGTTTATGCGGCACACCCTTGTAAAATTCCTTTGTAACAGTTCAGTTTCGGAGAGACAGATGATTCTTCCTGCGGTATCGGAGCTTTTGAAGCTGAAGTAGGTGGATTTGGAAGGAATACGAGAATAGTCCCGAAGAAAATGAGGCTCTGATCAAGAATTTCAGTGCTCCCAAACTCTTTTCATGGTTTTCTTATCGTGTTTGTTCGAAAAAACAAGCGATTGGAGTCGTTCCGGACCCATTCCGATCTCTGTGACGAGGAAAGAAGCGATGGAAATCGATCCCTCATTCCACTGATTCAAAAACGCTTCACTCAGCGCAGAAGATTCAATCTCTTTTGTAGAAGAAACAAAATGAATTGGAGATAGAAGACTTCGCACAATAGAAGCAATGAACGATGAATGCTTCTCTTCAAAGAACAAAAAAGCGTTCGATCCAGCATCAAACGAATAGGCGATCTACGCTTTACAGATGCTTCGCTGACTCGACAATCGTTTGATTCATGAAGGAATTGATCGCGCGAACGAGTTTGATTATAAACTGGCTTTGATTCGACAAGTAAACAATGGAAGGCTCAGCAGCCGCGCAAATCGCATGCAAATCATCGCTTTCTTGCATGATAATCTCGCCTAACGCTCCGAAATCGTGCATCGAGAACGCTTTGATCGCTTCCGCGATTCGATTCTCCACCAAATCTGTGTATCGAACCTGCAATCGCATCGAAAATTCACACATACGCGCATTAACGGACTAGTCTCCACACATCGATTCATTCCTTCTGTGCTGCCCACGCTTTTCCTTGATTCCGATACGATGCACACCGCAATTCGGAATTCAGGCCAAGAATCGCTCGGTAAAACCTGTGATCATGAAAACAGCACAAAACAATCAACTTGGTGAGCGATCGAGTCCAGTCCATCTTCACGCGATCCCTTGTCCCACTTCACGAGACCACCATAGAGACTACGACACGCACTTCCACTTGCTTGGCGAGTTATCGAATTCAAGATCGTTTCCTCTTCGGGAGAGGTCAAGACTCCGTAGACAGCAGAGAGACATTTTGTTAGACAAGCGAGGCCCGAGGCAGAAGAAGCCATCCCTGCCGCCGTAGGAAAGGAATTCTGTGTTGTGACGCAAATGGGGCAATCTGCAAGTTGAGTATTCCTACAATCTCATATAATTTCCTGTTTTATACCCTCTGCTTCTCACAATTTCTCGAAATTGAGTCACCACTTTAGCAATCTTCTTATCATCCGTTAAATCATGTTGCCTATATCGTCATTCCCATCTAGTGTAGTTTTACACTCCGTTGAAAATAAGAATATCTGAATGGAGCTTGTCTGAGACTCGAACTGTTGTTGTCGTGTTAATTCCATACTAGAATCAAATACGACGTCACCTCCATACATCCCGCAGAGTAACGCTCAGAGAGGAGTTCACAGGAAGATTCACTTGCTTGTTGCGCTTTCCCCAGTACTTTACAAGGGCAATATTCGGAGTGGCTCGAAACGATACAGAAACGTCCATATGGAAACAAACACCAAAGAATATAGAAAACCATCCACAACACTAGAAAGCCTCCAACTTAGAACTTCATGTCATGAGGGCGGCTTCCCTTTCCGATAACAAATCTGGCGTGCAGGTATTCCTTCATCAGAGGAGTTTTCTCGATGCAGGCCTCCAGCTTGTCATCTACAGTCTTCTGGGTCGCTTCCTTGTTCTCAGTGTTCTTCGAAGAGAAGAAGGTATCGTTGATGGAGAGATCCAGAGAGCTGATGTCCAGCTTGGTGCTGGTGGCAATCACTCTGGACTGGGGCACACGAATCAGAGGAACTCTGTTCACGCTCTTAGGTCCTAGAAACTCAACATTTCGAACAAACTCAAACCAGACACCAGAAGAAGTCCCGAAGCGAGCTGCTTCAAGAACACAACGCGCTTACCAGCGTAGCGTCCGCTCAGGAGAATCAGAACAGTTCCCTGCTTAATGGACTCACGCAGCTTGCAGGGCTTAGGGACGGAAGCAACAGGAGACTTCACATGGAAGAATACAGGTACGGCCTTCGACATTCTTATCTCTATACGACTAATTAGAATTGTTCAGAGAATATAACTCCCATTGGCTGTATTAGTCAACAAGGACAAAAGCAACAAAAGGATAATGAACCTACTTCTGTGGAGATAGTTTGTGACCTTTCCAGAATGGCGAGAAAAACGAGGAAGGGGGTACCATCCAAATAGAATTATACTGGATCGAAATACAGGGAGAACGATCAAGCCCTTTATTCGATGATCACTGATTATTTATGATAATACCCAACTACGATAATATGAACACAACAAAATTGATAGAACAGATGGAATCAGACAAGAATTCATGCTTATCTTTGAAGTGATGCTTTTGGAATTATGCTAATAATGCTTTGATATTGTTGCAGAATTGCAACTTATACGAAATATGATAAATTTTGACTTTTCAAATAATCAAAAGGGGAATGTCGCGCGTTGCGTTTAGTTCTTTTGCTCGAGGTGTTAGTCGCCTCCAGTCAATTCGTCAATGTACTACGTACGTCTTTGCTTTGTACGGTGATTTTGCAGAAGAGGGCTAAACCCCATGTTTATGAAAATGCGTGTGAATAGCCGTCCAATGAACGCGTTATTCCCTGAGTTAGCCGCCAAGAATCTGAAGTTGACTCAGTTGAGCAAGCTGTCTACAAATTCCAGACGTCTTGCCTGTTTGCAAGTATTCTATCGTAAAGGGAATGTGACTGTGTAGTTACAAAAGATTCAGCTCTGTGCTCTCTCCCTTCTTATCACTAATGCGGGAGAAATTCTGATTGATTTCCAGGATATGATGCACTCTCTTGAAGAGGAGGAGGAGGAAGAGCTCCTTCGTAGAACATCCCTCCTCGTGCAAACGCAACGCCTTGTCTAATCCTCTTTTATCGTCTGCCGTTGTTTTTTCCAACAAACAGTGGTGTATGTCGCCATAAAGGAGAGTCATCTAAATAATCGCTTTATCTCCACGGCGAAGTACGTGGAGGTTAAAAAGCCACAACTACATTGATACGTGGACTTTAATCCGAATGTCCCAATCTTCACTCCGCAAAGCGGGTTCCAACATCGGAGAATTCCTCTACGCCTCACCGCCTCTCCCCACTCCCACTGCTCACTCCGACTTTCCACTACTTGCTGGATCACCCAAGCAAGCGGCTCAATAAAATACACGGAGCAGTTCGGTCTTGGAGCTCGCTCTCTCCGCGTGGCTTTCTGCGGTGCGCGCAGCCCACCTTCTCGTCCCGCGGGGGAAAGATCATCATCCTTGACTAGCGATGAGCAATTCCCCAGCGACCGAGTGCCCATTCCGCTGAATTCGGAGACCAGCCGGTCCGCGCTGATCCTCACAGCCCTCCCTCACGCCTACAAGAACAATTCTCCCTGCAGATCCTCCTCATTCTCCTCCGGATTGTCAAAAATAGACCCTTTTTTGCGCCTCCCTGCCCTGCTGCCTCGCCGCAATCCGTCGTTTCCCCACGTTTGCCCCGCCACACCGACGATCTGGTCGCTTTGCGCCGCCTCCACGTCCCGGAAGGCATCGCTGACCTCGATGTCCCGAATGTCCCGAATGTCCCGAATGTCCCGAATGTCCCCGATGTCCCCGATGTCCCAATTCTTTTCTCGGATTCCGTTCGTCCCTTTCAGTTCATCGACACAAGCGGATTGGTTCACGCTTGATGATTCCCCGCGGGAGAGGAAATCCAGACCGATGGATTCCCGCGGGACTGCCACATCCGAATCGTGGAAACAGGGGTTCTGCGGGGTTGGCGAAACGCCCACGGAGAGCGCGGAAGCTTCCTTCGCTCCGGTCGGACCCATCCTCGAAACCGTGGAAACCGTGGAAACTCGTTTGGTGTGAACGGGCAGGGGGTCCGGGAACTGGTCGAAAGAACGCGCGCCCGAGGCGAAGAAATCGTCGGGATGAGGGTGAATGGAGGAGGATTGAAGGAGTCGCGGCCGCGCGGGGGAGAAAAGATCGGAAGGGACGAAGCGGCGGTGATCGAGCACGCTAGAGAGAGAGAAAGAGGCGAGAGGGAACTTGCGAGAGAAGAAGAGGAGCGAACGGCAGTTCCTGCAGAGAAAGGGCGTGGCGAAGAAACGAGGAAGCGGCAAAACGCAGCGTTCCCTACGAGGCCGGCAAAGCTGAATTGATGCAGGAATCGGGGACTGGTAGAGAGGCAGAACTTCTAGATGAGAGGGGAGAGAGGGCTCGACTTAGAGAATGAGGTTTGGTGGAGAGAATGGCTTGGAAGCCGGAGAAGAAGTTGGCTAAATACAACTGAAAAGCGAGACGAATGTTGCAATTACATTCGTAGAAGCAACGAAGTTGCTCAAAAAATGCTGGGCGTCAGAGAGAGCGGACAATCTTACCGTTATTGATTGTTATCTGAGGGCGCTTCTCCTTGAGTAAACTAATGGTGTCTTCAAAAGAGAAGTGCTTGCGAGACATTAGAAATCCCGCTACTGTTGCTGCAGAACGGCACCTTCCGCATGTACTAAGGTTCAAAAAACATGGAAAAACACACCAATACACAAGTACAGATCCGTTTGAGAGCCCTTCGCTAATAAAATCGAGGGAATAATAAAAACTGGAGAGAATTTCACAATCCTCACTATCTTTAATATACACATTAAGGTAGGTGAAGTCCTACAGAATCATAGCAAAACAAGTACGAGTACATCTCGGAAAATACAATCCTGACGGCTACAATTCACAATATACTTCACATGATAACGGTTCAAAAATTCACTATTATAGGATGCGTATTTTGATCCCAGATAAAGGTTATGAATAATTTCAACAGGTTCATTATCTTTGATCTCCTGCGAATTACACACGCAAGTTACGCTCACCTTCCCGTTCATACACGTTATGTTGAGCTCTAGGCTCATCTTGTGAATCGATAGCAGTGCTTAGCGACTCTTGAAAATATTTTTTCGATTTATGGCCCAATTGTGCATGGGCCACAACTGGTTCGTAATGTCCCTCACCACCAAATAACTTTATCAACATGAATTCACAGCAGCATTATATGTATGTCAGGGGAGCAAATGATAACACTGCAATCTCTCCTAGGAATAATGAGTTCCTGTTTTTGTACTGACTTCGCCTAACTTCGTAGAGAAAACGAGCAATATGAATATATTTTGAGGTGCAAGTACTGCAAGAATCCTATTCGCGAGGATAGTAATGTGTACATGTAGTTTCGTTCTTCTTGTTTCAAGTGATAGGTTCCTTGATAACAAATTCTGTTCTGAGACATGCCGTGACAATGCCATCATGATGTATGAGCAAAGGCATTATTAGAACTCGTTTTCCTGTACACTATACCTCTTTTCTGTATTCCTATGGAATGACCGTTTACAGCTGCAGTTGCATGTTTGTTAGACACAGAAATGGGCGGAAATTGTTTCATACACTCCATCGTAGCAACCCGATTTCCATGCTTTACACTAATCTGCTGGTCATTTCCTTGTTTCATTTCCCATGTTTCGCTCTGTACTCAGCAAGATCAGCAGAGCAGGCAGAAAGATTAGTGAGCTCACAGGAGCACAATTACAGGTGTTCGATCGTTTTTGTTTTTATGTGATAGGAACGACTTGACCTCATCAAGGCAACGATGCTGGTAAAAGCGCTAGGAGACAATCTCTACAGGGAAGATCGGTAGTGTTGGTTGCCCTCTGTAATAAATAGAAAGAAGGAAGAATTCGACGCCCTTGCCGACAGTGTTGTCTCCATGCCTGTTGGTCAAATGGAACACACAATCCAAGACTACTTGGAGTCTCAGGTTTGCAACGGCGAAATCACATTCAGCGTAGATGGACCGTTATCTGGAAGAAATCACCAAGACTTCTGCAGATGCAGATGCAGTAGAGCTTGCAGCCTCCGCTTCCACTTCGATTTCACCGAACCGTTTCACAGAAAAGCTCTTCCAATCCATGAAGTGGGGCCTATCCGTCCAGCCATCCTCCATCGCCTCTGCAGGTCAAGTACATTTTTCAATTCTTTTTTCTTTCCATTCAGGGAGTTTTTCTCAAAGGTCGCATCCGTCCCGGTACTCTCCTCGTAGGCCGTCCTTCCTTGCCTTTGAGTAGACCGTCATCCCTGGCACCGTCTACCTGCGTCAGCACATCGTCGACGTTTGATTGGACGCACCGATTGACCCCCAGCCGCAGTATTTCGTGCCGCTAACACGCGTGAAGTCGGATTCGAAGTACTGGAACTACGATGGGATCATTATCGACAGCACGGGTTTCGGTAAACAAAATTCGCAGAATGTTCTTTAGAACCTTCCACGCCGCTCGCGTTGGGACATCTGATCAACCATCCCTCGGACCCGGAGAGGCCTGATTTGAAGCCGAATGTGATGGTGGTGCCGTATGAATTCTCGCGGACGCAGGGACAGAAGTACGCCGCATTGATCCCGAATCATTACGTTGCTCCCGAGAAGTTCATGTATAAAGTAGCGAATAATCATGTGCTGCCGAACTCGTTTATGCGGGTGAGAGAAGGAGGAAGGGCTGAGCGGTAGACGATGGGAATCATCAGCATAGCCGAAATCGAAGATGAGGAGTTGTTTTTGGACTATCGGCTACCGCCGAAGGCACAGCCGTCGTGGTACAAACAGATTGACGACAGTACGTTGAGAAGATGGAACTTGCCGGTGGAGGCGGATAAGGATTTGCATTCAGATTAGTTTGTTTGTTGAACAATGATTGGGGATCTATTTGCATTGGTCTTAGCTGTTCTGTTTGCGTATTACCTCATTACAAAGCACCTGCTTTCCCGCAAATGTAGGGTTTGGACTGTTTTGAACAATGTAGCATCAAAACCGCACAGCAGTGAGGATTTGGGAGTCGAGGATGACTCTGATTTTGGACGGGCTGTGAAGTTTGTACGATGTGGAAAATTCCGCCTCCAAGATGCTTCCGTAATTGTAATTTTTATATTATTTACCATTCAGAAGCTTGCCCTTTATGGACTTTTCAAACAAGCAACGATTGGTGATGTTAATATTGATAATCCTGGAGCCCTTGATTTCGTGGGGTCGGCTAAGTGGAGCTCGTGGAAATCTTACGAAGGATTATCAAAAGAGTATGTCAAGAGGGATTTGTACTTTGTAGAGATGCAAAAGCGAAATATGTAGATTTCTTGACAAAATTGGCCCCTCAGTGGTGTGAACAAACAAGTACGAATGAAGAAGGCGCAGAGTCTGAATCAAACGCTTCTGGAGGCAGCTTCGGATTAAAAGTGAGCACAATGAGAGTTGTGTAGAAAACATAGAAGAGGGTGTTATGAAATAGAGGGGATGAAGAAGAAGAGAATACATCAGACGACATCTTTGGCAAAATCGCAGACGGCGAAACCGACTTTGTGATCGAGTTTATCAAGCAGCATCCCGACCAAATCAACGACACAGACGCGGAAGGCCGAACGTGCGATCAAGCGATGGACTGAACGATAGAATGCTGCATTGGGCGTGCGATCGTGGGGATCTTGCGATCGCTACCGAGCTTCTGAACCGCTGCGCAGACACATCGGTCCGCGATCATGAAGGAATGACGGCGATGGACTACGCGACGATTTGCGAGAATGAAGAAATTGTCGATCTTCTGGTGCGTGGAGTGAATTGAATTCGAGTCTAGAATGCGAAAGCGTCGACTCTTCCGAATGGAGAGACCAAAGAAGAAGCGAGGGACTAGAGAGAAGCTACGAGTTCGAGTGATTGAATGCAAACGTAAAGAAACAAACCACAAAACAAAAGAGAAAAAAAGAAAAGAAAACAATTCATTCCTTGTTTGTTTTACGCAACTCGGCAACTTCCTTTTCCAATTCCTTCACTTTCTCCACCAGCACGATGTTGATATCCTCCAGCGTCTATCATTCAATCCCTCCTTACGGCTTCTACGTTGATTCGCTCTTGCAGCTCGTCCGTTTTCGTCTTGAAATTCGTGGTCAGCGAGGTGAAGAGCCGCTCCACCGTCAATCCAAGTCGTTCTTCCACGCTTTTGATTTTGCTGTCGAAGAGAAGCTGCTGGGCGAAAGTCGTTTCCATCAGTCCCGTGAGCTGCGATTGCTTCGGAGCCTCGGAAACGGGCGGCTCTTCTCGCGATTCCTTAGAAGGCTGCGGAACGGAAAGATCTGTGCTTTCACCTGTGAACATGATGGAGTGCAGGACAATCCGCACTCTCTCTTTGATAGACAGACAGCGAATGATGATCGAATCCACGATATCATTTGAAGTAAGTGTGTATTCCCCGGCGTACAACTGGATGGGAGTTCCTTCAATCTCAACTGTTTCACCAACTGCAGAGTATCGTTTGGTTCCAAGATATGTAGGATTTGTTTTGCCATGCTCCATCACGTAAATCTCGCATATGCGCGCCGAAGTTACCCATTTGATGTCATTAATTTTAATTGCAGAAAGAAACGAAACTAGGATAATAGAGAATCAACAACACAACTCTTGAGCTCAAAAGAATCTTGTGATTTGCCTTTGTTTGCGACAATATATTTAGTTACATCTCCGCTGATGATGAAAAAACAGAAACCCATACCTAATTTCCCTCTCCGTGTTATAGAACACCACTGAATCCACAGCGATCTTCCCTACGACAGTCCAGTTACAAGTTGATATCATTACTCTGAACAAATAGTAAAAAATATCCCAGCAAACAAAAACCCTGTTTTCTCATAACAAACACCCTTTTAAATTACAATTTTACCGGTCCGCATCGCTCTCTCGATTTTCAACTTAATATCCTTCCGATAACCCGCATACACCTTCGCCATCTCCGCAATCGTCCCCACCCCGGTCGCTTCCAGCGGCGTCGGATCCTGGTCCTTCTGTTTGATCTCTTCCTCCGCTTCCTTCATCGCTTCCACCTGCTCTTCCTCCCATTCCTTCTCTTCCTCCTCCAATCCCTCCAACTCGGCTCGCAGCGCCTCCGGCGTAACCTCCGGGATGGGTTCGCACACCTCCTTGAACCGAATCGACCGTCTCTGGATCGCCGGCAGCGCCTTCTCCAGCGCGATCAGATGCTCCGAGTTCTTTCCTGCCCACGCTTTCAGCTCCGTTTTCGCCTCTTGGTCCGCCTTCTGGATCGATTTCTCGAACTCCGCCGCTTGTTTCTCCGCGTTCGACGCATCTCCAGGACCCAGACCGGCTCCCGAACCGGCTCCCTGCCCTCCTTCGGGCTCGTCGATCCGCTCCAGCTCGGTCTCCAGCGCGGAGGCTTCGGCGGTCGCGCGCTGCGCCGCGAGCGCGTCGTTGGAATCCTCGACGGCGCTCAGCGCCTTGGCCACTTCCGCGTCGGACAGCCCGCGAAACGACGCGCCGTTCAGGACCTCTACTCCTCATCGCTGCGCCCCTCGCCGACCTGCCTGGTTCTCCGCGGGCTGCGCGCCGAGAATGTCGCGGACGGTCATCTCCTGGATGAAGGACTGCGTGGTGAAGCGACCCTCCTCGAGGGAGAGCTGAGAGAGATGCCGCTTCTGATTGGCCTTCTTGAGGATGTTCTCCTCCACGGTGCTCTCGCTCACCAGGCGGTAGATGTGCACGTCGCGCGTCTGCCCGATGCGGTGCGCGCGGTCCTGCGCCTGCGCGTCCATCGCCGGGTTCCAGTCCGAGTCGTAGAAAATCACCGTGTCGGCGCCCACCAGATTGATTCCCAGCCCGCCCGAGCGCGTGCTGAGGATGAACACGAACACCTGGTTGTCGTTGTTGAACTTCTCCATCATCTTCTGGCGCTGCGGCAGCGGCGTGGACCCGTCCATCCGCAGGTACGTGAAGTGGTGCATGTTCAGAAACGTCTCGAAGATGTCCAGCATGCGCGACATCTGCGTAAACAGCAGGCAGCGATGGCCTTCCTGCCGCAGACGCGGAAGCATGGCGCTCAGCACCTCCAGCTTCCCGCAGTCGTACTGCAGCAGTCGCTTCTCGGGGAATTGTACGCTGTGCAGCATTTCCCACGCGTGGATCGCCGGTCTACGTCGCATCCCCGCGGGAACCGTACAGTTTGCCGTAGTCTCGACGGAAGGAAACCGCCGCCGCGCGACTTTCTGCGTCCCACCCGCGGAAATTCGCCTCCAGATCGCCGAGCGTCGAGCGGATTGGATGCATGGGACGCGTTCGCGCCACCAGAACCGTGTAGTTCTCCACGTTCGCCTTTTCCCTCTCGCACACCGCGGGGAAATCGGGAACCAGGGCGCTCAGCGCGCGCGTGAAGTCCTCCCACCCGCGGGAATTCGCCCGCACGTCGGCGGTGGGGCGTCGATAGACGGAAACCAACGCGCGAAGATCGGACCCCCACAGCGGAACGCGCTGCAGCGCGCGCTGGTTGTGTTCGGCGAGCCGAACGGCGCGGATTCGCTGCCGAATCAGCGTCTCCTCGACGGTCTGCTGCTGGATCCCGCGGAACGTGGAAACTGTGGAAGCGGACCAGGCTTCTAGAATGGAGGGAGGAGGGAAAGGGGACTGGAGGGAGCGGGGAAGAAGGTGGAGCTAAAAGCGGCGGCGTGGACTTCCTGGATGAGCGCAGAATTGGGATTGAACGTGGCCTGGAGCTCCACGATCTCGTCGAGGAACGCATTCGAATTCGGCTGGAGCGATCGGCGAAGCAGCGCAGCGCCCATGCTGTCCGTCTCGCGATCCACCAGCCGGAAATCGTTCACCAGCGCAACGCGGCGGCAGAACGAAGGGAATATCCGCAGCGAGCGTCGCCAGTCCGCAGCGTCCAACGCGGCGTCGGTCAGCGCGTCCTGCTGCAACGAGGATCTCTCCAGAGCGTTCTGTTGCAACGAGGATCTCTCCAGAGCGTCCTGCTCCCACATACATCGATTCAGCGTGTGCGAAAACACCACGCCGCGCTCGGTTCGCGCCATTCGCTCCACAAGCCGGGGAATTGGGAACTCAATACACTCACAAATGAAAGGCGTGCGGATGGGGCGGGTCTCGAAGAGGTCGGGATGATTGCAGACCTTTCGGAGCTGCATCAGCACGCCCATCATCGAGAGAAACGACCCGCTAGCCAGCTGCTCGCGCGTGTTGCGCCGCCCGATGTAGTCCTCGTAGAGGAACCGCTGGCGCTTGCTCAGCGGACAGGTCACGATGTGGAAGTATTTCTTGGGCATCTAGACTTCAAGCCTCGCGCTACGCCGCACTTCCTTCTCCACTTCGCTCTTCAGTCGGCGGAGAATAAACGGACGCAACACCTCGTGCAGACGGTGCACCAGCCGCGCGTTCACGCTCCGCTCGCCTTCCACCATCTGATTCATTGGGTTGCTGAACCAGAACGCGAATTCCCCGCGGCTTCGGAAGAGCGCGGGCATCAGGAAATGCATCAGCGACCACAGCTCCATCAGACTGTTCTGCAGAGGCGTTCCGGTGAGCAGAAGCCGCCGCTTTGTGTTGAAATGAAGGAGGATTTGCCAGCGTTCGGACTGGAAATTCTTGATGTTGTGCGCCTCGTCCAACACCATGTACACCCACTTCTTGCGACGAAACACCGACACGTCGCGCACAGCGAGCTGATACGAGGTGATGCACACCTGAAACCCGCCGCCTTGCGACCAGCCTTTTCGCTTTTCCTACAAAAGAACAATCGGTTCGCGATTACTTGGCGCTCTTTGGCGGTTCCGTAGTACGTCAAGACCTTCAAGGCGGGACAGAATCGCTTGAACTCGCACTCCCAATTCAACATAGTGCTCGTCGGCACAACGATCAGATGAGGACCCCAGATGCCCTTTACTGCGGCTAGATAGGCTAAGAGAGAGATGGTCTGCAGGGTCTTCCCAAGTCCCATTTCGTCGGCTAAGATCCCGCTTAGTCCCTGCTCATAGAGCGAAACGAGCCATTCCAGACCTTTTTCTTGATAGGGACGAAGCTTGTATTTGGGATTCAGCAGGTAGGGAGGGCGGATTTTCGATTTGGCTAGAATAAAATGGGCGGACAGGTTATACAGTTCGGGTCTGTACCATCAATGATGCGACTGGAAAGGCGTTCTGTGTAATCTTCCGTCTGCTTCAGCATAAACTGCAGATGACGGTCCATCAGCTCGCTGCGCCGTTCGTAGAGTTGGCTGGATGTGAGAAACGCTCAGATTGCAAACCCCTTGTGTTTGTAGACGACAATCTTGTCAATTTTGT